ACCCGTCAATAATGATACTATATGTGTACACATTCGGTACAATTGCCTGCTGTTGCATTTTCACATAATAACGGATACAATCTCGCATCTGGTTTGCATTTGCATATGCACGTATAACCTCTGAGTACGTAGCCACATCTGGTGTCACTGACAGTGCCACCATGGTGTCCAGCATTGTACTTGCCCGTTCACCCAACCCCTGTTCAGCAAATATCTGAAGAATAGCATTGAATGCCTGTATTTTTGGCTCTACACCTGTATCCAACAATTGGGCAAACACAGCCAGTCCATCCTCATACTGCTGTCGTTTCCGATGTGCCTGGATCAAATTGACATACATTTGTTCTTTTTGTTGGGACGACTTTTCAAACCGTTTCAGCAATTCAACAGCAGTCTCTAGCTCTCCAAATTGCACCACAAGCCAAATCAATTCGTCCAGTGCATCCACTGAGCTTGGTTTTGTGTCTAGGTAGATATTGATGGCTTTTTGAGCGTTCCGAGTTTTGTTTGTATTGTAAAGATGGTAGATCTTTGCGAGGGGTTTAATATCAACCCCTCGTAGACACCGTCCATTCTCCTCTTTTCCACTGTGCCTATTGGCCACAAAGTCAATTCTTTCCATTCGCTCAGCATTACTGATCGTTTTGTCTGACCGGATCATCGACAATATTTTCCAGCATGTATTACGCGATATGGACGTCAGGTTATTTGATGGGTCGTTCTGCATACTGCAATATATACTCCATGCTTCTTCTGACTTTTGTTTTCGAATAGCTTGATGCAATAGTTTGTACTTTGGTATTGGGAGAACTTCACAGTTATCGATAAATGCGTCAAACGATTGTTCGTGTGTCTGCTCAACATAATCTAGCACTTGATCAATTTGACTTTGTCGGTATCGAGACACTCCTCCTCCACCTGCCAACCGTTGACAAAAAAACATTAAAGAAAATAACCCAGAGCACAGGGGTAATGGTACAAGTGGTACATCATCGCGAGACGCCAGCGTCATGAACAGCGACCATGCCTTTTCTGCTTGTTGATTCCGAATCGCTGCCTCTAACTCTTCTAGCGATACTCGATTCGATAAATTAAATACTGAGAGTGCACCTTCTAATAGTGTGGGTGCCTCTCTTAAGCGTCTTGGTGCAGTTTTTGAAGATTTTCTTGAGGAAGTGGTCGTAGACGTTGCTGCTTCCGCCATTTCTATCGTCGAAGGTATCGCAAGTGTCGTGGGCATCGTCGTATGTGTCGTCGTATGCATCGTCGTTGTCGTTGTCGTTGTAAACGTAGACGTAGGGGTAGACGTAGACGTATGAGTAGACGTTGTGGTGGTATTATTTGTATGGTTTGACGAGTTTGTTGTACAATGGTCTTCGGGTGCACTGGCCACGGCTGTCGAAAATGCTCGTGCCTTTGGCAGTCTTGTTCTGTACCAGCGTACGGGTTCGCGTCGGGGTATCTTTCCTGGTAGAAGAGGACTGTCAAAGGCATCCAAAAGGGCCCGTAAATGTGTGTCCCAGCAGCAAGAAGCCACTAAAGGCCGCTGCGGTTGGTTCGTCCGTGACGCAAACAGCAATGTCGATGCATCTTTGAGATGGGCTGCTGACTTGCGCATCGTCTTGTGGTTCCTTGCTGCCCGTCCTGCTTTGGCCGCTGTCCAAGGGGATAAATTTTGGCAAACAAGACTAAAGCCGTCATGTTAGTGACTTGCTGATGACGTCCAATGGTTCTTTGCTTAATATTTTAATTTTTAATTTTTTTTATTTTGTTTTTAATTTTTTAATTTTTTAATTTTTTTTTTATTGCTTATTTTTATTGCTTATTTTTTTGTGGATTAAAATATTTTGATTTTGTTCAAAAGAAATCCACCAATGAAATTCATTCATTTTAATATAAATGTAAAATATAAAAATACTTTATATATACATATTGATTTTATTACTAGGTTTTCAAAGGAAATCAAATGTCTATCCTTGTAATATATGTAATATTAATCAGGTACTCTGATGTACATTTTTTTGATATAGATAGCTAGATGATTTGTTACGAGATAATCTCCCCCTATATATAATATTGCTTTTCTATTTATTTTATTTTTCTTTGGAAAGATAACCCCCTCAACTCTCCCCTATCCAATGCCCAATTCCCAATTCTCGATGCTCAAAAGACAGCTATTTGGTTGTGGTTACTGCGAATATTTTACAGTGATTATATCTTGTTTAGTTTTCATTTACCAAAAACCAAAAAAAAGAGGCTTTGATTGTTGTAATCTTTTTTTTGGAAATAATTTAATAATGCTTTTGCTTTATAACAAAAAAAATTCTCGTATTATTACAAGTATAGAGAAAGCTATATATAAAGGGGAGATAAGGGGGGGATTCAGATAAACAAGGCCTTTAAAGAAAGGAAATAATAATAACAAAAGCTTGTTAAAAGATAAGAAAGACCAACCAAGGTCTAGAGCTGTCATAACAAACAGTGATAACAATCAAAAGATTAAAAATAATAAAAAAGAATTTAGTCTCTATAGGCTATTAATTGATTGTAGATAATAAAATAATATCAAGTATCTTCTTCTTCTTCTCCTCTTTATATATTAAAGATCTCCTGGAGAACAATACTTCCTGCAAAATTTAAAGTATAAGACTATTTTGAATGATTAGAATTATGCCTCATTTTTAAATTCAATTATCAAGTTTTCAACCAGGCAAAATAGGTTTGTAAGACGCTCACAATCTGGAGCAGCCTTTAAGGGCTAAATGTCTTCTTTAAAGTCTTTTTTTTTACATCTTATTCAGCTCAAAACCCATTGATCACTATGAAAGATTTAATAACTATTTGGCGATATTAGTAGTAAGATTAATAATAAATGTATATAATAAGAAAGAAAGAATGAATGAATGAATGAAAAGGCAGGAATTTCAACCTTGGTTTCTCGGGTGATCCCCTCGAGCAGTTTTTTTTTTTTTTTTTTTGGGGGGGGGGGGGGGGGGAGGCCATTTTTCTCTTATATTATAGGAATTTTAGCTTTTGATTGCAATATTGGACGACTTCGAATCTTGTTTGTATGTATGTGGTGAATTTCAGTGTGAATAAATTTACTGTTGAGGAAGGAGAAGAAATAAAGACATAGACCCATGAGCAAAGTGGAGAGATTGTATAGGGGAACAATCAAAGGGAGCAGCAAGACCACAATACAAAAAGACAGCGATAAAGAAGTTTCTCGGTTTAACACAGACGATACTAAATAACCAAAAATATTTGTATTTTCTATGACAAAAAGTAGAGTTGGGTTTATTCAAATGTATATTATAGTAGAAATATAATAGCTGTGGTAGAGGCTGTACTCTATCCTGAGAGGCTTCTCTCTCTCTCTCTCTCTTTTGGTTTGGGCGACCAATTTGCCAAACCAGCTAAAACTTGTCTGCTGGTCTGATTCTGACAGCTTCATAGGGCTAGTAATCTTGTTTAATCATTAAAGTAACTTAAAATATTGCACTAAAGTTGATTAAAGACTAGTGCATTTATCTAGTGAATATATCAATAATTTTAGCTGCTACAAAACGTAGTTTGATTTATTACTATTATTATTTTTAAAAGAAGATAAATTATAGAGAGATAGAATATAAGAATGGACCCTTTATATACTTTTTATTTTTCTGTTGTATTCAGACAGACAATACACTCTCCATTTGTCGCTCAAGATGGTTATTTAAATTAATACACTAAAAATAATGGAAATAGCTTTCATTTTAATATCAATACAAGGCACCGAAATTGGGCTTAGGAGCATCTTAAACTTAGTAGACCTGCGATTGATCTTACAAAAAGCCGCCAATAATTTTAGCGAGAAAAGCTGTTTTATATTTTGAAATGGCTAGCAGCTTCTTTTATGAATTATATTCTTCACTTAGTTTTCTTGTATCGTACCGTAATCCCCACAAACACTCTACCCGCTCAGAACTCTTTATTACACTCACCCACAGGCTATTCCGTCAACTCACATTCTTTATTTGGTGTATTAAGTCTTTAATCTTTCTATGTAATTATCTCTGTGAATTCATTCATCGCAGCTACCTCCGTCTTTGGTTAGATTTTGTTGACCATATGGCGACATTACCGAAGGTTTATCTTTGACAAAGTCCCCTTCTGTCTCCTCTTCTCTTCTCCCTTCCCCTCGTCTATCAATATTCTTCCTGACAATCTCAATAGCAAAGTTGACTCGCCTTTTTGTGAATATAAACCTCCATTCACAACTATACAAAAACCAAAAAACAGACACACACAAATAAAACTCCCTTGTTCTTCACTTGTTTGTGTTTGTGCGTTTCTTTCAAAAAAAAAAAGTTTTGCCTATAATCCGCATGGAATGCCTACAATGCCACAAGTGCACCAGGTCGCAAAAAATATCTAGCATTCAAGATAAATAACTTCCACCCAATTACCCCTATTATTTATTAGGTAAAAGAAAATAGAAAGGGGGAGGAAGGGGAAAGGGAAGGGGAAGGGAGTGCATATTTAATATTGTTACCTTTCAATTATTATATTACATTTATTAAATATATAATATTGAAACATATAATCAAATTGAAACAAAGCACCGAAAAAAAAAGGAATGAAAAAAAGATAAAGAAAATCAATTGAATATAATTGGTTAATTAATTAATTAATTAAACATTTATACAATTGATTTTTATTTTTATTATCTGTGTATTTATTATTTATTGGATTTTTAACCTTTTGGATGACAAGCCAGGGAAATGGCTCGTTTGTGACATCCAAAACCTAATATAATATATATAATAAATAAATAAATAAAAAAACAAAAGAAAAAATATATGGATAAAAATTAAATGCCTATTGCAGAAAATATGTAAGTGTTACACAGTATATTAAAGAAACTAGCCCTGAAATTTTAACTCACTCAGCCTCTCCCTTCTCCCTCTCCTTGCTCTTGTTCTTGTTCTTGTTCTTCTCCTTTTCCTATTCATTCAGTCATGGCAAGCGACATCGGAAACCCGCTCAAGAAGTTCAAGCTTGTTTTTCTGGGAGAGCAGAGTGGTAGGTTCAATGGCGGCCATTCAGCTCTCATCATCTCATCATCTCTATAGTTGGCAAGACCTCGCTTATCACGCGCTTCATGTATGACACATTTGATAATACATATCAAGTAAGCCTTTTTTTGCTCTTTAAATATATGTTTATATTCATATAGATGGTTTAGTAAAATGAATAAATAAATAAGCAGACAAACAAACAATTGTATTGAATTTCAGTAAAATTGAATTATACTTATTTGTTTATTTGTGTTCGATAATAATAATAATAACAATAACAATAGGCCACGATTGGTATCGACTTTTTATCCAAAACGATGTACCTCGACGACCGTACAATCCGACTTCAGTTGTGTAAGAAAGAGATATTGGAACCCATGGAAATAGGATGCTGAATCATAAAGGGGTGATGGTGATGGTGATGGTTTAGGGGATACTGCCGGACAGGTAATTCTTATAAACGGCACACACACACGGACCCGATGTGTGTATGATGATGTGGACCTGTGTGTGTGTGTGTGTGTGTGTGTGTCTGTTATAGGCCAAGGATTTTTATCGTGCTTAGGGCACTTGTTAGGAACGGTTCCGCTCCCTGATCCCAAGCTACATCCGGGACTCTTCTGTCTGTGTTGTTGTGTACGATATCACAAGTAAGTACATTTAAATATTTTAATTTTATTTGTGTATGAAATGTATGGGTATACTATGTATACTATGTATAGTATGTATAGTATGCACATGCGCCAAAAAAAAAAACAAACAAAACAGGCAAGCAACCTTGCATATTTACATTTAAGTTTTTGTATAGATCGCAATTCTTTTCTTAATACAACAAAGTGGATTGACGATGTGAGGGCAGAGAGGGGTACGGATGTTATCATTGTCCTGGTCGGTAATAAAACAGACCTAAATGACAAACGGTAAGACAAACTAATGTTGTTCCAGAGTACAAGGACTAAATAAGGCCACACAAACACACAAGTAGGCAAGTCACAGTAGAGGATGGAGAAAGAAAAGCAAAGGAGTACAACATTATGTTTATAGAGACCAGTGCAAAGGCGGGTTACAATGTAAGTTTGCTGTTTACTGTTGTGTGCTCTTGAGATCTTATCAGCATTTAATTAAATATGATGTACAATTGGCTACTTAATTAACTGTTTAATTAATTAATTAATTGATTATTCGATTCAACTGATATCTTTGGTGTATTTTGTATGTATGTATGTTTGTGGGTGTGTTTTTTAATATTTAGGTCAAGGCACTCTTTCGGAAGATCGGCCATGCATTACCAGGCATGGAGAATACATTGGAGGACAGCCACAGAGATCAATGCAAGTTCTAAACAAAAACACATCACATCACATTAAACAGTGACGGCTTTATTCTAACTCTGTGTTATAGTGACAAAGGTCGATCTCAATGAATCTTCTGCGTACAAAGAAGACAGTAGTTCTTGTGCCTGCTAAAACGATAATAATAACAGTAATAGTAATAATAGTAATATCAAATATCAATATCAACAATAATAGCAACAACAGCAACAGCACCAACAACACCAAAAACAACAGTACCAACAATAATAGCCACAACAACAGCAAGATACCAACAAATTACTTCTTCTTTCTCTACTTTTGATATAATATACTCGAGTGACTTTCATCATATTGCCGTAAAAAGGAAAAGCAGTAGCAGTTGATAGCGGCAATAGGAAGAAGAAACAAAACATTATAATTTATTTATCTTTTTCTTCATTATTATTATATTTTTTTTTTTGAAAAAAAAAAGATGCAAAATAAAAACGCAAAATATACATATACAAAGTCTATACTTATTTCATAGAGACCAACTTGACCTCGAAGATAAGGGTAGCGTTGCGAGGAATATCTGGGGGAGCACCACGCTTACCGTAAGCCAACTCAGCAGGGATGGTCAACTTACGCTCACCACCGAGCTTCATGCCAACACAGCCAGCATCCCAGCCCTTGATGACCTCACCACGACCCAACAAGAAGTTGAAGGGCTTTCCGCTGGTGTTCTTGTCAAAGACCTTGCCGTTGGTCAACTTACCGATGTAACGTACACCGATGCGCTGGCCGTTCTTGGCATTCTGACCCTCACCGATCTTCTTGTCTTCGATGATAAGACCGTTGGCAAGCTTGGTGACCTTGGTCTTCTCTTCCTTCTTGGCCTCTTCCTTCTTGGCTTCCTTCTTCTTGGGCTCCTCCTTCTTGGCCTCGGCCTTCTTCTTAGGCTCCTCCTTCTTGGGCTCAGCCTTCAACTTCTTGGCAGATACCTCCTCTTTCTTAGCCTCAGCAGCACGCTTCTTCTCGTTCTTCTTGGGCTCAACCTTCTTGGGTTCTTCTTCTTCTTCTTCTTCCTCCTCCTCCTCTTCATCATCTTCTTCATCGTCATCCTCAGAGCCGAGGTCACCTCTCAAGAAGGCATCGATCTTTGCGCGATCAAGACCCTCGGGAAGGCTTTTTTTTCAATAAATAATAATAATAAAGTTAATAAGTAAACCAAAATATTTCCAAATCAAGACATATATATATATATATGTGTGTGTGTGTGTGTAAACTCTAATATTATTTTGCATTGAAACACGTCAATACTTACTTGTCAAGATCAAAGTCTACTCCCTCGTCGCTCTCATATTCATCACCACTCTCATCGTCGGAATGCTCATCATCAAAGACGTAGTTTCCAACAAGATGGATAGAGCTATAACCAGACCCAAAAATCAGTTTTTCTTCTTCTTCTTCATTTGTTTTATATATAAATATATTTTGAGTACCAAACTTACTTTCCACCGATAACAGTAAAGGTGATCTCTTCACCCTCAACAAAGGTGATGTCAAGAGGCTGCTGCTCGCTCTAATTAATTCAAAATTATCACAAAAAAGAATTGATTAGTTTAGAAACAACAATCCAATAATTCATAAGTATATGTATGTATATTACCTTGCCAGGGGTCAAGGAGCACAAGACGAATTCTTTTTCGTCAACCTTGACGCAGAGAGAGGTGCGCTTGTTGTCGGCAATCTCGGTAGACAAAGCAGCCTAGATCGATTACAAAGAAATGAGAGTAAAAGTTACAATTAGTTGATGTGATCAATATAACTTTTTTTTCGGTTTTTTTTTCTGCTTCTACTTAGATCAGCCCTGTATCACTCACCATCGAGATGCGGAAAGGTGCGGTAACGACCTGGCTGAAAGTCTTTTTGGGAATGACCTGAAGGCCTACATAACATGATGAATAACAACAGAGATGTTTAGTACAAGAATTGTTATGGATTTCTCCACTCTCTCTTTTATTTTAACAGATCAACGAGATCTCTTTCTCTTTCTTACCCCAGAATCCTTGAACACTCATAATTATAACTATAGAAAAAAAAGTTTTTGGATAGTGTAAAAAAAAAATAGAGTCAAAAGTATATTCATTTATATAAGTGAAAAAATTATGCCTCTGTGACTGCGATTTGACTTAAATAAATTAAAAAAATCCAGTCGCAAATTATTGCTATTCAAATATATAGATAAAAAAAATATGTTATAAATATATATACAAATAAGCATTTTCTACAAAAGAGCAAGAGAAATGGTTAAAAAGAAGTTATTCTGGTAGATTAATTCTTTACTGAAACCTACCTAAAGCAGTATTACTATTGTGTCGCTCGCTCTCTGCTAACTATTTCTATCCTTATTTTTGAATAGCATGTATTTTTCTTACACACGCGATTAATTGTTAGATCCGACGTTTTTCTTCAAGCTAAATAACTTTGTCGGAAATGTCAAAACTAAAGAAACTTCTTAGCTACAGACATAGAGAAAGTGTTTCTAGATAGATCCGAGCGGGCACTTTTTTTTTTTTAGAAAAAATGTATTGTTTCAATGTAATAGCAGGGGAAGAAGAATATTGACTTAATCCTTCATATATAATGATAGATGAAAGGAGCTGATCCCTTAATAGAGTAGTTTTATGTACCGCTCAAAGTTTATAGTCTCATTTTGGATGAGACTTCACTGTCTAATGGTGAAAGCTTATACTGAAAGTACTTCTTTTACTTCTCCAGTAAAACAAACATGAGGGTGAAAAATAAGACCTTTTTTACACTGGGGATAAAATACGCGGGTTTTAAAACAAAATACCATATATGGCTATGTGCTGCCTAAATATAGAGAGCACAATATATAATCGATTATCCAGTTGGTGAGAACCGATAGTTATTTTAGAGTTTTCCATTTTTAGAAGGTTACTCGGTTTTTTTTTGTATCATCGTATAAAAATAAAAAAATAAAAATAAAAAAAAATGACTTATTAACCCGTGACTGTTGCTTTATTCCAGTGCATTCTTTCTGATGTGTTTTAAAAAAAACGGTTTTGCAGGACAAAGCTTATTGTTTTCTTTTCTTGTTTACCTTTTAACTCAAGATGTCTGAAAAAGTACAGCAGCCCGATAAAAATGGACCTCTCTTTGTGGACTTGAATGACAACAGCAAGCCAGCTGAGATTGAGAGCATGTGCATGAGATGCCACGAGAATGTAAGTAGTTAGCATGTCAAAACAGAATAGGTATTTACACTGTATATTTTTTTATTATATTTTAGGGTACTACACGTATGCTTTTCACCAAGATTCCTCACTTCAAGTACATATTAACCTATATAGGTTTATACTTTAATTTTAACTTTAGATTTATATGAATATATATACATATATACATATGCATATGCATAATATGTTTTTTAGTATATCAAATTCTTATTTGTATTAACAGTAAACTTATAATGTGCTTATTTATTTAATTATTATTGGCTTATAGGGAAATCATTATTATGGCTTTCGAGTGTCCTCACTGTGGATTCCGTAACAACGAACTCCAGAGCGCTGGATCGTTCAGTGAAAAGGGCCACACTGTTACTCTCAAAGTTAATGGCAAGGGAGTAAGTCATGATATTTTATCTAGAAATTATATTATATGCATACATACACAATTTTAATTTATATTTTTTTTTATTTTTTTTTAGGATTTGGACCGCCAATTGGTAAAGTCTGACTATGCTTCTGTCAAATTCGAAGAGCTTGATCTCGAGATCCCCGCAAATAACCGCCGCGGACTTTTGACCACCGTTGAAGGATTGTTGGGTAATGCCATTGATGACTTGGCTCAGGGTCAGGCCGTTCGCAAGCACACCAACGAGGAGCTTTACAACCAGATTGAAGCTATTGTTAAAAAGCTTGAAGGCTACAAAGATGGCCAGGAACCATTTACACTCATTATTGATGATCCTTCTGGTAACTCTTACATCGAGAACAAATGCTTGCCTGCTCAGGATCCTCAATTAAAGGTCAAGACCTACACTCGTTCGGCTGAGCAGACCGAGTTTTTGGGACTCCAGCCTGAACAGCCTACCAACCCTGCTGCTGCTGCCGCTGCTGCTGCCGAAGAAGAGGATGAAGAGGTTCCCGAGGTTATGACTTTCCCTTCCAACTGTTCCCACTGCAACATGCCTAGTGAGACCAACATGCACATGATTGACATCCCTCACTTTAAGGAAGTTGTTATTATGGCCACTAACTGCGAGCACTGTGGATACAAGAGTAACGAGGTCAAGGCTGGTGGTGCTATTGCTGCCAAGGGTACCAAGATTACTCTCAACATCACCGAGACTGAGGATCTTTCAAGAGATATTCTCAAGGTAAACAAATTTACACACATTTTGTATTTATCTCTTTTTTGTTTTGGTTTGCTAACTAATGCATTTATTCATTCGTTCCACAGTCTGAAACCTGTGGTCTCTCTATTCCCGAGATTAACCTCGAATTGACTCCTGGTACCTTGGGTGGTCGTTTCACTACTGTCGAGGGTTTGTTGAGACAGGTTTACGAGGAACTTCGTGACCGCGCTTCCTTCTTGAGAGGTGACTCTACTACTGGTGAAAGCAAGGAAAGATGGACCAAATTCTTGGACAGTCTTCAAGAAGTTGCTGACGGCAAGCGTATGCCTGTTACATTGATTGTCGATGATCCTCTTTCCAACTCATATCTCCAAGTAAGAACCATGATTTATTTTATTTTTTATTTTATTAAAAATTTACACATTCTTGTTCGCTGTTGCTGTAGAACCTCTATGCTCCTGACCCGGATCCGGAGATGAAGATTGAGACTTATGAGCGTGATTGGGAAGTTAACGAGTCTTTGGGTTTGAACGACATGAAGACCGAGAACTATGCAGAAACCACTGCTGAAGAAAAGTAAAGATAGCGAGCGATAAGAATATCCAAAGAAACACATACATACATATATATATACATAAATACACACACGAGCAATTACTGTATCAATAGAGTTTTTGTATTTCTTGGTATTGTATTATTATTATGATTATTATTATTTTAAGAAGAAATATTTTAACAACCAATTGGCTATACCGTCAATAATAATAATAGTGATAAATAAATAAATAAAAGAATCTGTACAAAATTCAGCAGGAAAATATAAGCTCTTTTTATCAGGGGAAAGCTTTCTTTTTTCTTATTTTTCATATTATTTTAAAAAAAAAAAATATCAGAAAGTCACACAAACCATAGCACGTTGAATTGACAAGAAAGTAGGAACACTTTCCAAATATAGAATGTGTCAATGCGCTTTGAATCAAACCTGGAATGAGAATGATTTGTGTACAAGCAAGTTGTAATTGGTGATAGAAATAAATGCTTTTTAACATTTTCATCTACGCAAAGACATAGCATGTATATCATATATATAGCCCTTGAATATTTTCTTCTTATATTTTTTTCACCAAAGAATAACCGTAAGTTTTTATGCGCATTGTGTTTCTTGTCATAAAATTCAACGCGTTGCATATCAACTCTGTACGCATGTGCAAATGTTTGATCCTCAGCCAGCAGTCCGATCTCAAAATGCCTTGTGGTATGTTTGATGTCGCGTATAGCGAAGTGTAGCGCTGTATTGCGTCGGTATAATTGACAGATAAATCCGTTCCTCAGGTCCCTCAATCCCCTCAATCCCCTGTTAGCTCTCCTTCCCTTTCTGTACCAAAAGCTTGAATCTTCTCTTCTTCTTATTCTACTCTCTGTCTTAACGTACAAACCTTCTTGAGTACTCAACTACTCCCGACTTCAATAAAATAAGATAAAATAAAAATAATAAAAAAAAGATGTTCTGTCTTTGTGGGTGGCTTGTATTGGAGGTTATGGTCTGGTGTGTACGTTTCGTTTATTCTTAGAATCTCTGTTGTGGTCGTAAAATGCTGTTTGCTAAGCTGGCGTGTGTAGAAGCTGTGTAATAGATGAAGTCGTGTCCACGAACGTCCTGCCCGATAAACAAGGGTGGAGGGGGGGGGGGGGGAGTGGATAGAATATGATGACGCAAGCGCAATCCAGCCTCCGGTACGAATCGGTTTTCTCCATCTTGGCCATTCAAAAAAATAATAACAGCTAAACACCGCCCGCCTGTTTTTTTTCTTCCCCTCCCCTCTCTTCTATTTATCTTACAACGATGCTTCGTACTGCCACTACTGCCCAGCGCGCCGCTCGCGTTATCGGTCGCCGTAACGCCTCCACAAATGTCTCTGTCCAGAACCTTGAGACCCGCTGGAAGACTTTGTCTACTGCTGAGCAGAACACTGTCGCAAAGCAGCTTGAAGAGGCACAGAAGGCTGACTGGAAGTCTTTGTCTGTTGATGACAAGAAGGCTGCCTGTAAGTTTGAGAGAAATAAAACAAAAGAAAAAAAAGAATAAGAAAAATAAAAATAAAATTGAAATTGAAAACGTACACAAGAATTGACATGTCATTTCAACAAATCTTCAAGTCTACATTGCTTTTGGTGCTCACGGTCCCCGTGAACCCTTGACCACCCCCAACCACGGTCTTAAGGTCTTAGGTGGTGTTATTGGTGTTCTTGTTGCTTCCGGCGCTCTCTTCTACGCCATGCGTCTTGGTGGTATGACTTTTTTATTTCTCCATTCGTAATTGCGTTTGTTTGCTGAATAATTCTTGTTGTTGTTTTTGTTTGCTGTTGTTGAAAATATAGGTGGTGAGAACCCCCCTACCATGACCAAGGAATGGCAGGAGGCTACCAACGAGTACCTCAAGAGCCAGAACTCCAACCCTATCACCGGTATCTCTTCCGAGGGTTACAAGGGCAAGGGTTACGTTGTCGAAGAGTAAAACGTTGCTACCAGGAGAACCAGAAAAAAACAAATCATTTATACAGAATAAAAATAAAGAAGCGATATTCGTTTGTCATAGAGAACTTACACACACACACAAACACACAAAACATTTGCCCGTCCGTACAATACAATACAATACAATACAATACAATATAATACGATTATACTATAATATAGTATATTATATTTTATCACATATATTATGCATAGTGTTTTTTTTTGCTAGTGAAGAAGAACAAGAAGAAGAAGGAGAAAGTGAAAGAATAGGAACAAGATAAAGAAACCGAGATGAAAATGGGAGAAGCGTGTGAGAAAGTTGTAGTTCCTTTCAACATTTATATTTATTTTATTTTATTTTTACAAGCAACACAAGGTTTCCTTTTTTTGTGTCTGTGTGTGAGAGAGTACTTTGTTTAAAAGTGGCGTGATAGAAATTCACAAAGGTTGTACCATCCTTGGACAACGAGAGATGTCTTGTAACCATTTTGACTCGGCGCCTTAGGCACAACCGTTTAGTCTGATCACTCCAGCCACCCGATCTGTGGTGTAAGCGGGAAACCAGACGTCACTCAATGTTCAAGTCTGTGTGAGTCTGGCGCGTTCCTGCACCTTTTCTCTCTTGTCTAACAAATATGTCACAGCAAGTCAACCTCAACGATCTCGATTTCCAGTCTCTGCAGCAGGTCAAGAATCAGCTCGAGGAGGTATATTTTTTATGTCTTTTTTTATCAACAAATTATTGGGTTATATATAAATATATATCTACATGCATACTTATAAATCTATCATTTATCATCCTTTCATCTCAGGAATTGTCCCATCTTACACAGTCTTACTCGAAGCTCAAGGGTGCTCAATCCCGATTCACTGACTGTGCAGACAGTGTTAATGCCCTTCAGGGAGAGAGAAGAGAAGGTATATGTGTGCATGGGTGTTCTTTATTAAACTTATTGTTAATCTTGTTAATTTAATAGAAAAGACCATCTTGGTTCCATTGACATCATCTATATCCTTTTTTTTTCCGTTGTTCTTTTTTGATATTAAATAATATTTTAGATTTGAATACTCGCCTTGAATATTGATTTATATCCTTAACCTTGGTCGATCATTTTGGTGCCTTTACCTTTATGTACCTGGCAAGTTAAGTAACGTTGAAAAGGTTATTGTGGATGTCGGCACTGGCTACTACATTGAAAAGGTAAAGTAAATAAATAAATAAAAATAATGTGCCTGTGCCTGTGCCTGTTCGTGTGTGTGTGCGGATTTTTTTTTACAGGTGGAAGTTAGAAGCGTGTTAATGGCTCTAAACGAGATTTTGGATGAAATATTGATATATAAAATAGTCTGTCGGTGATGCATCCAAATTCTATACCGACAAAGTCAATTACGTGAAGCAGAATTTGGAAAAGTTGCAAGAGGCAGTAACGGGCAAGCAAAATAGCTTGAGGGGTGAGTTCCATAAAAGGCAATATGTTCATCTGTCCTACCATTTTGCTTACACACATTTGAAATACCTGGAATTCTTTCTTGTTCTTTTTTCTTTTTGGTTCACAAAGCCATTGTTAGTGTCATGCAAGAAAGAGCTCAGCAGCAACATCAGCAGCAGCAGCAACAGCAGCAGAAATAGAATACAAAATAGTATTTGTAAGAATAGAAGTATAGGAAGAAGAAGAAGTATCATCAGTCATACCAAAAGGAAAAACTATTATAAACTTCAATATTTATTATATAAAATTATATAAAGCTGTTTAAAGAAGATTACCATTTTATCCAATATAATTATTATTATTATTATATATTTTCTGAATTCAATACAAACAGGAGTGTAAATGAACGGACTTTTGATTCAAATTGCAAAAATGCTATAAGTTTTTAGATTTTTTTCTCTTATATATAAAACCATATACTTTTGTATACAAATATATATATATATATATTTCTGTACCCTTTTTTTTATTTTTTATTTTATTTTAATATTCATTCTTTTTTTTTCTGGCTTCATTTCTTGTCACTCCTTTAATTTATACCACCCCTTTACTTTCCTTTACTCTTTTTTGCTCTTAAGCAAATAAGCCTACTTCTTGTCTAAAATTGTCCAGAACTCTTTTGTGATGTTCGGACTAGGCAAAACAAAAGGAAAGCGCAAGCCAGAACTACCAATACCGCCGGCCTCTGCACGACATTCACCAAACCCACCCTCTCCAGGAAACCACACACCACCAAGCCCAACACATTATTCTACAAACCAATATGCCTCTATGAACTCGAGTACCTCTGAAGAATACTTCTCAGGTAACAACAGCCCATTTTTTTTATCTTTGGTTGAGAGGTGATCCAAATGAGATTAAACAGAGATGAGTTCATCTTATTCAGGCAATGGCGAAGGGTCTTCCATTCGCAGCTCACAATCCTCGACAAATTACTCCCTTCCAAGCAACGATGGTGAACATGGTCATCCGAGCAGTTCGTCAGAAACTGAAATACAAGAGTTATTCGAACGCATGCTCGTAAGATATTAATATTAATATATATATATATATATATATATATATTTGTACCTTTGTGTATTTTCTTATTATTACAATTATTACAATTATACAATTTTCTATTGATTCGATAATCTAATTTATTAAATATTAATAATCTAGGCTCGGCGTGGTATCAATGATTCCAATGCACGAAACGTTATGTTGGCTTTTCCGTTGGAGAAAAAGAGACTGATGGTAGCCCAAGACATCCAGGCTGAAGCAGGACCTACGCCAAATGCTTCTCTTTCTACTCGAAGAGGCGTCTCTGCAGATCGGCACAAGGAGCAAGAAAACAGCCCTGAATATTATGTCAAGAAATTATCTGAAATAGGTTCAAAGGGATACAGCAGTAAGGTGATCTCTCATTTGGCCGTTGGATTACGCACCATGCCATTAAGGTAATAATAATAATTATAATTATAATATATTTATTCATTTAATTTTAGTTGGGTACGACAATTCATCGAAATGAGCGGCCTCTTGATTATTACCGACACATTATCAGCCCTTAACCGATTGAAGCACAAGTAAGCAAGGTTTTGAATTATCAATAATGCATATTCTTCTGGATGTAGATGACCTGATCCACCTACCCACATATACACAACAAAAACATAATAATGATAATAACTGCAACTGCAACTGCAAATGCAACTGCAACTGTAATTGTAATTGTAATTGTAATTTTATAATTAACATTACAATTAAATAAAAAGGCGTGAAATTGAGGTCCAGACAGAGGGTGAAATCCTTAAATGCTTTAAAGCCCTACTCAATAATAGGGTGAGTACACAAATAACAAGTTGCCCACGTTGTTGTTCCTGGGTTAGTCTGGCTCACATTACACAATTAGATTGGTGCAAAAGAAGCAATCAAGAATCCGCAATGTATCCAAGAAATCGTCTATTGTATTGTCTCACCTGCTGTCAATACTCGTCGACTGGTCTGTGAAGTATTGGTTTTCTTGTGTTACTTTTCTGTCCCAGTCGGCCAAGAACTTGTATTGAGAGCAATGGACAATCTTAGAGATGCACGCAAAGGATACGGTCGATTCGATGCTTGGCTTAAAGACCTCTTGTACACCTTGGGAGGAAGAGGCCGTATGGGAAGTATGGTCGGGGCCAGCGAAGATTTCAAAAGGCTAGCTACCCACGGTGCTCCAGACAACCAACTCAGTGAATTTGCTGTAAGAACCATATTTCATTTCATTCCATCTGTAATTTAAGTTAATTTAATTTAATTTAATTTTAACAAGCTGTGTACAAAAGACACCAACAAAATGCTAACTGACACACATAACCTTAGTTGTACAATATGATCCTCGTTAACGCCATTGTTAATGTTGTCGAAGACCCAGAAATTAGAATACACCTTAGAAACCAAATGAACGTATCTGGATTGGAGAGAATTATGGATAGAATGTTAGATCTTTGCTGCGATCAGGTCGATAGACAGGTCCAGGAATTCAGAACATTGGCAGAAAACGATCATGACGAAATTATGGAACTGTACCACGAACGAGTATTACGCGACCTCAACGACCCACGCGACGTATTCGAATGTGTATTAGCAAGCGTGGAAGGCACTCGTGGCTACGACTTCTTTTTAAGTTCCCTTCAGCATCTACTTCTTATCCATGAAGAAGGGAATCTCAAGGCACGCTACTTCCAAATCATCGATAATCTCATTACCCAAGTCGTATTAGATCACAAAGGCCTCGTCGATGATTTCTCGTCTTCCTATGGCACCTCTGTGCGTCATCTTGTCGACAAGTTTGCTGATCAGGATCAACTTCAGGCCACAATAGAAGAAATCCGGCAATTGCAGACAATGTACGACGAGCTTCAGGTAGAGCACAATGCAGCTCAACAGCAATTAATAGAACGTGGTGATGGACTAGCAATTACTCAGCTAAAAGAGAAAACGACCTCCCTCGAAGATCTACTACGTATGTCACGCCACACAATATCAACTTTACAAGGAAAATTACGAGACCTTCAACGAGACTACGAAAAAAATCTTGAGGCGATGGAAAAGCAACTTGATACATTCTACAAGGCTGTAAATGATACAAAGGGAGAAGAAGGCGATTCAGATGACGGAGAAGTAGTGATCAAAAAGCAAGACCTCGCTAAAGCCTTTGGACGCATCAAGGCCCAGGAGAGTCTAGAAGGAAGAGGAAAGGATTTTGATGGAAAAGATGAACCAATAAAATCATCCGATGTGATTGCAAAAGAGACAGAGAAGTACCGCTCACTTGCTATGGGCTTGTCAGAAGAGTTCAAGAACCAGCTCGCGATGCAATTTGGCTCAAGTAGTGGCCTTGGAGATTTTGTGACTCCAGGAACCATGCCACTCATGGGATCTGCCACTCGAAGAAATAATACCCGGCGTCGACAAGCTCACATCAATACCGACTCCAGCTCCAACTCCATCCACAGTCTTTCTGATTCAAACTCTCTCACATCTCCATCAATCAAGAACATCGTCTCTGATGAGTTTCTTGCCACTCTCAGCAGCAAGGTCGGTCCTTCTGCCGAAATTGGCCCTGGCCCTGGTACTGGTACTGGTACTATAACACGACCTCGTCCCAGAGGCTCCCAGTCCTCAGAAATTTCCTTTAGAGATTCACAAGCATCTTCAATCATGTCTCGCACTCACAGTCTATCACGGTCAAGCAGTCTTTCTCGCTCAAGTAGCCTTTCCCGCACGCATCACATATCTCATTCAAATAGTATATCACGTACACAATCCATGTCTAGAACAAATAGCATATCGGAGCCCGACAGTTCTCCTGTAATTTCCCCTGACATTTCATCAACTCCACCACCTCCCCCTCCACCTCCACCACCACCACCACCACCGCAGCCCCTTACATCATTTAGCTTATCTTCATCTACTGTTCATTCTGCTCCTGGATCTCCTTCACCAACACCAACACCTCCTCCTCCACCGCCGCCACCGCCTTCTCTGACTAATGCAACATCATCTACTACGCCTCCCCCTCCCCCTCCTCCCGGCTCCCTTAGACCTCCTCCTCCAACCATGCAGGCACCACGCAAGATCATGAACCATCTCCCAAGCGTCAAAACGCGTGCACTTCAATGGCAAAAAATTAACTCAAACCACATAAAGTCCACTGTGTGGGGATCTGGTGTTGATGAAGAACAACTCGAGCGCCTATTAGAATCTGAGGGTGTCTTTAATCTGATGGAAGAACTTTTTGCCCAGAAAGTAACAGTAACACAGAAGAAGCTCGTCAAAGAAAAGAAGCAGGAGATCTGCATTCTAGATTCACGCAAGGCTTATAATATCAGTGAGTATATTTGCTGTTATTGTTTTTATAGTATTGCTATTGTATAATCTATATAAAGGTGGATCGACAAGAATGTTATTAAACTACTGCTTTATATATTTATGTGTATTTAGATATTGCTGTCTTGGCTAAATCCAAACACATCACTTTTACTGATTTCAAAAAGAGGATCGTGGCTGTTGATGAAAAGTTCTGTACAGAAACCTTGCTGCGTAATTTGCAAGCCAATGTACCCACCCCTGAAGAGATGGGCAAGCTTTCTGTGTTTATGAAGACAGCCTCTGAAGAGGATATCCAATGTCTATCAAAACCAGACGCCTTTTGTGCAGAGGTAAGAAAAAGTTTGATAATTGTTTTTAAGAGAAAAAAAAACAGATGGTAAAATAATTGGTATTGAATCGTTTGATAATAACCATTATATTGTATTTCTTTTTATGTTTATCAGATTATGACCATCGACCGCTTTAAGGAGCGTATTGACCACATGCTCTTCAAAGTAACCTTCCACGAACGTATTACACAGCTTGGAAAGGTACAATACATTTTTCTTCTTCTTGTTTTCAGGGAAAGAAAGAAGACCATATACATATACGCATATATTCAATTTATTTTTTGTTAAAACAATTTATTTGATTTATTTTAGAACATGACCAATGTAATGGACGCTTCTACTTCTGTCAAAGGCTCTAGTTCATTTAGAGAATTTTTGAACGTAAGTTTAAAGTTGGCTGTATAGAACCAATTACTAATGTGTTAATATTCATCTTAGTTGATCTTAATTATCGGAAACTTTTTGAACAGTTCCAGTTTTCAAGGTGGAGCTTTTGGTATCCGTATCTCAAGTATTAATAAGGTGAAGTTTAATTCCAGCAAGCCGAGAAAGATAAAGGGGACTCTTGTAAGATGTATTAAACTTTATCGTTTCCTTTTTATTTTCTGTATACAGCTGGTGGATACAAAGGCATCTAGTAATGATAGTACCTTACTCCACTTCCTTATCAAGATGATCGAGTCAAAGTTTCCTCACATTAGTGAAAGTCTCTTGGAAGATCTTAAGCTCTGCGGTGAAGCATGTAGAGGTAAATGATAATGGGAAGAAATAGAGAGAGACAGAGAGATGCCCAAAAAAGAAAAAGAAAAAACGGCAAATATTAATTACCGGAATAATTCTCTCTATTTTCGCTTAGTCACTATTCAGGATTTAATCAAGGACTACAATGAGTTACGAGTTGGTCTTCGAGGTCTTATTCATGAACTTGATCGCCACTATGATGTTGACTCTGAATTTGAGGATGGAGATCGTTTTGCTTTTGAAATGACCAGATTCCGTGATGGGGCAGTAGAGAAGTTTGATCAACTTGAAGTCCGGTACACTTCTATGGATATTGCGTACAAAGATGTTGTGTCCTACTTTGGAGAAGACCCTAGTGACATGAAACCAGATGAATTTTTTGGTATCTTTAAGACTTTCACATCCAGTTGGGAGGTAATTAAACGCACACATATATATAATCTGTAAAAAAGAATTCAATGGTGTGTTGAATTGGTCTATTGACTTTATTTGGTATTTATAGAGAGCCAAGAGTGATATAGAGGGCCAGAGAAAGAGACAGGAACAACTTGAAAAAGCGCAATCATACGAAGAGCAACGAAAAGCACGGAATAAGAAAAACCACTCAAACGCTGATCTGAATGATGGTGAGTAAAATAGATAAGATAACAAGAAATCACTTACTGACAAGCTTTTCTTGTATAAATTATTATATTCATTCTTATCTGTAGCAGGCTCATCAGAAAATCAGGAAGATAAGGATATTATGGACAACCTCCTTGAACGTCTTCGTTCTGGAGAGATGGCTAGTACGGCTGCAAAGAGACGTAGCAGGCGCATGTCTACCCGGGAGCGGAGGCGGACAAGAAGTGAGTCTGTGGCCATGAAGGCTGAGGACATGTTAAAGCATATCCAAAATGAGGAAGATGTACCTCCCCTGCCACTCCCTCGAAGCAGTGGCTCAAAAAGACTCGCCAGCTCAGACCGAATGCGGCGGCTAGCATCTTTAGTAGAAGAGAAGGATATTGAAGGAAAGATTTCTTGAAGGACCTATTTTTTTTTTGTTTTGTCTGTTTTTTTTTCAGGCCCTTTTGTATAAAGTTATATAAACAGAAAATATTGTACGACGCTCTTGTGAGCCAATCCCAACAAACCACAAAGAAATATATTTGTTGTTCCGATCCGCATAACAGCCGATCCTGTCTTTATTGGAAAGCAAGGAGTCCAAGACGTAAGCAATAGTGAGCAGGACTGTTCATTCTACAAGTTGGGCTTATATTTTATCTACTGCTCATTCCCTTGGCATCTCAACAGAACATCCCAATCACCGTTCTTCTGTCTTTTTTGCTCTGATGGCATCCCCACACAAAGACAAATTATCGCCGGGATGGGTTGACCAGAACAAAAATGAACTGAATGCCTCTCATCAGTCAAGTCCCTTTGGAAATCCTGCCCAGACAAATGCTTCCACAAAGAATAATAGCCCAGTCGCGTCTCAGGAAGAAAACAACTCTCCTCATCATGAGATAGTTGGTGATGCCAGTGCATTGTTCGGAGGAACCTCTAATGCAACTGATCCATTTTTTTCATCCATTACACCTGCCGAAGATTCTTCCTCTTTTTTTGATAATGTTAGTGCACCTGCACCAGAAAAAGCCTTTGACTACACACACCAGGCGCAAGCTCATGATACTCAATATGATTATCAGTCACAGAAAACTTATAATCACACCACCGAAGCTAATACAACCGGACAATACTACAACCCTACACAGCAAGCATACGACCCTTCGCAACAGCAATATGATCCATCACAACAAACATATAATCAGTCACAACAAGCCTATAACCATTCCCATCAGGCTTACGACCCTTCACAGCAGGCTTATGACCCTTCGCAACAAGCTTACGACCCTTCGCAACAAGCTTACAACCCTTCGCAACAAGCTTACGACCCTTCGCAACAGGCTTATGACCCTTCGCAACAGGCATACGATCCTTCGCAACAGGCATACGATCCTTCGCAACAGGCATATGACCCTTCGCAACAAGCATACGATGCATCGCAACAATGGATTGCATTTGATCCTAATCAGCATTATTACTATGATGAACAAGGCCAGCTTCACTTTTATGACCCCAACACAAATCTGGATGTAGATTATCAATACCCGGGCACAACTGAAGAGTACCAATTTGACCCTCAGTATGCACAGTATTACGACCAAAATGCTTATGCTGCGAATGACCAAGTTGCAGTAGATCAGCCAGCAGCTACATCGGTGGCGCATTCGGATGCACAGCCCCAGTCGGATTCTTTAGCAACCCACCCAAATACTAAACCATTGCATGGCACAGACTCATATCTTCATGATACACAAGACTACGCTCAATTTGAACCATCAGCCACAGTCACTAATAAGTCAATGCCATCTTTTGAGGCTGAGCACTCTCACCCTCCTATATCTACAGGGGTGTCATTCGATAAAGGAGAAACAGCTGGATCATGGAAGGATAATTCTGTTTTCAGTCCTGGCGAACATGAAGCAACTGTTCCCACTATAACTCAAACTACAGTTACAGGTGCCGCAGAAGTACCCGTAATGGAAGAGGATGAGGACGAATTAAAGGGTGGGTTACCAATGAAGAAGACCGAGAGTGAACAGATGAATGTGTTCCAAAACGAACTCGGGGCTAGCGATGGGTATACATCAGTTAAGCAATATGATAATCAAGCAAAGGACCGATCCAAGTCCCCTTCTATTCATAAAGACTTCCAGGAAAATACCGGTAAGGATCAACTGCCTGCAAATTCTTCAGAACAAATGACATTTACTGGCTTGTTGTCAAAAGACTTGTTAAATATGCGTGAAACTGTCGAGTGGGGAAACACACAAGAATCCTCTGACAAAGATGCTCCTACACGTTATCAGCATCAGAAAGAGGGATTTTTCTACGGTGATCAAGTGTATAAGCCCGAGGAACATAGTGTCACTCTCCACAAGAACGATGCAGAGGATCAGACACGATGGGACGAACAAGGAGAGTCAGTAAACTTTAATCAATACGATCATTCCTATGGATCTTCAGAACCGGTTGTATCCAGAAATGTATCTGAAAATAATGATAAATCAATATTGGAAACCGATACCACAAAAGAGGTTGATGTATTTGCACATTACGGTAACAATCAGACAAAAGAAAAGTTGCCCGAGAAGGATGTTGAAAATGATTTAGATGATCTTGTTTTGGGTGAAAGTGATCCCACCAAAGGTGTTCAAGAACATACCACAGACTACTCCAATAATATGTACAACAATTCTTACGAGCCTCATACTCAACAAGACTATTCTGTGGCTTATAGTCCTTATGATCATACATCAACTATCTCTGGTGATGCCGAGAACACTCCATCTTATCAAAATTCTTATGAACCCCAGACTTACCAAGATAACTCTACAGAATATGACGCCCGCGATATTACACGCACATCTGGTACTACCAAGAAAGAATCATCTAATGAGGCACATACCAAACAAGACTACTCTGGGCAGTATGACTCGCTTAATACAACTTCTGCGAACCATGAAAACTCATATGAGCCTTATGGCGAGCAGAACTATTCTGCACAGTATGATGGTTATAATCCAAGTACAGAAGATGCAGAGAATTATGATCAAAATGGATCGTATGAACCTCAAAATAACCAAGATTACTCTGCACAGTATGATCCTAATACTAATACTACTGAACAAGAGCCGTCTTATGGATACCAATCTCACCAAGATCATTCTACACAGTACGACAGCAAAAACTCTAGTTCGACAGAAAAGCAATCATCGTATGAGTCACAAACTCACCAAGACCATTCTAGACAATATGGAGCTTACAATGCTGCTCCAACTGATAGAGTTGTACCTTATGGGACAAGCAGCCCATATGAACCTCCCACAACCCAAGATTTATCAACAAACTACAATGAGTCCGATAAAAATCAGTCCCAGCTAAACATAACCCAACACGAAAAAACAAGCTACGAGTTTTCACCTCATAGTAAAGCAGAACCTTCGATTCCTGCTATTCACAGAGGTAGCTTCCCGGGTACCACTCAAGGATATCCTGTACCGTTTGAAGGTTATAACCATAGTCCTATGGAGCGCTCTTCAACTGTCCCTCCCCCTCCTATCTCGAGAATGCTTACACCTCGACCGGATATTCCCCAGCCCTGTCCACACCCTGCATGCGAAGGTGAAAATAAAGCTCGAGCCAAGTTCTGCTGTGAATGTGGTCGTCCCTTGGCTGGAATCTCTCGATCCACTACACCTGCTGCTCACTCTACACAAAGCTTCCTTTCTTATACTCCAATAAATGCCGATCTTCGCTCATATGCTCCAACTGCTATGGAATCCTCTCCTCCTGAAGCTCAACGTTACACCCCTAACCATCTTCACCCAAACACACAGGATAATCAGGAAACCGCTGTACGTGCTTTTATCCCCGAGCATCACTCGCCGTACGAAAATGCATATACTGAGGTCTCTGCGGTGGATAATGGTTATGGAGAAGAACTTGTTCAGCAAACACAGGAATTACCTCCAGATCCACTCAAGAGATCCGGTGGATGTCCTCTAATTTCATTTGGATTTGGCGGAAAAATGTGTGTCATGTTCCCACATACAGTTCAACGCTTCACTACTGCTGGATATGACACAAGCGCACCAATTATCAAGAAAATGCCAAGTGCTATCAAGATTTTTAATTTAAGGGATGCGGTTGGTGGTGATCAGGACTCGACTGTCAAGAGCATGTCGAGCTTTGTTGGGCCAGTTTTGTTCGATGCCAAATTGAGTGCCAAAGCAAAGAAGAAGGAGGTACTGGCTTACATGGATAAGCGACTAGCAGATTATGATGCTCTCTTGAGTGATGCCTCAAATAATGGACATGCACTAGATGATATTGAGAACAAGACACTTTTGTGGAAACTGGTCAAGGTTTTAATTGAACAGGAAGGCTCTCTTGGAGACAATGATAAGATGGACGCAGCTGTGCGTGGACTTTTATGGCCTGTAACAGCAACAACAGCTGAGGAGGATAATGCCAACTTCAGTGTTCCAGCTTATGGACAGGCAAATCCGGCTCTTACTGAAGGAGAAGATGCAGACTACTCTGAAGTTGTGCTAAATAAGCTCCAAAAGTTCCTTGAGAATGGTGATCGTGAGGGAGCTGTCGACTACGCAGTACAAGAGGATATGTGGGCCCATGCTTTGGTAATTAGCAGTTGCGTAAACAAGGAATTATGGAAAAAGGTGACAAGCGAATTCATTGAGCGGGAACTCTGTGCAACTGTGGAGAGTAAGCAAACACGCGTCTATCATAATGTCATGGGTGATAAACAGGCTTTGAGAGTACTGTATGCTCTGTTTGCTGGTTCAGGTGCCGGATCAAGTAAGTAAAGTAAAATATTTAAAGAAATAATTGGTAGCTTCTTTTATGGACTTACAGAATACTAACGTTTTCTTCTATTACTACTATTACCTAGTATCTGAGTTTGTTAAAACGTCTGATAAGCATGTTACATCGCACTATGGAGCTACCCCTACAACGCCTTCCCCTGTGAGCGTAGATCAGTTGAGACAATGGCGCGAAACACTGCTGCTTATTCTTGCTAACAGAACACCAAGAGATGTGGAAGCAATCACTGCTTTGGGAGACATATTGAAAGCTCAAGGATGGATTGAAGCTGCACACTTTTGGTAAGTTTATAATGAGAAAGCAATATAGTACCAAAACTCGTATATCTAGTGCCATATATGTATATGTACTGAAGGTTGTTTTTCTGTTTCTTTCTTAAAACTTGACTTGTTTATTTAGTTATGTGGTATCACCTCAGTCCTCTTTGCATTCTGGAATCGATGCCCCTCATGTTCGTTTTACGATTTTGGGTGCTGATGGTAGCAATATCTCCAAGGATCTGGACAGTATCCATCTTAGCGAGTTATATGAGTATGCTCTATCCACCAAACAGGCAACTATTTCTTCATTACCATTCTTGCAAGCATACAAGCTTGTTTATGCATGGCAACTGGCAGACTACGGGTTCACTTCTCTGGCACAGCGTTACTGTGAGGCTATTGCTGGAGCGATTAAGGCGAACACAAAGAGAACACCATGGATGCATAGACAGTTTGTGGAAAGACTTGAAGAATTTGCCGAGATTTGCGAGATTTCCAGTGGAAACTCCCTTTCGTAAGTTTGAGCACAAATATGTTTGGGATACAAGTGAATGGGTATTACAGTATTTAAAAGGTCTCCTGATTTTACTTTATTCTCTATAGAGGGGATGCCGGCTCTTGGCTAAAGACAAAACTAGCAAAGAATTCACTAGACTCCTTATGGGGCTCTCTTGAAGGAAGATTTAACAAATTCGTGAGCGGTGATGATGCACCAGCTGCTGAACCTGTTGGTAGAAAATCGACTGAAATTATGGCTGACGGTTTGCCAGCTCGTAGTGTATCAGCCTTTGACTTTAGAAATGGTGGCCGTACAAGTGTGGGGCCTGAGCACATGAGACGTTCGGCCACGCCAACCACTACTGTGACAGCAGAAGGAGTTGCACTTGAAAGACAGATGACCTCTTCTCCGTATTCTAGAGCTCAATCTAGCTTTGAGGTATCTCGTAATGCTACCCAAAGTCCAGCTATTGGTGGCCAAGACAAGCTTAATCAAGGCTACGGCGGTTACGGCGGTTACGGCGGTTACGGAACTCCCGGCTATAGCTATGGTCAAGAGCCAGTACGCCCTCCCACGGCTACATACTCCCCATTCCAGCAAGGGAGTGCACCACCACAAGCGCCTGGTCAAGCTCAAAATGAATATGGATACAGCCCTCAAACAGCTCCATATGGAAATAATCAATCTGGCGGTTGGTGGGGTGCTGACCCGGGCGCAGAACAACCTGTAGAGTCAAATATTCAACAGCCTGATTACCAACAACAACAACAACAACAACAACAACAACAACAAGCACCTTCTATTAATACTACTTCTAGCTACCAGCCTAGTAACTATGCACCTTCTAGCACTCCTGCTACATCTACATGGGCTGGTGGAGATGATGATGATCTTGGCTTTGGTAACTCTAGTCTTAAGAAGGATAAACCTGCTCCCAGTGGGACTTCTGATGGACCTAATAATGAGTCAACACAAAACGAACCTGAAAAAGAGGAGAAACCTCAAGAAACGAAGCAAGAAAAACATGGTAAGGAATATTGATTTTATGAATAAATATGTCTCTAACATATAAGCAAATATTTATAGGATGGGGAATCTTTTCTCTTTTCTCTCGCTCCTCTGCGCCTGCTGCTAAGGAAGATAAGAAGGCCATCAAGGCAAATCTTGGCGAGCAAAATAACTTCTACTATGATGAAAAAGAAAAACGATGGGTCAACAAATTGGTAAGCAAGCAAGTTCTATATAAATATTATATACAATCAATTTGGTAAATTAAGTGTTTTTTTTTATGTTCACTAATAGGCTGAAAATAACACACCTGCGCCAGCCGCATTGCCACCACCACCAAAGTCTTCTTCTGTAAATCCAACTCGTGTATCTTCTCCCGCAGGTCCCCCACCTCCATCACAAAATGGCAGAGCAAGTCTTGCTCCTCCTCCTCCTAGCGGACCAACACGTATGAGCTCAGCTCCTGTACCAGGATCCGGACCTCCTCTTGGAGGATCATCTGGAATATCTTCACCAGACTTTGGTACCCCACCACCGCTTGCAGGAAAGAGGGCAATGACAACCGGCGGAAGAAAGCCTATGCGGTCACGATATGTAGACGTGTTTAATCAGCCACCTTCTAGTTAAAAAAAATTAACAAACTGGAAACATATATCACTAAAACAGAGTGTGAGAGTAGATCTAATTAATCCTAATGACTTATTTTTATGAATATGATAATAAAAGCATCCTTCTTAAATATTTACAGATATTCAGTCTAGTGCCTACAAGAAGACTAGTTTTTTCTTCTGATAATATTTATTAATTAGCTTCATATCTGATATTTTAATTAATATCAGAAAATTAATTTGAGAAAGAAAAGGTCTTATTACTATAATTCAAAAAGTGCTCTTTAATAAGATCTTGATCAAGACCATGGGATTGAAAGGGTAAATAACCAAGTATCAGATATTTTATAAAGTCCTTGTGAGAATCGAACTCACCCTCTTTTCTAATCAAGATCAGAAAAAAGGCACCAGTCATGTCAACCAAAGTTAACTAGACAAGGACCTAAATATATGTATATATATATAAGAATCCCGAAGGTATTGAAGGTGTTCCGAAGAACAAATTCAAAGACAAGGGCTTAATCTTCAGTGATAAATGATTACAGGATCATTTTACACCTTCGACACCCCGTCGATTTCATATAGTCTGTATGCGATTTTTTCCTTCCCAGTATTAACATTACATGTGACCCGATCAATCAAGACCAAGGTCAGCTAGTATAGTACTAGGCCCAAGAGCCAGGGTGTACAATTTGTACGCGGGAAGTATATTTTAGCATTGTCTAAAACCCAGAGATGCGACTTAAAGACGTTCGGTCACATTCTGACAAGCGTGACTTTGTAGCACTGGCCAAATCGACCGACTACAACGTTGCAGAGGCTTGAAGATAAGAAAAATACTTGCGTACTTTACTTCTTGGTTCGTACAATACTGGTACCATCAGTAAAAAGAAAATGACCTGACATCACGACGGTCTACTGCCGAACTCTGGTCCCACCTTTATGGTAAGGTTTGGTCCACCCCAGACATAAGTCTCTCGCACGGGCTGAGTGGCTTGAAAAAGAATGTCACAACAGCATACTCCATAGCTTTTGCTGCTGCGCTCACCAAACTTGTCTGTTCTTCTTTCTTCGCCTAACCTCAGATCTAGAATAGATGCCAAAGTTGCGGAAGAGCACTCCACGGCCTCACACGCAAGGGATGAGAAGGCTTCGATGGAAGGTTTCGGGCTAGTTCGTCTGCGGTGAACAGCGTTACTCCCAAGCCATGTCCACCCGCTGCCGATGCAGGGGGTTGGCCAAATGGGTGGTGGTATTTCATTGGCGCCTCTAGAAAGAAGCTCCCACCTAAAGACGCGCCCGAAGGCTCCCGTCTGTGACTACACCCCACTTGGCCGCGTCTATGTTTGACTTTGATATGTGGAGACTGGAGCCGAATCAGACAAGTTTGGTTTTTCTTTACTGAACGCTGAGAGGCCCATACCCTCTAGTTGGTTTGGTTGAGACCAGTTTTGGTGTAAACACCTCCGCTTCTGTCTCCAAGAGGCTTACATCAATCTCCTCCATTAGACCGAAATCTAACAGAAAAGACTGAATATGGTAATTGTATACCATGTGTAGGTGCATGCGCTTTTAGAATGTACATAACATAAAATGAATAAAGAAAATAAGTATAAGAAATAAAGCATGGGAAGAAATGTAACATTAATGTACTTACCATCTCTACGACCACAGAGCGTGTACGCATCACACTACGAATCAAGAATTCATACACTACTATTATGAATAATAGCAGAAAAAAACAGCCTCAAGATAAATCTTATGGGTTTCTTAAACAGTATAAACCTTGTAAAAAGAAGAAGAAGAAAGAAAAATGAAAAAAAGAGTTAATGTAAAGTCAATGTTTTGGTAAAGCATTAAGTAATGCATAATGAGTAATGGTGCTGATTGAGTAAATTGGTTTTTTTATAACAAAAAAAAACGCGTTTTACACGTAAAGATGTGTATAAAGAAGTGGTACTTACTTGATTGTTCCTAAGAATGGTGCATAGAGGAACAAGAGAAAAAACTAGACAGCAAGTTCCTCAGTACATATTTATCTCTTTCTCTCTCTATCTCTCTCCCTATAAAAAAATAAGGGGTCATTGGCGTTATTTGTTTTCAAAATAATACTATATCTATATTTAGTTAAGACTAAATTCCTACACATAGAAATTCCTTGACTTTCATATATCAAAGAGTTTTTATATTAAAGACCTCTTGATATTATCACATTACAGTCTATGTTAATAGTAAATATTTTCTATGATATAGTTAGTTAAAGACATACAGCTACCAAGCTGCTCTAAAGAGCTTTTGTAGCTTATGATAAGTTATATATATGATAAATGTATAATGTATATTATTTTTTATTAGAAGCTATATATTTAATTAACCACTGAATCTATTGCATGATTTCCTTTAATTATATAGCTGGAAACCTGGTTTTTTCTGTGTATATAGCTATTATTATTTATCAAATATGCCGAATACAGGAATATGTGCAACTCTGTTTAAACAGAATCTATGATTATATTATTAGGGCATAAGAGTTTTTTCTATAGCAATACAAAAGAATGGGAGTGTCTTTAGAATAGTATTTTGGTCAAATACTATATTTTCGTTCTTTTACTTTCTATATTGATGCAATCTAGCAACATAATCAAAGTTTCTGTCCATATAAAAGTAATTAATTCATAAATCATCATAAGCATATATCTTGTAACTTATAAAAGGTGCTTTATATTAACTTTTAGTATAGTCCTTAGTAACAGACTTGGTGTATTTATGAAGTAATACTACTAGTATTTCTAGAAATGCATAATAGTTGGGAGAACAAAAAAAAAGAATCTTTTTAAATTAAAAATTGTATAAATAGTATGATTCTGACTATATAAGTAATTACATTAATACATTCTGTCGCTTTACATCATAAGGGCATCTACAGAGGTAGCTGTGTAAATTTAGATTGATTTTAGACATTCATTAACTATCTTTTTACACATACTGCCGGGAATGTCCTAGATTGAGGCTTTATCTTTGAATATCTTGGTTTACATTCTACTTTCTTTACTACTATATTTTTTGTAAATATATGTTGAACTATGTATTAAGTACGGCTACATGATATGCTTTATTATATAAATCTCTACTTCAAATATTAATAATAATTGTGCATATTATAAACAGTAGTTGAATATAGTAGTATTATAAGAAAATGTTAGTTTAATTGTTTGTTACATGCACCATATAGTTTTTATAGCTTTTAAAATGTACTTCTTTAATTACAGGTATATAATTGTATCAATCTTTTTATTACCTATATATCCTATCTGAATTAATGAATACATTTGCACAGACCGACAGGTTTGTGAATGGCGATCATATTCTTGTGTAGTACAGCGGACTTGATCGTAGTATGAAGCACAGACACTAACTTGGCAGTACAAGAAACTCAATTTTTTATGATCTAAATGTTTGGACTTTGACTCGAGACACAATCAAAAGAGACGCCGCGCTATATATTACATTTTCTTTAAATAAAAGTGCTTCATTAATTAAATGCACCATAATTTTCTTTTAAATATATTGTCTTACAATTGAGACTTCAGTAATAGATTAATGTTAATATTAATATGAATACTGATACTAACACTAATTTGTTACGTTCCACTTCGTTTTTTTTTTAAAAAAAAAACATGGGTTTTTTCTTCTTTCTTGTTTTCCACGCGTTGTTCAATTTTCTTATAGTTATCTGGAGGGTCTAATAATCTTAATATATTCAATTTGACTGGACTATTGAACAAATACAACAACAATAAAAAAAAAGACTATTTTTTTTAGGATTTTTTTTCTTTTAGCTTGTTACTTTTATATTACTGTTAAATCAAAATGCGTCAAAATCCTGTGTTCATGCTAGAGGTGACATATTAAAGGTTGAGTCCTCTAGATTAGTAACAGTAAAAATTACAAGTATAATAATAATATATGGTGCTTTATGAACATTACAAAAGCCAAGTCTAAATCCAATAATGACTTTGGACATGTAAACGTGGGATATAATACGCCGTTTTGTATGAGTAACCGCGGTGATACGGATTATCCCCTAACCATATATGACATTTCTCATCTTTTTGCAGCACAGCAGAATTTGGAGTAAGATCACGTAATAGAGATCGAATCAGTCTTGTGCGCGTATGTAATTATGACTATATATATACAAGTATTTGGTGGTAGGTAAGAATATAGCGAAAGGGTATTCTTATTATGGTATCAATATTGAATGCGTAAACACTGTTAAAGACAAGCACATTGTCGTGGTTTCTTGTCAAATAGTTGGATATAAATTATATATATTACCAGTTCTTATTAAAGAAGTTTCGTTTAATGTGAAGGGGAGTACAAGTCTAGGCTCCAAAAAAATCTTAAATATATAGGATTGTTGTTGTTTTTGTGTTCTTTATGATAGCACTCGCTAATAAGGAGGTATAAAAGATCTCCTTGATTAGAATGACATCTCTAGGGTGGATCTTATTCCAACATTGTATAAGTTTTCTTTAGGGATCTGAAACCAAGGGAGATGATGTGATTGATGTCTCCTTTGAATTCGCAGTGGAAATGACAAAGGAAAAAGGGTGAGGGGTTGATATACAAATTCAGAGAATGGCGGTTGCGCCATATTCTCATCTACCTTATCTACATGTGTTGCCGGATCTAAGCCTTTTGTATGCGAGAGACTATTCTTACTCTACAACTCATTAATCTAAAGATCAATACTGGGCTTAGGTTTGAACTTCTTGACGGCTCTATCTGCCGCTCTAAATTGAAGTTGAGGACCATACAAGGTAAAGACACCCGGACAACATTCCATTTCCATCGTAAACACAGAGCTAATCTTTGGTATTTCTGTCATACATGTATACAAAAATAGATCAGAACAATAGGCTCACGTCTTTGCCAGACTCAAAACTTCACTTACGTTGCAATTTGTTGTTTTTGGAAATAATCTTGAATACACTAAGAGTCTCTTGAACCACTATTCCCTCTATGCCCACATAGGATGGATTCTTACTTTTGATGACTATACGATTAAATCAGTACCAGATCCAAAGCAAAAAAAAATAAAAGAAAATATTATCTCTTTATTCAAGCAATCAATCTTTACCTTTGAATATCGCACCGTGAAAGTCTGCTTTGAGCAATTTCTGTGCAAATTGAGAAGGATTTGCTCCCTGCGAATAGACTTCTGCCATATACCCTTGCCAGAGTTTATTCAATTGAACGAAAATATCATATTTGTGGGCTTCAGCTGGAATATCATAGACCTTGAAAGCTCTTCTTTCGCGAGCATTCAATCGACGGCTCTTCTCGTGGGGTTTTCTCATTTTTTTCTTTTTGAGGGATTTTGCTTCCCCGAGCGATTCCGGAGAAGGATCTATACGCACTGGCTTCAGGTTTTGGATAACTTTTTCTTCAGAGGTAGTTTCATAGACAAGGTCTCGTACTACACTCTTGACGGCAGCCTTTGAAAAGAGATATATAATGGTATATATATATGTTTATGCATTTGTATAAATATACAATATTTATTAATGTGAAGATAATGTGATGATTAGGCAATTACCTCATCTTTAATGGGGTCTTTCTGTGTGCTATGCAGAGACTGATAGAGATTCTCGGCTGTGGTTACAAGAACGTGATTTTAATATACATATTTGACATGGAATCATAGATTCTTACGCTTTTCCATGATCTATTGATTAGGGTTATAAAATGAGTTGAGTTTGGAGGGATAACAAGTACACAAGCCACGCTTATTACAACTATAGCTGAGATATAAAAAAAATGTTAAAGAAGAACCTAGGGTGACACTGAAAATGCCCCACATTGAAGAAGAAGCAATAAAAGAATATAATAAGATCTAATAAAGAAATAAAAGCGCTATTTTGCACAAGAGTACACGAATGTGCTCCCACAAACAATAGTCAGCGCCAAATGTTATGTGTGTATGGCCGTAGAATGATAATGGGTTTGATAGATTTGTATAATCTAATGATTGTTCGTACGATAAAACTGCTGATCTGTCTTGTAGCTTAACCCGGCTTGCTCCTTTGAGCCAGGGACATCCCTAATTCTGTTATTTTCTTATGTCCACTTCTCCTCTCTACCCCCCCCCCCCCCCCCCCCCCCCTTACCTCTTTCTTCCAATACCCCTACCTCTCTTTACCTTTTTATCTATATTCTCTCTTACTCTGGATCATTAATTCAGTCACTGTGGGTATTTTGAGTAAAAGTTTCTGCAAGTCTATTGGTTCTTGTCCCTTTTTTCTACCTCTCCTTTTCTACCTCTTTCTCACTCACCTGGTTTTTTATTCTATCCTATTTTTCCTTATTTGGATATTGATTGATAGTAAAACAAAAAGGCTGTATTCTAGAGACAAAAGAAAATATGAGATTTTATTATAATAAACGCATCTTTACAAATTACTTACGTACAAGTGTGTCAACATGCACTTTGTCATGGCTTACATCTCTTTCTCGATCCTTCTGATATATTTTTGGCTCCTCTGTTACCTAAAGTCTTCCATATGTACATATAAATATATAGAGTATGTGCCAAAAATACGACGAATCTCCGCGCCAGTTGTGCCATATAGTTTGAAGCACTATTTTTCCTTTTTATTTTCCTATATTTTATCGGTCTTGTTTTTTTTGTCCCTTTTACTCTTTATGGGATTGTCCTCTCTTTTTCCTATTTCCTTGTCTTATTATTTCTTTACAGTGTATATATAATCTATATATATATATATAGATTAAGTATATATATATATATCTTTAAAAGTGTATATATTAGTTTATCTATATATATAAATATTCTCTATATATACACAACCTTTAAAGAGGTCAAGGAAACCAACAACATCAACAAAGAAAGAAGAAAACTCTCCTCAAGAAGGCGAAGAAGTCGAAGAGGAAAATTAAAAAAATAAATAAAAAAGACTAAAGGAAAAAAAATCAACAGTCGTCCCTATTTCACATCCTTCCGGTGGTTCTTTTACAACGCAACCCCTCCCTCCCCCCTCTCTCACCTCTTGGACAACACAATGTCAACAGCAACGATGCAAATGCAGTCCATCTCGGGCATAATTACCCAAGTGCGACTGACACAGGGTGAAGTGCCTCCTCCCCTTGTCGGCGCATCAGTCACAGTGGTCAATGATCAAGTTTTTGTCTTTGCAGGAAGACTCGTTTCATCTCGAAAGATGACCAATCACCTCTACATCCTCGACCTCAACACTCTTCTGTGGAGCCGTCATTTCCCTGCACCAGACTCAGACTCACCACCCCAGGCACGCTACTTTCACTCAGCCAGTGTATATGGAAATTCGCTCGTCTTCTTTGGTGGTATGGGCCACTCGCTCGAAACGGAACAAATCGCAGTTCTCAACGATGTTTCTCTTTTTGACCTAAGTACAATGAGCTGGAAGAAACCTCCTCTCCAATCTTCAACCCACGCACCGAGCGCACGATATGCTCACCTTTCCTCGGTTACGGATGATCGTCTAGTCATCGTCGGCGGTCAGGATATAAGCAACAAATATATTAGTGAAATCAATGTTCTCAGTCTGAAACGCTGGGAATGGGTTCAAGCCAAAACATTTGACAAATCCATTGGCGCATATCGATCGGTAGCCATTACAACTCCTACAGGAACTCGGCTACCTGTGCTTTTACGTGAACCGATGTCAGATAACGAAGATCACCCGCAATCTCAACAAGACAAGGATCAGCCTGTCGTGGACTACAACCATCGAGCATCTCTAGTACGTCAATACGGTCAATCACTTCAGAGTACCCGTGAGCCAAGTCCTATTTATCTATATTCAAATCACAGCTTTTCGGATGTCCGTAGAGAACTCCAATTGATCTTCTTACCCAATGCAACAGCCTCTAATATCGAAGACTGCTCTAGTTTTATGTCTGGAACAATGATGCCTCCTGGGCTACGATTTCCTACCGGTCACACTCTTGGCCATCATCTTATATTGGCAGGAACTTACCTCTCGCCACAGTCACAAGCATATACCATATGGTCTCTCAATCTAGGCACATTAACTTGGGCACGCATCGAGACCGGAGCCATGTTTTCGACTGGATCATGGCACCGTGGTGTATTACATGAGAACACAAACCGGTTTTTGGTCTTTGGTAACCGCACCCGAAGCTTCCTCGAAGATTATACACATCGTCAGATGAATTTTGATCATCTTGCCACAGTTGATCTCGAAGCATTTGGGGTGTATCGTCTGCCACGGACCACTTGTTCGTCTCTCGCCCAAGAAATGGGGTTATCGTTACTCAATGAGCCTGCCGTGGCCGATTTCCATATCATCACCCGAGAACAACAAACCATACCAGTCAACTCAGCCGTATTGGCCCAACGATGGCCTTACTTTGCTGACCTTATTCAGGTGTCTACTGAAGGGCTGGATGTGGTCGATCTTCCCGAGACTTCTGGGACAAAGAGTCGAGGTATGGCATTTCCGTACCCGTATGCCGTGGTCATTGCCCTCTTACAGTTCATCTACACGGATAATCTCTTGACTGCTCAACAGTACCAGCCTCACATTCTATCGCAGCTACTGCTATTATCGGATATGTACAATCTACCCCGTCTCCGCGAATTATCTACCCATGCCCTGCACCAAATGCTCAATATGTCTACTGCCCCACTGATATTCGAAACTGCTGCATTATCCCACCAGACAAGTCTTCAGATCCGAGCGCTCAAGATGATGATTGCTGCCAAGAAGATGATTCAGCAACAGCAACAATCGCACTCAGAAAGCCATTCACGTATCCGCACACACTCTCACTCTTCGCCCTTGTTTTCTGATTTCCCACTTTCACCAACCACGCCAACACATCGACCATCTTCAACTTCTCTACCGTCTCCAGCACTTTCACCCACACAACCTGCATTCGACTCAGCCTATGCCTCTAGAGCTCATTCTATTAGTCAAAAGTCTTCATCACATCAAGTCGCGCGTGCATCTGTCATGCCGTTTAACCTTGGTATAACACATTCTAATACCCCCGTTGTTTATGAGCAGGATTCTCCTCCGCGCTCAGCAGGATCATCTTACAACATTCCAAGTCCTCAACACTCACCTACTGTCCATGGACCATCGTCTACTGCGGTTATTCAAAATAATCATATTGGAAATGGTATTGGTGCGGCTGCTTCACCTACGATTGGACCAAGTGCAAGTATCAGTACAAGCCTCAATGCAAGTGTCAGTACTGGGACTTCTCGAGCCACTCGTTCAGCTACAGCACCTGCCAATACTACGAATACCACAAAATCCAAGAAAAAGGAATCTAGGATACGTCCCTTTCTTGGTGCATTCTCCAATAAGCTCTCCATGTTTCAATAAGCCACTACTTACCTATCTCTCTATCACTCACGCACTCCCTCACTCACGCTTTCCCTCACTCGCTCACGCACTTACAACTCACAGCTCACAACTCACAGCTCACAACTCACAACTCACAACTCTTCCACGCGCACACAAAAAAATCAGAAAGAGCCTTCATGCCTACGTTCTGCTCTTTGGATTGTCTTGTTTATTATCGTATTATTAATATTAGTCTTTTTTCCTTTATTCTTCTTCTTTTCCTTATATTATTACTATTACTATTACTATTACTATTACTATTACTATTACTATTACTATTACTATTACTATTATTATTACTATTACTATTACTATTACTATTACTATTATCTATATATATATATACAAGTGTACTCATAACTTATATGTACGTGTGTGTGTGTGTGTGTGTGTGTGTGTGTGTGTGTGTGTGTTTTTTTTTTTTTCACACCATATCCATTCATTACCTCTTCCTCATACTTGTTCTTGTTTCTTTTGGTCTTGTTTGTCGGTGATTGAATAAAATAAGAAAATTGGCCAACGTAGGCCAGCACATCTCAACTGGACTTGTTCTCTTTTTTTTTTCTTTTTTTGGTTCCCTTGTCGCCATGGACATTGCCTTTTTGCCCATTGGAAAGCACACTGTTGAACTAGGACGCTCATTTCAATCTAATAATAATAATACTCGAAACGATTTATATGCACTCCATTGTAAGTGATTGGAGATTGTAAATTATGTATATGTATATGTATATGTATATGTATATATATGTATATATATATATATATAAGTGTGTATATATCATTATATCATTATATATCTATATATAAATACATGTTGGGTTCTCTGACGTCCATCACCTTTGTTAAGTTACCACCAAACCAGAATCCGGGCTATTGTCTCGACCGCTGACCATTCAACAAGAGAGCAATGATCTTTACCAACTACAATTTAAATCACGAGGGGTAAGATGCATAACTACAAGCAATAGACGATTGTGCTCATGTAATTTAATAAGCTTCAAGGAAATAATAATAATGCACCTTTTGAGTATGAGGGTGTTCCAGAGCCTAACTCTGATCCAAACGAAACAGAAGTACTATTGATATATGATGAAAAATCACAAGTAAGATATAAACAATTTTTCTTTCTCTGTGATAAGTCTCAAGTAAAGAGTATATATATATATATGTGTGTGTGTGTGTGTGTGTGTGTGCTTATGTAAAAGTGGATAGATGTTTACTGAATTTTAATCAAAATGTTAACAATTGTGTATTATGAGCTAATGATCTTCTTCTTCTTTTCTCTCTCTTGTAAATTTCAACTGACATTAATTCTACAATAGACTTTTATATTAGAAGAATCACCGGTTCGACTCACTTTGAAAAAGTCTCGCAAACGTAAGATCAGTAACAAACAGCCTCGTAAGGTTGTTACTGAAATTGTTCAGCCGGGTGGGGGAGTGCGAAAGATTGACGAAAGGCCAGGAGAGGAGATTGTAGATGACTTTGCTTTCGATATTCTCAAAGATATGGAAGAGGTTCTTGGTGAAGACGATGATGATGAAGAGGATGATAAAGGAGAGGATGGAGAAATATCAGGTGCTAATAAGCAACAACAACAGCAACAGCAACAGCAACAACAACAGCAACAACGACGACGACAATCAATTGTTTCACCTATTATATCTACTATGGAAGTTGACGAAGACGATGATGACGACGACGATGATGATGTTATCTTTGAAGAATTCGTTTCGCCTGTCGAACCCTTAACAGTAGCTAAAAAATCTCCCAAAATCACAATGCCCCCTCCGTCATCTACTCCTCCAAATAATGGTAATACTGCATCGGCTCAGTCGGCTCAATCGGCAGAAGCAAAGCGCCGAAAATACACCATGGCCTCTGTACCTATTCGTCACCCCGGGATAAGAGATCCTCCGCCACAACCTTCTCTTAATTCTGCACAACAATCAACAACACAATCATCAACACAGCCATCCCAACCGTCACTACAACTCCCACCTACTGGTTTATCCGTGTCTCAAAACCAACAACATCCGCAATATGCTGGCAAGAAGCTCACACCGGCTGTTACACCAGCTGGACCTTCTCTGTTCAACGGTCGTGGCAGAAGTCCGAAGAAATCTAATAGTGGTGCTGCTTCTTCATCTGGGTCGGATGAATCTTCCTCGTCGGGATCATCCGATTCAGGATCTTCTTCAGAAAGTGGATCCGATGTTGATAGTGGGAGCTCGAGTGGTAGCTCGAGTGAGGATGATGACGACGACGACGATGATGATGATGATATCGATGCACTTGCAGAGAACATCTCTCGTAGTCTTGCCAAAGAAGGTCCTTCTGCACCTTCTTCTCCCCGGCACAATTACACCGGCACACATTCTTCTGATCATTCTATTCAAACCAACTCTATCCCTACATCTACTGCTGCTGCTACTACTACTACTAATTCTGCTACTACTACATCTACATCTACTACATCTAACACATCTACTACTATTACAAACTATAAACCTTTGCATAATCCACCTTACCAAAGCCCTCTTTCTTCCCGTCCGAATAGTACACCTGTTCCCAGTCGGGGAGGAAAACCAATGTCTCTGCGGGCTCTATTTAGTAAGTCGAATATCAAGAATTAAACAGGCAATTCAGATGTAAGACTAATATATTTTTAGAAGAAGAGGCAGAAGAAGATGGCGTGTCAGGTTCAAGTAGTGAGAATGAATAAAAAAAATAAAAAAAAAACATGCATACATACATATATATATATGCCTTTTTTTTTTCTCCCCTTGAATAGAACATTTTTATAAATATTTGGATATTTTGCGACTTTTTTTTGGCTTGGAAAAAAAATATGTGATTTTATATATATTTTTTTTCTTAAAAAAAATGAAAATAAAATTAATTTGTTGCTTACAAGATAACCTTGATCTTTGTGAATTTTCGTTTAAGACATTTTTAAATAGCAAATCATTATTTTCTTTTTCTTTTTTTTCTTCTTTTTTTTTGGGGGGTGGGGAGAAGAAGCTTATTGGCCTTATTTTATATATATATATATATCTTCTTTCTTTCAAAGTCTCCCCAGTTGGTGGTGTTGAATGAGTTGAATGGGTTGAATGGGTTGGAGATAATTTATTTAATTTTTTGTATGTGATACAAATAAGCACAAGCAAATACTTGGTTTATTGGTAAGCGATTAAGATTTAGTATTTGCTTGGAAATTGGTTGAATAAGCTTGGTTGTACAAGAAAATACAGAAAAAAAATGGAAGAAAGAAAGGAAGAAAGGAAGAATTAATTGTACCAAAGAGGTATTTTGATTGTATTCTATACTCCATTTAGCGAGACTTTATTTTGTCTTTTTTTGATTTGATTTTATTTTATTTTATGTTATTTTATGTTATTTTATGTTATTTATTTTAGTTTGTAAGCTTACTTGCGTTCCTGAAGATCCCTGTTGATCCTTATTTTTATTCTTTTTTTTATATGCTTGGTGTAGGTCGATCTATTTTAACCTATAAATATATATGAGTATAGAATATAGAAAGCAAGTCAGAGTGCTTCTTTACATATATAATAATATAATATAATATGAAAGGAGTATGTACAGTACATGCTTGATTACACACAATGCCTGTATATCAATATATCAATCTCTCTCTCTCTGTGTGTGTGTACATATATTGTATTATACACCATATTTTGGGTTGACTAGTTTAGGAGGCGACCCTTTATTTCTTTTGGGTTTTCTTGCTTTATTTTTATTTTTATTTTCTTAAGAATACACGTGAATAGGCTTTATCTTACAAAACTATTTTACTTGAACAATTTTAATAAAAATCTGTAATATGTAATATGTAATATGTAATTTTTGATGTGTAATGTGTAATATACAATGTACAATGTGCAATGTGTAAAAATTAATGAAATTATATCTGGCGATAAAATTATCTCAAGACAAGAAACACTTGGCCCATGCATTTTGTGAGATGTCTAGCATTAATTATCCCAACAAGTGAGAACAATAAGAACCCCACTTATACGCAAACATATATTATATATTATTATTTTCTGTATCTTGAAAATATATAATTTAATTAAACTCTTATCAGAGAGACAGAAAAATGATGACTGATTTATGAATATTTGAATATATATATGTAAGTATGTATTTATGTATATATATATATTAAAAAAAAATGAATCAAGATGATATAATGTACAAGGCGATTGAAAAGAAGAGGAAGAAGAAGAATAAAATAAAATAAAGAAGAGAGATAAAAAAGAAATATAAAGATATAGATAGTATTTAAAGAATCCTTTCAAGGTTAATACATATATTTATACCTACACCTTTTTATTTCTCTCCTGAGAAGGGAAAAGAAAGGGCCAATTGATATAGAAATAATAGAAATAATAATAGAAAATGCATCCAGTAAATGTGTCAAAGTGTATGTGGAAAAGAGAAAAAAGGAAATGTAGAGCTGTGGGTGTGTGTCTGTAGGTAGGTAGGTAGGTAGGTAGGTAGGTAGGTAGGTTGTGATTGTGAGTGAAATTGTACGAGTGTGAATATGAATGTGTGTGAATGTGAATATGAATGTGAATGTGAATGTGAATATATGCTTAGTTTGTGTGCAATTGTGTGTGAAGTAGCTGACTGGACTTTTTGGCAAGATGATAGTAAAGAATGGTACTTTTTTTTTGCGTTGCTTTGCGTTGCTCTTTTTTTTTTACATTGCAATATCATCAATGTCTGTGTCATAAAACTCGACTTTGCTGGCAAGGGCTTCCTGTGCCTCCTTGATTAACAATTCGAGTCCGTCTGATATCTTTGTCATTCGTTCGTCTGTCTTTTTTGTAGCATTCATGGCTTGAATTGCAGATTCGTCGGTTGTATTATATATCTCATCATGATGGCCAGCATATCTCTCAGAGGACCAGGACTTGCGCTTGGTCTCAGATGATGACGAGGAGGAAGCTTTTGAATACTTCTATTATTATTAAAAAAAAGAAGAAAAAAATTAAATATTAATTATACATGCCTTATTGTATTTCCTTGTACACATTCTCTTTTTTTTCCTTTAATTTACCTTTTTGACTAGGATTGGCTTGGGTTCTACCAAGGTAGACTTGCTAGAGTGACGTCTCTGGTGTTGGTATTGTTTCCGTGTGACATCTTCAGTCCATTCCCGTGTGCGTTGTTGGCATGCATCGTCGAACTGGCTTGATTTGGTACGTTCCGATTGCCTTGATGATAGTGTTGGTTGGGCTCTAGGGGACTGGGGAGCGTCTTTCAACGGCTGAAGAGCGAGAGTACCGGTCCAGTAATTGTATGCAGTAAATGCGATGGCTGTAGCAAAGATAAAGACATCGAGAAACTTTTTTAAAAATATTTCGACTGTGGATGGTTGCCTAGATACGGCTGTATGAAAACTACTGGAAGTAGTCGAGGCTGATGGTCTGTGGTGTGTTGAGTAACGGCGGCTTGGATTCGCCTGAACGGGGGTGGCCATGGAAGACCTCCGATAGCCTGTATTGTGGATAGGACGGTCCTGTCGGGAATAGTGAGGTGGGACGTCTTTGTGTTCAGGAGTGCTGTTCTTCTCGTTAAAAGGCATTCTTTCTTATTATAGCTGTTATAATTTATATATCGTTTGGTTATTTTATATAGGTCTGTTTATGTATGTATTGTCTTTGGTGGGCTATAGAGAAAGGATAAAAAGAAGAAGGAAAGAGAGGGATAAACTGAAAGGGAATAAGTTGAGAAAAATTAAAAAATATAAAAAAGAAAGAAAAAAATTAGAAGCGCATCACGCGGCTTAAACTTGAGTAATTTTTTTTTTATTTTTTTATTTTTTTATTCTTTTTTACCCACTGTGAATTATATATATATGGCTATCCCATGGCTGTGCAGTACAATATTCAAATGGTGCCGTCATCTCTTACCAATGATGCCCAACAATCTCTTCTATAATCATTATTACTATTATTACTATTATAACATATCAGCTGTAGCCAAGACTAAAGTAAGACCAGGAAGGCCAAGACAAGACAAGACAAGGTCTGAATCACGAGTAAGAATAAGACAATCTCCCTATCATATTCACAGGACAGGGCACAGAGATTCCAGGCGATCACTATGTGTCTTGTGTGTGTGTGTGTGTGTATGTACATTGTGTGCAAGTGCTCAAGGCATTATATGGGTCACTGACACGTGAAAAACACGGAGCAAGTCTTCCACGCCAAGGGGATTATCCTCTTCCTTCCGTCCCAAGCAGCCAAATCAGATAAGCCCTGTTTGCCACCAATCCAAATAATAGCAAAATTATGAATAAAAAATATATATAAAGAAAATATATAGAAATAAGCATAAAATTCACACACCTTATGATCTTCCACTCCAAAGAAGAATCACAAAAGCCTCATCAAATCATTCTTTCTTATAAAAAGTTGTGATTATTATTATTTTGTAAAATTGAGCTTTTTTGATATAAGATACTAACTTGCCCTAATACTTGACAATCTCTTTTTTCTTCTTTAAAATATATATAATGTATATATAATTTATGTATAACGAAATAATAATAATAATAATAATACAGAATATGGGAATAACTTGAAACCCTAAAACACAAAACCTACATATATATATATATATTAGTATTAGTATTATTATTATTTCCCGTAACTTACATGTTACAGATCTCATACTAATTGGTTTATAGAAATGACTTATTTTCACAATGATTAACAACAATAAATTACATGTCAAATACCTATTTGGTCCTTTAGATTGATTCAGGATCTTCACGGTATCTACTACGGCAAAGATATTCATTCTTTCTAAACCTATAGATCAAACTATCAGTTCCATTTGAACTTCTTCAGACTGATTTTAACCCCCTTCAATACACACATATGTATATGTATATGTATATGTATATATACATATATATATGATCCCCTTTATGTCTGCATTCTCTACACAACACACTTGATTTGTTTTGTTCTTTGGTTACAAAATACATTTTCTTTTATATATTTTAGGTACAAATATTTCTATTACTATTATTATTGTTATTATTATATACATCTTGGTCTTGCCAGATAATATATATTTTGGAATCTACTTTGTTAGATAATAATTAAAGAATAACCCCCCCATTACCTCAACATGGACCACAGCCCTTATATACTTACATACACACAAACACAAACATAAACATAAACACTTGATATTTCATGAAAGGCCAGCTATGCAAGGTCCAATATGATATCTTCAAAATTACATACATGGGTAGCATAAATGATTAAAATAATGATAATGATAGTAATAATAATAATCATATCAATAATCATATAAAGTTAGTTGTATAATTCAACATTCCAAAACCTCAAAGCACTCTCTTTTTATACTAACATGCCACCGTGGTAATTATTCTCTATAGAATAATTCTTTTACTTGGTTTGTTTGTCCAAGATCCTCTTGGTGAAAGCCTTTATTTCTTTTTGGAAAATCTATCTTTAAATGTGTGTGTGTGTGTGTGTGTGTGTGTGTTTATATACATGTACATATATTACTTGTTTTGCTGTTATCCATCAACAATCCATCTTATCAGTACATTCTGGTAAGCTTACATCTAAATCTACATCCACACATAGCCATTGTCGTCATTATTTCTTATCACTTGTTTATCTGACTGTCTGACTGTCTATCTGTCTATCTGTCTATTTGTACATACATACATCTATCTGTAGATCTGTATAAATCTGCCAATTGAATACCTTTCAAAAAAAAACATACATACATACATACATACATACATAGGCATTTGTGTATATCCTTTTTGGTTGACTTTGTTAATTCTATTAAATTTCATTAATTTCTTTACCTATATTTTCTAATACACAGATTCAATCTTGCAAATCGAGTTGGTAATTCTGATGAATGCCGTTTATAATCTAGTATTATTTTCTTTAATAAGAAAGTATATAGAATCGTCTCTTTTGTCAATCTACAACGTAATCTTCATCTGAATGATGGTGCCAATCCTTTAAAGGATGAGAAATATCTAATAAATAAATAAATAAATAAATAAATAAATAAATAAAAATACACTACTGTGAGTAAGGCAGGATCTTACTGCGCGTACTAATAACACTCAATCTCCCCACCCCTTTCATTATAAAACTCATCTGATGCACTATACGCAAATGCAAACATATACACACCCCTTTATATAATGAAATAAAGAAGTAACCCCTAAAATAGACACACACACAGAGAGAGATATATATATAGAGAGAGAGAGAATGCCAGCGTTTACAAGATATGTATATTATCGGCTATTGGTTATCATTGTCTTATCGCCTTTTTAAACCAATATATATATGTATGTAATTATGTAATTATGCCATTGGTCAAGTAATTTTTGTTTTATTTCATTAGAAATACACCATCTAATGACTTTATTGGTTTCTTCCGGGTGAAAATGTAGAGCACGAGAAGATAAAAAGGCCCTTTTGTTGCTTAGTTACTGATGGAAATATCAAATAAAGTATAATAAAATAACGCGTTTTGAATTGATTGCAGTCGCACCAATAGATCGATTATACATCTTGATATATTTAGAATATTCCTTAACACCAACTGCGAATAGGACCACAACTTTTATGATTTTTTATTATTCCTACTACTACTAAAATACTATTATTACTATCACCGTGATTTAATATAAGTTGTATGCATTTTATAAAATCAAGCTTTTGTAAAATATGCTTCTGTGGCTGGGTGTGTTTCAATTTCCGTGGGATAATTTCAAAGAAGACCATGGGTCTCAAATAGACGGATCCTATAATCCTTTCAAAAGGGTTTTAAAGGGGTTGTAGATATACATATATACATATATACATATGTGTTTCTGGGCCTTTTTTTTAATATCTCTTTTATCGCACGTGGTGGTTATAATGCTCAACCACAGATGCCTTTGCTCTGTGCTCTGTTCTCGGTAAAAAGATATGCGAACCATTTGAATGAATAAAGACCCAACGAGATTGGAAGGAGGAGGGGGCCAGTTTTTGTGTATTTCAACATTATAGATATAAGTCTTGTCATCTGGCTGCACGCATTCAAGGAAATTACTAACAGTATTATTCTATGAATATCTGATCAAGGATGAGTCATCGAGGATGAACAACTAATATAAAAAAAAAACATTGGCTGGTTAGCTAATATATATATGTGTTTATACATCAAGCTTCTCCCCTTTGCTTTTGTAAAAAGGTTCCAAAAGGAGATTGTAGATAGAATATATACATATATTTGAAGGCTGCATCCAAATAATCCTTATAATCTCGGAATAACTAAACCGTCTATTTGGACCACTCTTAATCGAGGTATCGCTCACCCACTCACTCACTCATTAGCTACCATTGCATTTACTGGCGGTATATGTTGTTTAATTAGCAGGCCATTATGCGATCTTCGTCAATTTCAAGTCTAGGTTAATAAATACCGAGAGAAAACTAAAAGGAGTTATCAAAATGAAGTCAAATTTGTTTAATTACAAATACACATACATACATACATACATACATACATACATACATACAAATAATAACAATAACAATAACAAATGCTTCTTGCACTGGCGTGTCTTGGTAAACAAACTAGCAGCAGTAATGTATCGTTTAATCGGTTAAATCGATACATTGATCCGACAATGATACTGCATCTAATTATAAGCATATCATGACATTTTCTCCTTCTCTTCATCCTCCCCCTATTTCTGCCGACTTCGCACTGTCTTTTATATATATATATCTTATGTCTTGAAGTCGTCTATCCTTTTCTCTGATCTCGCCCTTTTTTTTGCTTTTTTTTTTTTTAAAAAAATGCATCATTTATGCAAAGTAAATGCATGTGGTACATAACTAAAGTATCCCACTTAAGGATCTCTCCGATTCAAGGTGGCTTGGTCTCTATCGTACCAGTCCACCCCCCGAAACAACTAAAGAAACTCATGTCACTTTTTTTATTTTATTTTTTTTGAAATTCTTTTGAAATGACAGACATCAATGCCCATAAACATCCTAAAACACACACTCCATCAACTTCAATCACACCTCTGCCTATACTTTTATCAGACCAAGCTTCATCTTGTTCATCATTATGGAAGGAGATTACCCAGACTATTTTCTCCCTCTTTGGGTCTTCTCCAACCCCACCAAGAAGAGCTATTTTGATGGAGTTTGGTCGGTTTGTGTGGCTAGAGAGAAAAGACCATGCTTTGGAGCTCTATGATGCAGGGTTCTTTGGCAAAGGATCCCTTTCCAGAAGTAAACCTACCTGGCACGAGCGACACAGCTCACAATGTTAGTTTTTCTTCCTATAAATATATTGTGTGCAATTATATTCATTTGAATATCCAAAAACAAAAAATGAAAGGGTCTTTATTGATTTTTTTTTTCTTTTTCATCCTGTAACCCTTTTTCTTGTTTTTCATTTACCTTAATGCTTAAATGATTTATTTTTGTAATACTTGCCTATCTACACACACACATATATATATGTTATTATCTCTATTTTTCTGATTTGGTTTCGTAGCTGAAAACAGTCCATTTCTGGAACAAATTACTGTTGATCGTCGAAAACAGAGGAGAGAGAAAAAGAGACTCGACAAGGGATCTTTGGTAGACGATCGTATGGATATTCTTCATGACACATATAGTAGTGCAGAGATACTAGACTTAATAGAAGGTCAAGACATTGAGTGCCTTCAATTGGATCTATTAGAAGCATTTTTCCTTGCATTTTCACTCAATGCCCTGGAAATATGCGACACATCTCAGGTCAGATCATCCCCCTAAAAAGAAAACTAAAAAAAGAACAAAGAAACTTGGCTTATTATTTTCACCTGTCAAATACTTCTTTTTATTGATTATTGTTTGTTTATTTGTTTGTTTGTTTGTTTGCTCGTTTGCTTATTATCACTATCTAGAGGGTTTTGTCAGTCAAGGAGTGTTGGGATATCTTTGGTCGCATTTTCGCATGTTCATCTCATGATCCTGAACACAGTCTGCAACTACCAGTCGCATGTCAACCCAATATCTTTAATGCACACTATGCTGCCTATCATTATTACAGGAGTCTGGGCTGGGTTCCCAAGAATGGCGCAAAGTTTGGGGTTGACTTTGGTATGAACTCTACAGATAGACAGAAAGAGAGGGAAGGAGGGAGGGAGAGAGGGAGGGAGAGAAATATTAGAAACAAACAAACAAATAAAAGAGTTCAAACACAATCATATGTAATCTGTATATTAATACCATTTATTGCTTTTACTTATTTATTTACAGTCCTATATCAATCTGGCCCAAGATTTCGCCATGCTGACTTTGCTGTGGTGGTCTTACCACAAAATGAGACCTCAGACAAGACCACCAGCTCACGTAGCTGGAAATGGCTTCTTGGAGTCAATAGAGTTTGTACTCAAGTCAAAAAGACACTTGTACTATGCTATGTATCCGTACCTCAATACAAAGGAGATTTTGACATATCCCTCTTGAGAAACTGCACAATACAGCAGGTAGTTCTGAAACGCTGGTCTGCTGAAAAAAATAGAGAGACCAAATAGTCTGTACGTCTACACATTCCTTGTACATAAAAGAATCTGTTTCTGGTCTTTGATACACGTTTCACGCAATGCTTGTATATATATATTCCAGATTTTTAGTCTTTATTTTAAACTTTAAAATATATATCAGCCTAGTGCACACATACATTTAGCTGTGCGTGTGTGTGTGATACCACAGGTTATGATCTTCTGTATTTTGTATGTTTATTTATTATATTAATATAACAAATAATTTAATATATCGTATGATGTGCGTACGGGTGCTTTCGAAGTGTTTCTTTTTCTTTGGTAGATTTCTAATCCTATATCAAAATCAGCAGCCAAACTAGAACTGGAGGAATTGTATCATGGGTTATGAATACACGTGTACAACAGAATAAGAGAAGCTTTCTGCCGTCTTTAAAAAAACGCACATACACACACACACACATACTAGCTTGGTAGATATTTTGTCAAGGCATCCTTTATTTATATCAATTGGGCTTATAGCAATACAACCAAATATGATTCGATTCTTACTAGATTATGATGATAATATATGTATGATTGTGTATCTTTATGTCTTTTTTGCTTTAATTATTGCTGGCTATGTTTATTATTTTGTTTGGGATCATACATAACAAGACCGAGGATCTACATAGATGCGGCCCAAGGCTCGGATAGTTGTAGCCTTTTGGGCTCATATAAAATAATATGTATTATTGTGCCACAAATACCTCACTGTACAGAGAGAAATATATATATATATGCATGTATATTACAGAATCTCACACACTAACAAAGATAGTACCTTGACCTATTTTTTTTTCAATTGTAGGCAAAGTTACCATGATATTCTGACTAATGTAAAGTGACCACCCACCTTAAAAATGAACAAGAAAATATAATTCTGATGAGTTGGATCAGTGATTATAGCTTTCTCTAGACTCAATTATGTACTGACCAGATCTAATACACTACAAGGGGGAAAAAATGACGCTTTTGGGGGTAATTTTAAGGATATTCTCAAAGGTGAATTTTGCTCTGTACTAAATGGAAAGGCATATGAAGGCATGCTAGCAAAAGCTTTGCTAGTTTAGTATTTCTGTTTGTTTGTTTATTTAGCTAATATAATACCAGCTTTTAAAACTATTCGTTTCATTTTGCTATTAGTAAATGAAATTTGTAGGATTATCAATTTCTTCTTGCATGTTAACCAGTAGTCTCTCATGTATGTAAAAGCTCTACTAATTTCAGGCTATTTAAAAAAAACTCCATATTCATCCAACATATATATATATGATTTTACTATTGCTCAAAATAGAAAAAAGTATGTAAAGAAGCTATTTAATTACTTTATCTTCAATAATAACTCTAGCTAAAATCTAAATAAGGTCCCACTTTACGTCCTTACGAACTACCAAATCTCGCCATGGCCCAAAAACTATATTAATATTTTGCTTAAACGTTGAATGCACCGTGGATACGCATCGTAACATAGCAAATGCTTGTTTGTTTGCTTATCTGGCAAAAATAAATTGATAAAATAAGCCGTATATTAATTAACCAATATTATGGGCAATCATTTTTATTATCCTTTAAAACTCATAGATTTTATATTGGCTATTATTCTTAAAGTCTTGAAGTCTTGCTTAAATTAATAATTGAAAAAGGATGCTTTGTAATTAAACAAAATACATTTGTATTAAAAAAAATGTATCAAGTTCATAAGTTGTGTTTGCCTATTTATCTAATTTTTGTAATAAAAACAAACAATTCAGTGCCAATGCCTTATCTAATATGGCTGTGTTAATCAAAATCAACATATTCTTTCACAATATAAGCTCTATACTATTAAAGTAAGTTTTAAATATCGAAAAACTGGGGAAGCATTATATACCATTAAAAATTCTAGTAATTTAAAAATAATAGATTGCTTCTTTTTTACATTGATTAGCACAAGTGACCATTAGTGAATGTGCTCTCTCTATACGTTCAACAGATTACCCTTTACTGGCAAACAAAAAATTTCCTGGGATTTTTCTTATAGGCAAATTTATTAATTTCTTATATTTCACTGTGCTGACATACTAAATCTCTGCTTCGGAGTCCAGCAAACCTATTAACCGGTGCTCACTCAGTAAGATGCCATTGGTGCTTAGGGAGAATAAACTCAATTTATTTTGGCCCTTATTTTTCTTCTTTAGTGAGGAATTTTTGAGCTTTTGAGAGATGCGATCTACTATGGAGTATCTGGATGTGTGTATACTGTGTACCTCTATATTTGACCTACGCTTCCTGTAGGACTCAGAGTTGAGGTACTTGGTGCACTTGTATCCAAGAGACAATAGACAGTGACAATAATGACAGTCATTCGTTCTGGACTTGCTGGTACGCAAGGAGATACTCTTGTAGTTCTAGGTTTAGTGGGTGGTGTTCTCTCGGTGCTGGGAGCAGTAAAATGTCCATGCTCAATCAATTTAAGAACCCGTGGTCCTGTTGGGGTGCCTGTGGCAGAAGGAGGAGCGGGAAATGTGGTCCGTGCCAATTCGGCATAAAAGTCCAACAAAGAAAAACAGTACTTGTCCAAAACGTTTTTTTTATAATTATGTCAGTTCGGCGGCGACTGACTGAGGAGGAACTTTCTGACGCTTCTCTAGCTCTCTTCATTAGGCGGGTCATTGGGCGGGTCATTGTGGCTACCAGATCCAAAACATGTTTTTACAGTGCTTGGCTTATGGGAGTGGCGAATAAGCCGGGCTACATTGGGTGTTTGATAAAAGTATGAAGTCAAAAAAAACACGGAATATATGGACATTAAATTGCTCTGATATGAATTATTTTTTCGACATATGCGCTGGGAATGTTAGCCATACCCTTGTACAGCTTTTCCTTTGTTAATTATTCTGGTTAGTACTTCTAAGGTGTAATATCTCTTGATGACTGCTCTGGCACTCTCCTAAGTAAAATTTTTGCTACACATGCATTCGTGTTCCCTTGCATTTGAAGGCCACTTGGCCCAGGGCAGAATTAATTGGCTCAAAATTTGTTGCGAGTACCTTCTCAAAGACAGACAGATAGTGTCCAGAAAGGACATATACCTTGGGCTCAGAGAATGAGGTTTGCTGCCCAGTCTACTGAAAAGAGAAATATTTTAAAGGTCAATTTTTGAACTGGGGGTATTTAATTGGACAGGTCCTTGATTCGAGTGCAAAAGTGCACCGGTATATTTCTCTTGCTCCTGGAAATTATCGAGCTCAGTATAAACGATGACTTCGCTGTTCTTGTCTTTGTTATTATCGGTAGTAATGATGGAATAGTCGAGGTCACAGACACAAAGTTTATATATACCGATGAATACTTTGGTATTAGTCCTTATGGACTTGTATATATCATGTGCTAATGTATGTGGCTTCTCTCTTCATATATTTTGGTCATGATGGGAGGCATCCAGATCAGACACAAACTTGGAGAAGGTAGTTATATACACTTACATTGACCCTTCGATGTTCTGTTGAGTAACCGCTGGCTTTTTCTCAGATATGATGGGGAGTTAGTGTAGAATAACATCTTCAATTGAAAAATATGTAACTTTAAAATAATCTAGGCTTGGGTGGGAAGCTCTATTATTAAAATAAAAGCAATATCTGTGGGTGGAGGTGTTGGAAAAATTCTTTTGTTGAGCCTTTTTTTTTTCTTCAAGGAGAAGAATGATGTAAGCCAAATTATATAAAATAACAATAGCTATTTGTATGTTCGTTGCTATACTTGTTTTGTGATTTATCCAGTCTCTTTAATGAGAACTATTTTTTGGATTATGAATTTCTTTTTAACACGAAAGAAATCTCTCGATTATATGGATACATGTATGTATAATATTTAATAGTAAGTTTTATGCTCTATATTTTAGAATTTTTTTCTGTCAAGTAATAGTTTATATCAATATATCGGCTATTTAAATGTATTAAATAATATAAGCATTACATAGAATATCATATTCTTCGTTTTTAAAGATGTATATATAAAGAAGTTGTGACTCAGAGGCTTTCTAATTAAAAGGGTATTATTTGAACTTTTCAAAGCGGTGTGAGAATGTAACAAAGGTTTTCTTTATTCCCTGTTTGCTTACTCCGCTCCAAACGAGGAGGCAGACCTTTTTTTCGGATATGTATTTTTTCTTTGATTATTAGGTACAACTTAGTATAAAGACCCGAGGTATTCCTCCTTATACATGTAGTTGTATGGATCATCTGGCTTGAATAGTGGCTCTTGATATTAAGGTACGGTAGCATTGGTCTTCGCCCTATATGGAGCTATATATTTATTCATTGACGAATATCTTACTTTCAGTTTTTTTTTTGGTAGTTTAATTTATATCATACACAGATCAAAATAGCTATAAAAGGTGAGCACTGAACCTCTGATACCCCCTCTCATCACACTTTTGTCGCATTTTCTTTTCATTAGAAGTTGCTTGTAGTATTTTTTATGTGGGCATTCCAGATTATTACAGTAGAATACAGCAAAAATTAACTTGGGATCGTAAATGTATATATATATATATTAACATATACAAATAACTTGTTGAGTACTTTACTAAATTACTGATGTGAATATGATTCATTTTTCTTTTCTTTTATGTTCAATTTGAAGGTTCAATACGATATGAGCCATTTTAATAGAACGCGCCCTCCACTGCCAAGATTCTACTGTCGCTGTAGAGACACTTATTTCCATTACAATTAACGGTCTTATTGGATGACTCTTATGTGCGTACATTTGATAACTAGATATCTCCTACTGAGAAGGTGTGATAACCTAAGAAACAGTGTCTATGATCAAGAAACAAAAATCTATACTATGTGATAAAGTCTCGTCTCTCGTCGTTGTGGTTTTTATACTTCTATTATATTATATCCTTATTCTCGATTATATAAGGTTAGTTATTTAACTTTTTTCTTTTAAAGAAAACAGATCTTCTGTAATTATTTTATTATTGGCGTACCATAAACTAATTCTGATTTGCGACCCACAATACCTAATACTTTTACAAAGGTATTTCCTATTTTTGCTTCAAACCCTTTAGTCACTTGACCCAACAAAGCAGCTTATGCACTAAAACTGTATATCTAAAAATTATATATATCTTTATAAAACTACTATACAATATCCAATGGTAATACATTCAAGTTTATTTTTATTGCTTCTATAATAATCGAGCAATAACAAAAATCCAGTCAAAACTTTGTACGATAATATTATACGATGCGCTATAGCACTCTATGTAAATCAAAGTTTATCCAGCTACATATATTATGGTTGAGTCACTTTTATCTTTAAAACTATCGGAAAAAAGCGGTGATTTCGATGGCAGTTTTGGAAAATAATGTAGGAATTTTCCAGGTGCTCCACCGGAATCTCCCCTCCCTCACCATAGTGTAACGGAATAGAGCAATGTAAACTAAATAGCCATAACTCCAAAATGTTGCACGATATGTTTCGATCAGAGACGTATGAACTTACAAAGTTATTAAAGTATATGTAAAAGTATGCATATGTTTTTGGGATCACATGCATAAATATTCTGAAACACCTTAATAAAACACCTTTATCTATACATATGCATCATTTAAACAATGCATATATATATATATAATTAACATATATTTAAGTTTCACTTTTACTATACGGATGTAAATAATATTGTTTTGAAAGTTAATTCATATATATAGAGCTATAATTTAGTTTTAGTGATAGTAATAAAATTGCCAGAATTTAAAGCAATGGTTTTAGATACTCCTTTATCTATTGATACTCAAGATCTCCTCACCGACCAGAACATATGTTTTAATCAGCCTCTACCGATTGCTATTTTAAACCCTTCCAACCGCAAATACCACGACCTTGAATCTCGCACATATGGCCTTCCTTGCGATGAAGAAGAACTTGACCGTCTAAACTTGGTATATATTTCTGCCTTGCTTTGTGATGCGAGATTCTGAATATTAAAATATTCTTATATTTTAGCAACATTCAAATTTTGTAACGGTGTTTGATGGGTAAGCTACTATGCTTTCTGAAATATTTGAGATCTAACCCAGACCTATCTAGACTTGTGCTGAATAGTGTGAAAAATGATATACGTCCTGGTTCCAAAGTCATCGACCTTGGATGCGGAACTGGAGCATGGATCCTAGTAAGCTATTCATACATTCTTTCTTTTTTGTATTCAAAAATGAGTGTATTGTGTAGGATATGGCCAAAGCTTATCCGGACTCGAAGTTTTTTGGTGTTGACATTGCCGATGTATTTCCGAAACATGACTTACCCCCAAATATCAGTTTTTCGATCATGGATATTTCTAAACCTTTGACCTTTGAGAAAAATTCGTTCGATTTCATAAATGCCCGCCTCATAATTGTTAGCATTACAGAAGAAAGGTGGCCAACTATTCTTAAAGAATGTTACAATATACTCAAGCCTGGAGGACTGGTACAGTTTATGGAGTATGACCATATAGTAAGTGCTTTTTTTTTCTTGTATAAGCAAAGTAAGGTAATATTTAAATATCTAAACTTATTCCGGGATTATTATTTTTCTTAAAAAAAAGGCATCAAATGGTGATGAGAATACCATGCGTTTTGTTCGTGGTCGTAAGTATATAGGATATGAAAGATATTTGTAAAACTTATAAGTAATTGTTTTTAGTTTATGGTGCAATGAAGAAAAACCATCAGGATTTTTTTGTTTCTAATAAGCTCTCCGGCTTATTGCGTTTTGCTGGCTTTAATAATGTAAAAGAAGACAGAAGAATATTAGAGCTTAGTAAGTTGAAATAATGTTATATTGTTATACTCTTCTAAACAGCTTCTATAGATGCAGATGGTACTGAACTGTCGAAGAGAATTTTGGAAAATTGGACTAGGGCCCTGATTGGCTTCAGACCATTTATTTTGCCATTTATTTGTCCTAATGATCCAGATTCGTATGATTTGCTATTGGAGGAAAATATCAAAGGCTGTATTGAGCAGCGTTGGTTTAAGCAAGCGGTTGGTGTAACTGGAATGAAACCATTAGTATAGCTATAGAATACTATCTGAGTATTTGACGTTGTATATTCTTGAATTTATTTCTTATATGATAATATTAGCATTAATAATAGACCTGTTATTTTTGTGAGATATTGTATTTATATATGACTTTAATAAAAGCTAAATAGCTATATCTGCATACAGTTATACTTATATTAGAGTATCTCCAGAAACTGCTTTACAAAATCGGTTTTATTTTATCAATTTGCTGTCACACTCTCTATGTAGCTTTTAAAATGATGAAATGGCTACGAGTAATTTGACCGTCTAGTGTTATAGGGATTGGGCTGTCAAATCACAATACTTTATTCTCTGCACAGTACTTAAGCTATTCAATCTTAAGCTTTTCACTTTTCTTTATCTTTTCTATATTTTATACGCTTTCTTTTTACTTATATATTTATCAACGATATCTATTTTGGTATGAATACAATAGTATTCTAACCTTAAATCTCTCTCTAACTGTTCGTTCAGTTATTTTTATTTTCTGAATAATCAAATTATTACGTTTCGATACCATAAAAATGGCTTTAAAGAAACATAGCAATAACAATAGCTGAATATGCTCTTAATTGGTACTAATTTCTGTATAATAATAAAATATTAACTAAAACTATTAAAAGAAGAAAAATATTTAAAAGAACCCTTCTAAAATAATTTTTAATATTCTCTTGATTTTCATTAATAACGGTTTATTTTAGAATTTGTTTTAATGGGAGGACTACTGATAGTGTGTTGGTTATCACCAGAAACATATTTATATACATCTTTATCAAGAATATTTTATTTTATAAGTATTTCTAAAATTTATTTAAATTATTTCTGACTTATTTTTCTCGGTTTTTCTCTGTACAAATATTGCTGCTATAAAGATATATGTTGAAAGTTTACTCTAGAAAAATCATGAATTGAAAATATATAATATATATGGAATTAATCTTGGAGTTACTATCTTAATAATTAAAAAAAAAAAACTGTGAAAGCGTTATTAATAAAAGAAAATTAAAATAATATTGCTCAGATAAACTAATATTCAATTATCTTGTAATACAGATATCTGCCATGTAATTATTTGTTTACGTTATATAATTATGTGATATATATGTCTGATGTATAGCAGTTTGGGATATTGTTAATATCAAATTTATTAGTAATAAAACCAGAGTTTTGTTATGGGGTTTGTGTTTTACTTTGTGATACACTCTTTCTGGAAATTATTGGTGTAATTTTCTACCATTTCTTTGCTTAATTCGTCTTTTTTGATGCATTCGGTGCATTTCATCTTTGCACCAAATAATTTTTTATTTTTGCACCAATAATTTCTAGAAAAAGTATATATATATCACAATTGAGTGAGATACAGTCTCTGCAATCCAGAATGGATAATATAATTACTAATGAACCTGCCAGAGTCGTATCTCAGGAATGTAACACGCACTAAGCACTTGTATACTTCATACTGCTTCAGTGATAACCAATCAATAACTAATGAAGATTTTAAATTAGGAGATCAAATATCTATATAAACAGCTAAAATTTTCTTTCTTAAATAAACAACACTCCCATGATATTACAGTAGCAAGTAAAAAATATAAGAAGCTGCAATAGGTATAGTATAAAACCTTTTGAGAAATTAGAATTTCTATCTTTGAAATATCTTTTCTATTAAATAAAACAAAATTAAAAAAGCTAATATATAAATTAGTCTTTAGAGGCTAGATAGTACATGGGCTGTTTTGGTGTCCCTTATATTTGTTAAAAAACCAACGTGTAGAAGTGTCAGAAGATTTGATAATTATAAATAATCCTGCTATAATGCATTGATTATTAGCTATCAATTAAAAGAATATAGTAAGTAAAATCGAATAAAAAGAAAAAAAGGGGGCAGATAATAAGAGATATATGATATCTCATTATAAGAGTTTGCTATAAATTGAAGAAACACAAAATAGAATAAATGAGTTGAATAAAAATCAAGATAATAATCTTTACTGTTTACATCAGATCTAATAAAAGAATATTATAGTGACATTACGACAAGAAAAAGGGTCACTATTGGGGTCACTTTAGGGGCCTTTTTTCGTTTGGACCCCTGTTTTGACCCTTTACTTTTATGGAGCAAAATGTATCTCTGCTCTCTTAAGGATGTAGAGTTTTATTCACATATCGATAAACTTTTTGATAGGTTATAGTCGTCTTTTTATTGGTACTTATATATAAGAGCATTTTTAGACTTCACTTTGATTGGGCATTATGCTTCATCCAAAGTATATGCTTTTAATTTATTGGTCATTTAACTAACCCTATTTACACAATTGGCTCTTATTTATATATATTTCTATTTATCCGTAGTTTTAATTGGGTCATAAACATATTTGTATCAAAAAATATTATAAAAAAGGATTTTATTGGTTGCCATAACAAAAAAAGTTCATCATATATAGATTTTACTGGCTAGATATTATTTTATTTATTACATACTTCTTTGATAAAATATACTATTCTATAGTATGTATCAGATATACTTACAAGCTACTGTTGCCTTTCGTAGTTTCTCTATAATTGACTAGATTTAACAAAAATAATCAGTGCTTACAACATCTGATAAAGTCTATCTCACTTTGATTGAATAGGCATGCATGTTTGGTATACATCAAGTCCTTGTCTTATTGAAAGAAAAAGATTCAATTTGAATTTGATTCTATAGCTTGTAAAGAAGAAAGAACGGTCAGATCAACAGTGATAAGATATATACAAGTGTTAACAGTTCCTATGTTTTTCTTGTTTAGTTAAAACCAAAGATTCTGGCTCATTATTCTAAAGTTTTGTTACAAAATTATATTTTTAATGCTAGGAATAGGTCTTAGAATTAGGGCGCCAGATATTTATATAGTTTTATATTAGTTTATATGTTTTTTTATTTCCATGTTCCTTACATCTTAGCATAAGATTTTCTTCTAACATGCTTGTCCATTTATGTCGTTAAGTATTTTGACAATCTCCAGTTATAAGATTGTTTGTTTCTTTTGAAGTGCTTTGTGGCCTCTCCGAAAAGCAAGAAGTATATCTTGCATACCTTGAAGCAAATGATTTACACCATCATCTGCATTATTAATAATAATAAAAAATCCAACATCAGGGTTTGTTATGAAAAAAAGGAAGAATGTGTTGTAAATGAGTATTGACTACTGCTGTAATTGAGAATAAGTCTGAAGGAAATAATATAAGGCCTCAGCTATTCCAGTCAAAGGTGTCTACCAATTACTTTATTATTTAACACACAGGTTTATCATGCATGATAGTGATTATATTTCATATGATGATATCACCATAATATGGGATACATCAGTGGATTATTATAAGCATAATTATAACTCATAAACACATTTACTTTCGATGTTAATACTTCATTGGGACTACATACATTTATATAATTAATCATACATTAATTATCCCAAGATCACATTGCTCCAATTAAGGCTCAGATAGGATTGATTACCTGACCCCAGTCATATAATTTTCCTGATCCAAAACAATATAAATAGCAGTGGTAGTTCAGTGTAGGAATCTTATCAAACTTTGATACAAAATCTTTTCTTAATAAACAAAACCTACACAAGTTCTCATAAATCTTCATTCTTAATCTCAAATCTTCAATTCTTCCTCTTAAAAACTTCTTCAACTTCAACCACTACAACACTCTCAACGGTTTTTCCATCACGTTGTGTAGGACCCAGTATGATAGCTAGCACTATCTTCTTGGAATGTGAACATGGTGTCATGTTCTTCATTCAATTGTTTGTACCAGGGATTGAAGTCCTTAGACAGTCAATTGACGTATGCATCTTGGTATACAGATCCTTTGATAAATGATAATGGCCCAATGCCACCAGCCCAGAAACAACCCCATACCATCACGGAACCTTTTCCATACTTTTCTATTGTTAGTATATGGCATTCCTGGTGCCTCTCCCCTCGTTTACAAATTATGGATGGGTCAGAATCATTGCCTTTCACCATGAACCTCAACTCATCTGACTACATCACTATGCTCCAGTCTTCAATGCTAAAACTGGCCCTAGCTCTAGCCCAACGCAACCAATTCTTTTTCTGCTTACGGGTTAACTTTGGTTTAAATACAGGGGTGTAAGAACCAAAGCCTTTTGCTCATAGATATCGGATAACTGTCTGTCTACAGACAATAACGCCAGCAGCTCCCAAATTTGCCTGGTGGTATCTATAACTCTCAAAAGGATTACATCTCACACTCAAACAAAGACTTGTAATATTTGTTACACTAAGTTTCTTTGGTCTCTCAGGTCTGGTCTTTGTCTTGGCTGTTTCAGTAGTCTCCCAGCGCTTTATTGTATTGAAAACTATAGTTCTAGGAATGTTCATACGGTTTGCGATGTCAGTTAGAGTATGATTGGCTTTTGAGAGCCAAACAATACCTTCATACTCAAAATCTGACAGCTCGCGTCTGGAGGGAGTAGTTTTAATTCTTTTATTACTTTTCAACATTGGTAGTTAAGTTTGAGGTAAAGGTGTAAGGAAGAGAAAGGTAAAGAATGTTATAAAAAAAGCAGCATGAAAAATGTGGTTCATCAATGATTTTTATTGTCGGAGTGTAGTTGCTGTTGTATCCAACATAATTGTAGATTTAAATTAAAAGTACAGACACTCAATAAATACGTACATTGAGTTACCAACAACTAGTAACGATACTAAAAGATATACCTTCCCTTATACAAGGAAATTACATAAAGATCATACTAAGACAAACACTAAGACTCTAGTCAATAACACTAAAAACATAAGAACTAAATCATAGAAGATAATGGTAGAGAAACAGACATTACATGATATCATCATATCATCACCAAGCTAAATACAATGTCTATATAAACGCACAATACTAATAGCAATAGAACATCATCTCTTTTCTGATTCTTTCACTTCTTCTAATAAAACAAAGTCTCACCGTACTCTCGTCTGCACTTACTTTATTTTATATCTTATTTTTATCTCATACATAACAGTTGTCATTTATTTTTCTATAGTTAAATGAGTTGAAACATTGTTGTAATATATTTTGCTATTATTGTGTTATTTTTTATTAAGACAATATAGTCAGTTTGTCCGAGTGGTTAAGGAGTTAGACTTGAAATCTAATGGGCTTCGCCCGCACAGGTTCGAACCCTGTAGCTGACGGTTTATTTTCTCTTTTGTATGCGGTGAGTGGGAATTTTTTTGAAGCATCTGTCGTTTTCGATCTGGGTTGTTCTTCCAATGCTATAACACAGCCAAAATTGGTCAAACCCACTGGGAATCGTAAACGAAGATAAAAGAATAAAAAGAGGATAGAAAGATAGATAACTTTTATTGAATGAAATAACGCCCTCTTTTATATCTTTTCTGATCCTACTCAGCCATTATAAATGTCTGTTTCGGTTTCTATTCTACTTTTGTTAAGCTATGTGCTTTCTAATTCTTTTGTGAGCAAAAGGAAATCACTTCGGTCGTCGTTCTCAAAAGAGAATTCTGTGTAATCGTCATCCTGATTGGCTAACAAGAATTCGGGCACGACACATCTGTCGTTCCTGATCTAGGCTATTGTCGTTCCCGATCTGGGTTGGTCTTTCTTTTACTATAACAAAGTCAAAAGGTTAAACCCACTGAGGATCAAGAAGTATATGTAAAATCAAAGAGAGAATCAAAGATCCTTTTGTCAGAGTTGACATTGGTGAACAAAATTGGTAGTTATAAGCAACCAGTAAGAGTTGACTTTTTAGGATAAAAGATCTTGACTTTGCCGATTTGTCTTTTATATATGTTTTAGATGTTTAAGATGGTGAATATACTTGTAGAAGATATTACTGGACAACAAGCATCTAAGACATATTATTGTAGCTATTCTTTTAGCCAGAAATCAATTATAATTTTGTATAAATAGTCAAGAAATATATTTAATAAAAAGCATCTTTATTTTCTATCTAAAAACTATACATAAACTTGACGATCCCCAGTGGTATTGATTCTGAGACTTAGTTACAAGTGTTGGAAAAAAAATACCAGATCGAAACCTGACACTTTTTATTGATAGAATTGTATTGTCTTCTATAGTTTTCTAAATTAATACTGCGGTTAACTATCTTCATATTTTACGGATTCATCAAAATAATGTCTGACAATCTTCCTGAGTATAATTTCATTTTAAAAAATAATATGTCAAGTCTCGACTGGGTGTATATTTCTATTATTTTAACTTTATAAGTTTTTATAATAAATTACTACCAACTAGGACGTTGTAAATAAATAGGAACAGATAGGAATATAGAGAATTGAATACCTATTTATTGATACAAGTCTTGTAGTATTTATATAGATTCCTTAAAAGTGAAACTATCTAATCTAATTCTTCTACCCATGACATATTGACTTTACATCTACGGGAGTTGATATAATATTTCTTGGTTAACAAAAATGGAAACCAATTGGTATAACATTGAAGACATACATTAATGCTGTTCCCCAGCATACTGAGACGGTGGGAGTGGTGGTTGGTGGCCGCAACTCCGCGTAGAAGGTGAGAAGTGCTGAGAGGAGATTGAAGTAGATGTAGAATAGGAGGAACGAAGTTGGTAGAGGAGGCCATTATCAGAGGAAGTTTAGTGAAAAATAATAAAGTAACCTTTTTATCTCGTTAAAAACACTTTCCTATTTTTATTTATGCTGATAACTGATTCCATCCACACACACCTAGTCATAAATATTATTTGACGCACTCTAATTAAATACTGAGTGCAGATCTATTGTCTTGAGAAAGTTATCTCTTAACAGTAGTTTATTGACCCTCATTACTACGACTCCAATTGGGAATATAACCATTGCTAGTTAAAAACCCGGCCATAAATGCTATTCAACTCGAGCGTCCTTCCTCATAGTAGATCCATAATTAGTTACACCTGCCACTTCAAGTACCCTACGTGTCAATACAAGGGGATTAAAAGAAAAACTACTTTTCATAGTAGTTTATTCGATTTCGAATGGATATATTTGTCAATTTCCTTGACAATTCCCTTATATGCTGGCGAATAATATAAAAAGAATAACCAATTAGGTACATGACTTATGGATTTATATCTACAATATCCAACTCTGACATATATATATAATAGCTAATTTGAATAACGCGCAGTATTAGTTTAGAGAATATGCATTGAATTTAATTCATATCAAGAAAGAGTATAATTTATACTCTTTTATTTTATATATAGCTCTCAATCCCTAGTAGGTTTGACATTTTGATTTTTCTATAGTAATATTTCAAGCCTACTGATGATTAAGAAGTTAAAGCTGAAATTATAGCTAGGCACTCTTGATTCAGGTATCCAATCTATAGTTTCTTTTAACGCATGTACCCCGTATTATAGCAATTGGCTTTTTTTTTCTGAATCATGATATATTATATTGGCCTTCATAAATATGAAACTAATGCATCTTAGACAAAATAATTAACTAATTTACTTTTACTTTTAAATTTGTATTCATGTTTGAAATAATTGTACTGATAAAAGAGTCATTCCATCATTTATACTTCGATTTATTCGAACAACATTATAGCTTCAATATTTTTTTTACAAGAATTATAAAAGTCGAAGCAATATATGTGTATATTCAATAAATTCTCAGCCTTAGGGTAACTGTCATCATATATAATATGTTTTACATCTGATAGAATTATCATGATGATATTACCGTCTCCAAAGATAATAACAAATAAAACATGGAGTTAAAATATAATAAAATTGTCTCTTTGATTCAAAGAAGTTTTTCAGAATGAAACTATATATTTCTTGCAATAGTATTTTAAGGAAAATAAAACTATACAATAATGATGTAAGATGTTGCTGATTAAATATGCTATCATGTTATTTCTTTACCTTTCATATTTAACGCGGATATTACAAACATGCTAAACAACATGTTTCGGGGAATATCATGGAAATAAGAAAAATAAGGACTCATGAAAAAAATATACCTGTTTAAACCTTTAATAGGGTGTTTCAGCAGTTTTAGATGTTTGATTGTTTTTGGTTAGGGGGTTTAATATTGAAAAATCATTGGCTCTCGTTAATCTGAAAAATAGATAAATTTTATCTCCAAACAACTATCAAAATTTTTAGTTGTTTGAATAGTTGTTTGAATAGTTGAAAAATGGAGAAATCGCGGGCGTATTTTTTTTTAAGAAAAAAATATAAATTTTATGTAATACTTAGGGCACTCAGTTGGTTTTTTATAGGTTAATTATTATTGGCTTATATATTTAATTCACGAAATCAGAACAATCAAACATCTAAAACTGCTGAAACACCCTAATATATAAAAAAAATATACATATTGTAATAGGATTTTACAATATAGATTTGTAGCATAAAATACCGTCATATGTTTATCAATTAAATTAAATAATCCGTTAATCTATCATCATGTAAAAATATATTACTAGATAGTGTATACTTATACTAGGTCAGAGAGTAAATACTTAAACATATGTAAATAGAGTTCGGGGATTAGAAAGAAACAGCATATTATGTAAAATAGCTTACGAATTTCGTCCTAATATATATGTAAGTATACAAATCACATCCTGTTTTATACACAGTGGAACTGGTTTAGCAGTTCAACCCTATCAAACCAAAGTAAAAGCTCTTTGTTTAAGGTCAGATACTCCAGCTATACAATGATTCTACGAAGACTTCTGAAGTTTTAAAGAACCGACGATACAGTTTAAAGCTGCAGTCGAAGTCAAGGGAATTCGCAATATATATATATAAGAGATGAGTGTTAGGAAAATATATTCCAAAATATTCTTCTACAATATAGCATGTCTACTGATAATTTCCATGGATGGGCCTGTCACGGCAAAGGTAAACATCTTTAAATATTTATTGTCTGATAATACGCTTTAATTATAATTATAATTTGACAGATAAACCCCTTGAATTGAGTGAATTGCCTTTGAAGGCATTTGATGACTATGCTGTTGATATGGATATTACTCACTGTGGTATTTGTGGATCTGACATTCACACAATTGACTCGGGATGGGGGCCTACTGATTATCCCTGTGTTGTTGGTCACGAAATTACCGGTATATGTACACGCGTTGGAAAAAAAGTACAGAAAGTTAAAGTTGGAGATCGTATCGGTGTTGGAGCTCAATCTGGCTCCTGTCTCAAGTGCGAGGACTGCAAGAGCGGTAACGAAAATGTTTGTATGAAGGGTATTGTGTATACCTACAGTAGCTACTGGGAGAATGGTGACAAGTCATATGGTGGTTATGCAGACAAGTGGAGAGGTCATGAACACTTTATATTCAAGATTCCCGATAATATGTCCAACGAGATCGCCGCCACTTTCTTCTGTGCTGGCGTAACGACCTACTCTCCTCTTAAGCACTACAATGTCAAGCCCGGAGACAAAGTCGGTGTAATTGGTATTGGCGGCCTCGGTCATTTTGGCGTACAGTGGGCTAAGGCTATGGGTGCCACCGTCGTCGCCCTTTCACACTCTGACCGCAAGCGCGATGATGCCAAAGAACTTGGTTGTGACGATTATATTGTTACGAGCAACAAAGAGATAATGTCTGCACACAACGGCACATTTACACATATCTTGTGCACCAACTTTAGCCCCGATTTTGATTGGGAAAGCTATCTTAGTCTTCTCAAGGCCAATACTCATTTCATTGTCGTCGGTGTTCCCGATGCACCATTGTCCGGCATACCTGCTCTTTTATTGGCATCTCGGCAAATCGCAATCGTTGGGTCGGCAATAGGTTCTCCTTCTATGATCGAAGATATGCTTAATTTTGCAGCAACTCACAATGTAAAGCCTTGGGTTAACAAGTATCCAATGAAAGAAGTAAACGAAGCTATTAAGGCCATGAGAGAAGGAAAACCTAGATATAGAATTGTGTTAGAAAACTAAGATTCTGCTCCAATTGTGAATCTTTTACTCTATAGTAAACTATATGCATAAAGCATTATCTATAAGCACAGTATTATTTCTTCAGTGTATTTAATTGTACAATATTATATAGTAGTACATAAATTTTTATTTACGGAAAGCTCGGTCTTTAATTGATCAATGCACTATTTAGTAATATATACAGAATTTTACCAATAATTAAGTAAATAATTTAAGTAAAATCAATAGACATACAAGTATGTGATATGTATATGAGTAATAATATGTGCACTAGAAGGAATGATATAAAGAAGCTTTAAATGCAAAAATACAAAGCATAAAAATACAATAATTATGATACACTTACACAAAACGTTTGGTCCTCAGAGAATACATTTCTCAGACATCCAAGCATGACACATATTCAACATACAGCTGCTCGTTAATGATTATAGCTCAGAGCTCCAGACTTGAAATGCGAGAAGATATACATGCTTATTATTTAATTATTAAACAATAGAAGTTTAACAGCGAGTATGCCTATCTTTGGGATCAATTACTGCCTGGCATCTTAATAAAATATTCTCTACTAAATTTGAAGCGAGTATGAGGTTTATATTGCTCCCTATTTCTGGATTGTACGCTTCAAATAATCTTCGTTTTAAACCGTCTTTTAATTTACTTAATATGACTTCAACATCACACCAAACATGCTTTATAGAGTTGATGTATGTAATCTGAGCAGGCTAGTACTCAAAGTCCTTGATATCCTGACTCTATTTTCATCACTTAGTATAGGTGCTAGTATGATATCTGGAATAGCCTTACTAAATACTGAAGTCATGTTGATACTGATGTGCCCGATGTTTTAATTTATGACAAGACGACCTGTGCTAAAGTATTGATATATACGTTCTGTTTACACCATCTTCAAGAAATTCCAGGTGCCCAAGACTATCAGTTCAGAAATAGCTCCAGAACAAGACAATATATTTATCCCACTCCGTTATTAAAGTAAAATGTCCTTATTCATGCTTTTTACTTTTCCCAATTAGTCTCGCACACCCATCGTTACCCTCAACTGTGAATCTGGACTCATAGTACCGGACAGCCCTACTCTATTGGTCATCTTCCCAATTGACGCTCTTCTACATAATTTACGGCCATACTTTCTTAAGTATGGGTTATAATAAAAAGCCTTTTATTGATGGCTTCCATAATAGACTAAGGAGAAATTGAAGTTTTTATTATTTTACTTGTATTTATCGAGAGAGATTCAAACGTTCTTTTGTTGGAGTATTTGATATATAAAGGTTGAAACGTAAGCCTTAGAGTGGTGTTAATTGGCAAGGCCATGTTGATAGAGTCATAGATGATATTAGCAAGTGTTGCCCTCAATTAAGTACCAAAAAATAATACCCGTTTATAAAACTCAGAAAGAAATGAAAGTCAACTATCTTGGATCAAGTATCTCTAAAGTGTTATTTACACAGCCAACGATGCAGAATATTAGCTATCAAACACATATAAATTTTGCTCTTATGGGATATATCTAATAAAATTTACCTTGTAGATTTTATTTTTATATTAAATAGTCTTAATAGCTTTATACGAATTTTAGTAATATAATCTGTGATCTAAGTTATCAGCAATAAAAGCCAGTATCAAAGAGAGCTTTGAATTCTTTCATCTAATCTTTAAGATTGAGCGTAGCTTATTCTTATTCACTTTGTCTGATGGGTTTTATCTAGTAATTTATAATACAAGGCCATTTATAAAATAAATAAAGAGTTTTAATATCATAATGTGAAGCGATCGAAGCCATTTAATGCTCTTTTCACACCTTTTATGGTGTTCGACCCAATTCAATTAGGCTGTGACATTATTATAATAATTCAGATCAAAAACATTACTTTATTGCACCATTTTTTTAAAGATAGTACTTTCTCTCCTAGAATACTGTTGTGTATTATTGAAGCTTTTTCTTATTCTATTTTTTTAAATAATATATATTGGCTTTATTACAGCCCTTATTTTTATAATACTAAAACACAATATGAAGGCATATACCAGGGAGCTATTTTTAGGTTAGAAAAGCAATCAACCAGCTATTCCGATACACTGGTTTTTTTAACAGAAATTATCATTTTATGGTTAAGGCTATTAATTTATTTTGAGAGCGTATGTGTTTAAACGTGTACAATTTTTTGATTCAAGGTCAGAGACTCCTGGTTTTTGTTTTCAGTTACAGTAACCCAGGAATTCATTATTGAGACCATGAAAAGTATGCTATTTTTTTTTAAAAGCCTTAACTCTCTCATACACAAAGGATACTGATAATGTTACATTCGATTGAAGTGAACCGTTTTCTGTAAATTTTAATAAGCGTGTAATTTCTTATGAGCATGGGAGGGTTGTACATACTCAATTTTCTGTTGTACTCCATCGTGTAGTATTGAGCCTTGGCAACTAACCATGTAAGACCATGAATATTAGATAACTCTCGGACTTTACAGTCACTCTAAGTATTTGCCACTCGGTAACAGTGAGTTGAGTATTGAAGCTTATTGTTTTAATAGCACGAGGGTGCGGTGTTGTCAGGTTTTTATTTTTATCTTTATTATTAGATTCTAGCCAACCCGCCAGTACACTGTGTAGGTTCGGGTGGCCAATGAATTATTTGGAATCGAGGGAAATTGATGTGTGAGGGGAGACCAGACTTTAGTAAAGAAAGCCTAGTCTTTCCAAGCTAAATGCATGCTTAACTTCCAAAACAAATCGTGTTCAAAATCTCCGCCTGGGTCTTACATTTATGCCTTGTGGGAGGACAAGACTTGTTGAGCACTATAAAAGCCTTTGACCTCTTGCTGTCCAAAGTCCAATATCATCCTCCTCTTCAGCAACCCATCCCTCTCCCTTCTCCCACAGACCAAACACACTTCCTTTCCTTCTACTACTCAACATGAAGTTCACCATCATTGCCACCGCTGCCCTCGCCCTCGCCGGCATGGTATCCGCCGTCCACCCTACCCGCTCCTGCGTGTCTCACTACAACGGTAAGTTGAGATACATGTTGAAATTCTACACATAAACTTATGTGGATATATTCCTTCAATTCTATAGCTGTCGAAGGTGACTCTTGCCAATCTGTTGCTCTCGCCAAGGGTATTACCGCCGAGAAGTTTGTTGAGCTCAACCACGGTCTTGCCGATCTCGGTGTTGAGGGATGTGCCAGCCTCAAGGTTGGTAAGAGATACTGCGTCTCTGCTCCCAAGACCAACGCCAAGCGTTGTTTGACCGCCAAGAAGGAGGATGCCGACAAGTCTGGCACCACTGTTACCTCCCGCCCCTCCAACGCTGTCAACAAGATCGTTGACAACTGCAACAAGTACTACACCATTGCCGAGTCTGACAGTGGCTGTTCTGATGTCGCCAGCAAGAACGGTATCGATGAGGAAGAGCTCTACGCCTGGAACCAGGGTCTCCACCACGCCGGTGACCACTTGTGCGATAACCTTGACACTGGCAAGGCCTACTGCGTCGGTGTTAACTAAATAGTCTAATATTCCGCCTGTAAAATAAACACTTCAATTCTCCAAACATAAAGCCATTTTATTTATTCGACCCTCCAATATTCAATTAAAATAATTATTTTATGCACATGGATATATATGAAGCTCAAGTATTTGTTCAGACCTTATTCTTGAAATCGCCAATGTGTTTGTAAATTATCAGACTGGAGCTTAACACACTCAAACAAATATTCTATACAGTTGATTTCTGCCTTTTCTGAACAGTTTGGTCAAAATATTATGGAATACTGAGTATGTAGCTTACTTTTTTTCTAGTATAAAGAAGTTTGATATTTGCAGATTATTAAATATATATATATATACACATTATATTAGAAAGCTCATAAAAAGCAATAAATAATATATAGCAAGGTTATATATATATATAGTGATACTCCTTTTATTTTATGAATTAAAGACCACACAATAATCATTAAAACAAAACTTAATTCATCAGCTCAATAGTTATAATTTATTTGGTAAAACAATGAAAATCAATACTGTCATATATATTTCAACACCAGTAATTATCTACGAATTTAAGAAAAAGGAATATTACGGATATACGGATCCTTCAAAGAATAGAGGACCAAGTAAAGGGATCTTAAGAAAGTTAGACAGAAAGAGCTATAAAGTGTACACTGTCTCATAGGTAATCGAAATTAATAGGCATTTCTGTAAATCATGTCACTTGGCCATTTTGAGTGTGTTATTAAACAAGATTCTCTAATTATTTATCTAGAAAATAGAACAAATACAGGTTTCGTAATTAAAGCATATGTTTTAAGAATTACTGAGAGGAAATATCCGAGTACAAGGGATTTGTTGTATTTTCCAGGTAAGTCGGTTTTTCGTTTGAGTCACATTGAACTTGACACACAATTATGAATGTATTTGTAGAAAATAGCATTTGCTCTATAGTCGTTAGCAATTTTATGTTACAGACATAATAAGCGAAGTATAATTTTATATATCTTTTGATAAACTGAATATCTATTGCTTTTTCTAAGCAATTCTAGCAGTGTGAAAACAAACCTATATATTGAAAGATATATGATCGACATGATATGTCCAAATGACTGAGATGGAAATATTATATTGGTTTGTGTTCCCAAAAGTATTTGGCTCGAGAGTAGGACTATATATCTCTCGTTCGTGGATTATTGAGAAATATCCAGACCAGATATTCAATTGAAAAGTTTCCTCTAAATTTAATATTCACAAGCTTTATAAACGTCCAGACCAACTATCAGAAACATTAGGAATAATATATTATTGTATTCACGAGTATAAAACATATATGAACAGAGATGTAATATCTGCATCAACTGAATTTTTCGTGTAGGATGCTTGGCACTTCTATCTGAGTTTGATAACCGCATCGTAAGTTTTAATATAGATATATCGAAAAAAAAAACAAGCTTAGGTAGATAATGTGTTGCATGTATGGCAGCAGAGAGCACATGGGGATAATGTGAACACTAGAAGGCCGAATTGGTTTGATTCATTTCTGTATCGTGAAAAAAGTAATGAGTCCAGGTAACTGTATATGTCCATATGGCAATACTTGGCATTGCGACAAGACACATGTCTTTAATATTTAAAGTGATTTTTTGCGTGCTGTCTGAATTTACAAAGACTATATTGCATTAAGGTTTATCCAATCATCTATTTAAATGATAACTTCTTGCTTGGTCTTTAAATAACTCGACCTTCTCCACTTAAGCGTAAATAAACACAAGACGAATCAATTGGTCTGTTATAATTCCAAAGCAGATATTGCAAAAGAAAGACAAAGTCGATGAGTGGACTATCACATCTCTGTACTATTTTTGGATTCCTATTTTTTTTTTTTTACATAATACTCCTCAATTGATATATAAACATATGAATTAATTTGTGTAATTATTGTGTGCTTGAGAGAAAAGTATTTAGAGATACATACAGTGTGGATATTCAATTCATACCATTTTACCTCGTGTATCCAATCAAATACAGTTATTTGATAATATGTTATCAAATCGAATAGATACAGTAATTGCTACAGCCAAAGAAGTCTAATAAATGTGTCTATAAACAAACTAATCAAAAGCTTTTTGAAAGCCTATTTCTTAAAAGTATATAGCTCAATTGTCTTGCACACCATTATAAAAAAAAGACAACTTTAGCAGCAGATCGTCGGAATACTTTCCGGGGTTTAAGGGTTGTTTTAACGTTGAATTTTGATCAAGTACTACTTTTCTCCTTTATATGTATAAATACGTTTTAATTGCAACTTTTCGTATTTTCTTTTTTTATTGCCATAGTTAAAAGGTAAAAAAAAAATCTTTTAAGTATCTCACTTGTACCCCTAATATTTTTACAGTAAATACAAACCACTATTTTCAGTTTCCCTGTGCAGTACAATAATAATAATAAAATTATTCAGTAAAAAGTATTCAAAGAATATAATAGCTTGCCACCTGTAAGCTCACTTCTTTGTTGGTTGGAGATATATCGGTGACATCTTGATCCAGTAACAATATAGTCTTCGTGCATGCAATATGAAATATCTCTTCTTCCAAGATCGATAGAAACATAATGCCTAGTCATCATTTTGTGGTTCTCTAGTGTAAATTCATGTATGTAAGAAGTGGTTTCTGTGTCAATGGTTGTAGTCCATCTGAGATTGGGCCCTTGGGCATTGTCAGGAATCTGCTTGAAAATTGATATTTCAATTTTATCTGTTTGTATTATTCTTCTGAACTTCATCAAAAATATTTTTACAATATTCGAAAGCCTTGATTCCCAAGCCTACCACAATTACCCACTACCCTAGTTTGTTCATAGATGCCCCCCATCTTTTCTTCAATACTTCAGCTCTTACTCATGTCGAAGGTTGATCTTAGGCTTCAAATATCTATCTTTGGCCTTGATGTTTAAATAGGGACTATATTCAGTATTCTGTTTAACATAAATTCGAAGCACTTCATTTCGAAGTAGGGTCCAATGTCAATTTTCAGCTGAATGAAGTTGGATAATAAATAGATATAAAGATGAATATGCGCCTAAGTATAAATGATATTCAGCTTAAGGAAAAAGTTAATTAATAGGATAAATAAAATATATGAAAATATATACTTTCTACGCGCTTGGAGTCCTAAATCCTGCCATTTCCCACACTTAGTTAGTTGATAAGCCGGCAAAAAAAAACAGTGCCTTGAAATTGATAGATTATCCTACCACTCTCAAAAAATCTATGATACACTTTGAAGTATAACCCTTTATTGCTGTCAATGAAATTGTATTATACTCGTAGATCTTCCACAAGGTTAACTTGTTTTATTATAAGTTGAAGAAGAAGAAAAAAAGAACTTGACTAGCAAGAACTTAAATAAAGTAACCAATATACAAGTATACATGTATTCTTTGGACTTATGCATTAATTTAACAATTATAGATATCTCAAAGTTATATACTCCAAAATATTCCTCTCTCTTTTTTTTTTTTTTTTTTTTTTTTAAAGGCTAGTACAGAGACTACTTGTATTAAAATCAAAGGCCGTTGCAACGTCACAAACCTTTTTTTTTCCTGTTAAAAAGAAGAACTATTTGGTTGACAATAGAGTAATGAATGAGAAGAGCCAAACCATGACAAACAGGCTAGAGAATTCCATTGAAGTCCTTTACCGTGATGATCACTTTTTCATTGTTAATAAACCTTACGATTGCCGAATACAAGACGACGATTTAACTCGTGGACCATCTGGTAGAGTATATGATGTAAAAGACGAGTGTAGATTAACATGTTTAGTCTAGTTCAGACCATGCTTGCCAATCAATTTCCAGAGATTCAAAAATTTCGCAATGTGCATCAACTTGATTATGCAACATCAGGGATATACGTGCTTGCCCTGAACAAAAAGGCAGCCGGAGCAGCATCCAAGCTATTTCGGGAAAGAAATGTACATAAGACGTATTTGGCAATCGTACAAGGTCACTTTGCACAGGATAGGTAAATATATAAATATATAAATATACATATATGTCAAATGAAATAAAAAAAATAGCCAATATTTTTTTTGGTTAATAGTTGTACTGTAGACCAACCGATTGGGGATGATCCAAATCATGATTTCCGGATGTCAATTCTTCCAGACGGAAAACCTGCCAAAACTCATGTAAGAGTACTTGAGCGCGGTTACTATCGTTACAAGGAAGAAAAGACAGGGGAAGACAAGTGTTTAAAGGTTAGCAAAGTGGAATTGTCACCAATAACTGGTAGACGCCACCAGTTGCGTGTACATCTACAGTCTCTTGGGCATCCGATTATAGGTGATTATAATTATGAGACCCAGTATACCGACACCTTCCGAATGATGTTGCATGCATACAAGATTATTTTACCACTTAAACAAGGAGAATTAGCAGTAGACACCAATGATCCTTTTATAAATCTGGTCGAAATATCAAAATAAATGTTGGATACTAGTATTTAATGTATGTTATCTATATGTATATAAAGGAGGAAATGAAAGAGAAACAAGTGACTAGGAATAGATCAACATATAAAAATTATGATATGATAATCATATAAAAAAATACAGAGAGAAGGATTAAATGTATCTGATCACACATTCAGCGGGAGCACTTCCAGGACAGTCTTCGAGACCATTGGGGTTCTTGCTCTGCCAGTTCCACAAAGAAGCACAAGTGTCATCCAGAGAAATCTCGGCCTTCCAGTTAAGTTCTTTCTCAGCCTTGGCAGGGTTAGCTGTAAGGTTGGTAACATCTCCAGCACGGCGACCAAGGATAACATATGGGAGATCACGACCGACAGCTTTGCTAAATGCAGCTACCATCTCCAACACAGTGCTACCCTTTCCAGTACCAAGGTTATACTCAACACAGCCAATGTCTTCCTTTAACTTTCTTAATGCAGCCAAATGACCCTTAGCAAGATCAACTACGTGAATATAATCTCTGTAAAAAAATTGAATTAGTTTCCAGAATTGCGCCTAGCATGTTTGTACTTGTATTTACCTAATGCATGTTCCATCCTTAGTAGGATAATCGTTTCCGAAAATAGCCAACTTATCACGCTTTCCAATAGCGACCTGGGACAAGAAAGGCATGAGATTGTTGGGAACACCGAGAGGGTTTTCGCCGAGAATACCAGAGGGGTGGGCACCAGCAGGGTTGAAGTAACGGAGTAGAGCAGCATTCCAGTCACCTTCAGCAGTGCAGAGATCACGAATAATGTTTTCAATAAAATGCTTGGTGCGGCCATAGGGGTTTGTAGCACCCTTTAGAAATAAACAGAAAAGTATAATCCAGCGTAAGAAATATGTAGGTACGTGTAAATATACGTGTACATGTGTTTTCGAGCATTCATTCTTTCATTCTTTCATTCTTTCATTCTATATTTTGTTATTGTTTTAAACTTACAGTGGGGCTGGTTTCAGGAATAGGGATAGTCTTAGGGTCACCGTAGACAGTAGCAGAAGAGGAAAATACAATATTCTTGACGTTAGATTCCTTCATAGCCTGGAGAAGTAAAATAGTTCCGGTGATGTTGTTGTGATAGTAGTCCAAAGGAATTTTGGTGGATTCTCCAACAGCCTTAAGGCCAGCGAAATGAATGACAGCCCAGATGGGATGGCGCTTAAAGACTTCGAGCATAGCCTTTTTATCGAGAATATCTACATCGTAAAAGATGACCTTTTTGTTGGTGATTTTCTCAATACGGCGAATGGCCTCATAAGATGAGTTGGTGAGATTGTCAATGACAACGACAGAGTAGTCTTGGTTAAGTAACTCAATGACAGTATGAGAACCTAAAAGATAAAACAAAGGCAAAGGGACAAATAAATATAACGCCCAAATTTTTAAACATCAATAAAACTAATTACCAATATAACCGGCACCACCAGTAACGAGAATAGAGCTTGCAATCATTGAGCGATTTAGTGAAAAGGAGAGGGCTTGATGAAAGAAGTTTAAAAAAAAAAGTGAAAGATGAGCTTAAATATAAATATAAAAAAAAAAGCCAATGAAAGTCCGCAATAGGGATGCCCTAAAGGTCCGATGAGTATCCGCGGTGGATCCTTTCTTATGTAAGCTGCCCTTAGTGTCCAGTAAGTAGCGATCGTGCCATCATATAAGCATGTTGATGAGATAAGCAATCTTCTATAACTCCGGCTTGAACATACTTACTGGCCCCCAAGACGTCTTGATCAAAGATGTCTATCGCTATAAGACTAGAACCTATTTTTAGGTTGATCCGCCAAAAAGACATTTCCTTTTTCCTTTTTCACTTTAAATAGATATATCGGATATATATATATATATATAAAGGGCTTAGATGAAAGACGCAAAATGTATTAATGTTACTATGTACAAAAGTGCTTTTTAAGCAAAATAAATAATAATAATCCTATTCTTAATTTTTTTTATATAACTTCTTTAACGTGGGTTTAGGCGTAGAGGCCTTTGTAGGTTTTTGGACATGCTTTACGGAATTCGTTGCCTTTTGTGGTATAATTTCTGCAGTAGCTTGTCCACCACGAAATGAAGGATCTCTTGAAGACTGGAATACTTTGTACATCTGGGCCTTAATGAATTCAAGATCAATGTTTTTCTGAGAAAGTTGAGGCGCGTTTATAGCCACTAGAGGCTCCTCGGTACTCTGTTGTACTTCTTGTCCAAGCAAACACTCATCTGGCCGGGCATTTACATTAAGCTCACGTAGTGTATCCTGAATTGTACAACTGATGCCTTCGGGGATCTTTTCTGGATGAGAAGGGGTAATGCAGGTCATGTAAGGCTCTTTACGGAAAACGTGATCAATGTCGACAGCAGAAAAGAATCCTACACTCTAGAAAATATTATGGGTTAGGATAGTTATTTAATAACCACGATCATAATCATATTCATAATTGTACCTGCGGGAGATTGTAAATTCCAAGCCTATAGCTAAATAAAGTACGTGTCCAGAGATTTGCAACCTGAAGGGCTAGAGCTGTACGGTGTTGATCCTCATCAGACGAAAGATATCGTACTTCATCATGAACTGATAACATAAACCGAGCATTGATATTATAGCGTTTAATAAGGTGAGACATAGAGACTATCAGCATATGAAGATAATCGACACCCGAACTCTGGACGACCCAGTTGATACGTGATGTCAAGAATTGAGACCCAGTATATTCTGGCTTAAGTGCATCTGTTACTGCACATCCAAGGACAGGCGTTCTAGGCTCTTTTGAGAGAGCAATATCTTCAAGAGCATTGAACATGTAACTTTCTGAACCACCATGCCAAAAAGTACGCTTGAACCGGTGCCGTACAGAATGTTCTTTTTCACCTTTTGTGTTGAGGTACAGGGCAGCAGCTCTAATTTGCGCAGCCTCAAGATCCATTCCCTGACTGTACTGCATCAATAAACTGGTCGCATATTTGACACCTGCACCATAAATACGCGCATAATTAAAGATCTTGGCTTTATCACGACTGATTCCCAAGATATTGGCCGTCTTGGAATGCAAGTCAGTTCCTTCAGCCTTGGTACCCTGAAGAGTCATCCAACCCAAGGCAGTAGCACCATGAAAGCCAAATTGAGCATCACCAATCACACTAGAAATCCACAATTCCTCCGAGTCCACATCTGCACCAATAATCTTATACCCCTTTGGTGCCTGAACCATTGATTTGAGTTCTGACCCAATACGATTGGCTTTGGCATTACTTGCTGTAAGCCACGTTTTCTCTACCGCTCGCCGGGTAACCGTGCCCATTGTGACCATCTGAGGAAGAATAATTCCATACTTGGCATCTTTATTGTCTGATCTATCACGCATCGGTAATCCCATGCTTTTCTCGTCTTTATCCCACACCACAAACTGACCCAAGATACGCTCTCGGGAACTGATCCAATAAGCCGATTTAGCATTCAAATCCAAGGCATCTCTTGCAGCTTGGTATTCAGAAGTCAGAACCTTGTCTTCAAAGTAGTTCATATAGTTTTTTGCAAGAGGATTTCCACAGTTGGCCTGTTCACCATCTTTATGAGGGACCTTTACATAGTGATATTTATCGTCATTATGCACAGCTTTTGATCGTAGCGTAGCTGGCATCGTCTCTGAAGCTAATTTGTAACACCACCCGTGATCAGAAATATAGTGAAGAGGGTAATCCAGCCACTTTAGCCGCAACAAAAGAGGCGCCATCCTTGATCGAATTGATATTTTGAGTTTCCCAGTCTTGGTATCATAGGCATCCTTGTACCATTTAGGCTGCCCTTTAAGTTTTCGCTGACGCGGGTTAACAGTCCAGTCAAGTTGACTTAGCCAAGGATCCTTTTGCCATTCTTCCGGTGTATCTACCAGTACCCTTGCCTTCTCAGCCAAATCGCGCAATTTGATATCCAACAAGTCTTCCAATTCTCGATGCTTTTCTGAGGACCGTGCGAGATATTTTTCCCATTTTTCATTTACAGGTAAAAATGAGTTTCCCATCTGAAGCATACCAGCAAATGATACAGGATGAGGACAATTCTCGATAAACCGGGGAAAAACATGTTTGTAGATCTTATGGGTCATGTCGACATCTTGGGCACAATACTCCATCAATTGATCAAAGTTTTCTTGGATATCTTCGAGATTACCACATTCAAAGTAAGATCGTGGTTGTTTATCAGCCTCGATTTTGCAATAAAACTTGGCGACATCTTTGAGGCTATTAAGTGAGCTAACATCAAAAAATTTTGCTTGTCCAATGTCCATTCTCTGTAATTCTTCACTAGTCGTTATACCCATTACATTATCTCTCTCTGCAGCAGCCAGTTTATCCAGATTTCGACGTTTGACCTCCATGTTCCACGCTGGTCGCTGCTGTGAACAAAGACCTGCCCCAGAAATATGAAGGCTCATAGTATCCAAGAACCGTAAGCGTGACCCCTGAATATTATATTCCTCGGCAATTCTGGCACGATCGTAGCCTACGTTGTGCCCGACTATCAATGTGTCTCTCGAATTTCCAAACGGAATAAGTTGTTCGTTGGATTGAGCAGGATCGAATAGATGTGGCGATGTCCATGAATACCATGCCTCTGCCGAAGCAGCTACTGCTAGTGTAGGGTAATGTCCTTCGCTCATCAACACTTCTACGTCAAAAACAAGTTTATCTTCTGTTGGCCATGGTACCTGTGTTGCGTTTCCATTGCTATATCGCGTCCATCCCGAAGTTCGAGACCACTTTGTTGGTTTGGGCGGGAAAATTTCGTTAGCAAGCTGTTTTGCTTTATCGAGTGTGGTCCCAGACTGTTCAATACCCATATTAGCAAAGTGCTCTTCTATCGATTTCCCTCTCAAGGATGGTAGCTTAAGATCAATTGGTGCCTGAATCTCGGCTGTTTTTCCCCAGATATCCTGGATCGTCAAGTGCTCTCTTGCCAGTTGTTCCGAGACCGACTCACCCGGGGATTCCGCACCGTATTCACCAAAGAGTTGTCTGTGAAGGGATGGTGATAGAAGCTGAACATTCGCAGGGTTCATTATGACTAAGAGAACAGCAACAAGACAATGGCGATCGATGCCATGATCAGGGTGGCATTGGCCTCATAAAGAAAAGACCAGGGTTCTTTCTTTATTCTCTTATCACCTACTGTTGTCATTCTTGGCTGGTTGGGTTAATTGACGTATGGTTCTGTAATGTGCGAGACATGTCTTTTTGCTATAGACTTTGGTGGTGATGTTGAATGCTTTTTGCATGACAGAAGTACTGAGTTTATTCTTTACACGAAAGTTCAAGTCAAAGAGGACAAAAAAATTTCAGCATGAGAAGACGGTCACATTCCAAGTTACTAAGATCATTCTGCCAAAGCTTGACAGACTTGTATAGAAGTATGGACTGTATAAGATTTGGAGGGCTTTGAGCTATACGTTATTTTTTTATATTTATAGATGTCTAAAGGTACATACATACATATATACACATATACATACACACACACATATACTTCCTCAAGCTTTGGACAGAACCTAGATCTTAAGGTTAATATGTGTGTGGATGTGTGTATTGGATCTCAGTAAAATCTCAGCTTATGGCTACGGAGAATGAAAACTAGCTGGGTACCTATTTTTTTTTTGTTCATATTCTTTTTTTTTTTTTTTGTCTTTGTTCTTCATCAATAAAAGCATGACTAGCAAGAAGCAGTTTGTCTATCAGACGGTCTTTGTGCTGTGTATTATATTCCTAATAACAATTATACAACGAAATAGCAGTCGTTACTTAGGTACGCTTCCTGTTTGACTGCAAACAGGCAGTAGACTGATGATATAGTGGTAGATCCCCAAGACACATGCCTGTCATCATCATGCCAAGAGAAATCACTTAGTGGTAAAAAGAGAGAGAAGCCCTTTACATTTGTGACTGCAGCGAGTGAGAATCATTTTTGTGCGCTCGAAAGCATGATGTATGCGATGAGAGAATTGCGTTCTCAGGTACCAGATGAGGCCTTTCCTCGTTTGGTGGTTTATGACCTTGGTTTAAGTGATTCTCAGCGTGGGGTGTTATCGAATCTAAAGAATAATGAATACCTGGATGAATGGGTTGAATTTGACTATGGGGCATACCCTGCCTTTTGGAATATCAGTAACAACCGAGGCGAGTATGCTTGGAAGACAGGAGCAGTGAAGGATGTACAAGAGCGCCATGGAGGTGTTATTGTGTGGCTTGATACGGGTGATGTACCGAACCACAAGTTTATTATGACCATGCCGGATTACATTCGTCGTCATGGATTCTGGTCTCCTCGCAGTACTGGGTTAATGGGGCCTCGGTTCAATCATCCTGGACTGTTTAAATACTTTGAAATTGACCAGGCGGACTACGTTACGAAGGAGAACTGCAATGGAGCAGCGCTTGGATTTAATGCTGATGACCCACGTATTTTGAATGAGATAATCAATCCGTGGTACGAGTGTGGACTTGATCTGGCTTGTATTGCACCGGCTGGATCTTCTCGACGCAACCATCGCCAGGATCAGTCTGCAATTAGCCTTCTAGCTCTCCGTGCTGGATTCCGGTGTTTCGAATACCCAGAGTTCCATGGCGTCACTATTCATCAGGATGACCAGTGTAATGAGCGCTTATTGAGACTCAACGAAAAGAAACAATTGCTTCACCCCTCTTCAATTGACACCTGAATATTTTGAGATTTTTTTTGTATTTATCATAAGTTCACACTACACATAAAAGATGTTAAAATTTGGATCAAATCTATCTGTCTATCAATTTCTTTATTTTACACATATTTATCATTACAGAATTTTATATAAGATTTTGATTTCAACCAGTGTTAAATGAATTGGTTGAACCGAATACAAACAAATTAAATCAAATTAATAAATAATAGACAAGTGTTGTCAAAAAAATAAAAAGGATGTGTACTTGGAAGCAAAGCAATTTGACAGTCAAAATCAATTAAAGCTGGTTAAATGTAAAGGAGGTATTAATTAGATAAAGGTAGATAGTATTTCGGGGGGTACAAAATCAGTGTAGAGCTGTTGTATACAGGATAGAGACAGCTATATTTTTATAGACTTTGTTAGTGGACAAATGAAGCAAATTTCGTAATACAGTATTTTACCCTAAAATTAGACGATTTCCAAAGAAATTCTAGACGTTTTCAAAAATGTTTTAGACAGATTGATTTCATGAAAGACTCTTTACTGTTTTAATTATTTGAGGTATAACTCCTTATTTATACATCTGTCCCAGTAAGTTTCAGCATATCTAATCCATCCCAAGCAGTCATTAACACTTACTGATTGACAAGCTTCCACAATGCGTGGCGTGAGTTTCGAGTTGGTATCTAAAGGATTTCTTTTGATCTTTTAATTTTTGCCCAGCATTCTTCAATAGGATTTAGAAATGGAGAATAAGGAGGCATAAAAAGAGGTTTATAGCCTCGTTTGTTAATAGCATCTACCACAAACGCTGAGTGATGAATCCTACAGTTGTCCATAACAATGAACATATCTTTTTTATTATGTTTGTCAAGAACGTCCATAACGGCCTCTATAAATTTAACAATATGATACGCGGTGGTACCCTTTTTAAGAGTCTTTGGTTTAGAGGATTCCAAAGTATCTCCCTTTCTCTTTTTACCCTTAGGTTTTTGAAATTCTTCCTCAAGTTTTTCCATGTCTGCCCTTTGTAACGGCTCAACTTTAGAAAAATTGATGGTCCCAAACGGAGAAATGCAGCCGACAATAGTAACATTGGCTCCACATCTAGCGTGAACCTCAACATTAGCTGGGTCGCCTTTTTTCGACCATGCGCGACTTCTCATCATTTGAGTATGGAACCCAGCTTCGTCAATAAACACACAGTTCTTTTGAAAATCAACGCCAACTTCTTTCCATTTGCTTACTATTTCCTCACGTAGAAGAAGTGTTCTTTCGGAATTTCTGTCAGCGTTGTATTTTGAAGCTTGCTTAAACGAGAAATTACACTTCTCCGTTAAATGTCTCCAAAGATTACGTGGGGAAATTGTAAATCCTTCGAAATTTTTAGACAACGCCTCTTTAGCCATGTCAATAGCTGATGAAGGGTGTGCATCAAAATAGTTTACAAGAAATTCCGTATGCTGCGGCAGAAACTTTATTGGTGTTCCTCTATTGGCTTTTTTCTTTGATGACCTTCCAGGAAGAACATCTCCATTACCCGTATTAAATTCTTTCAATAAAACGTAGCCAGTACTTCTAGGGATCATACATTGTTTTGCTGCTTTGGGTACACTTAATCCCTCTTCCTGTATAAGCCCTATAAAAGCACGAATCTGTTTAGGCCCATACTTGTTTTTCTTCTTATGTATATCTTCGATGAAGAATGCGTTCAGATCGGCTGTGATTTCCTCTACTGATGTTTCTACCGTTATTTGCTACTCTGTTATCTCCTCCATTCTAACATCAGAAGTAGTTTGATTGTTGTCCATGTCAATTAATCGCAAGACATGACCATAGTCCATTGCTATATCTTCATCACTCATATCTTCTAGCTCATTGTTTAAATGATCGAAATCAGGTTTATATTGTATGAAATCCATTGTAAGATATATAAAACTGAAAAGTCTAGGAAAAGAAAAACTATCCAGAGAAAATTTTAAAAAGTCTAAATTAAAAAGGCCAAACGTCTAATTTTAATTGGTTGTCGTACCTAAACTAATCCTAATGTTGGCGAAACGAAGTCGAATAATGTGATAGATGCCCACCCTTGGTACAACCGTTGGTTCGGTATATAGTTTTAGTTTAGTAGTTTATTTATTTATTTCTTATATATATATATACATATTATCCCATTCCCTCCCTCAAAAAAGAAAGAAAAAATTCTATATGCTTAGCAGAAAGATATAGGGAAGAAAGGGAAAACAATTTTTATTACAGATAAGGAAAATAAAGCGTGACTCAGAGAGCATCTATCACATTATTCGACTTCGTTTCGTCAACATTAGGATTTTACTAAATAGTTTCGATTTAACAAGCAACGTCATTTATTTCAGATCAACCAAGCCAGCAAGTATACAATATGTAGATGAATATACTACTTCTGATGAAAAAATGACAGAGATAAGAAATGCAAGGCATAAATTTAAGTCATGCTAAGTCAGTTTTTTTTTTATTTGGTCACTTTGTCCAAATACTTTTAGTCGTAAAAATATATTTGATAGTATGAATTTTATTTAGCATTGGATGCTACAGTCACGATGCTTCGAGGTGATATTGTTAATCATCTGGAATAATTGTGTGGTATGGGGACTTGCAGAGGGAGAAAATGTTGAGGTGTCGATTGGATATGCAACTTTGGGGGATGTGGGGGATGTGGGGGATGGCATGCTGACAGGTGCAACGACAGATGGTGATGAATTTGCTTGGTAACAGTAATGCCAAAATAAAAGGGTGACGCGCAATAACGTACGGATATTTTTCAGTGTGATGAATGAGTGAAGGCAGGATAATGCTTCAGGCAGGGTGATGCGGCCAATTTCTGTCATGGTAAAGAAACTGCTATGTATCATTTGTGTCATATAAAAAACTAATCGAAATCCTACAAAACATTGTGAAATGGTTATGATCCATAAACACTTGGTGTGGACAGACTAAAAGTTCAAAAAAAGGGCAAAAAAAGGGCAAAAATTTAGGCCATTTTATTGGATGAGAGTTTTAATTAATTTTGCCCTTTTTTTGCCCTTTTTTTTGAAGGTTCAAAAAAAGGGCAAAAAAAGGGCAAAATTAATCAACGGCTATGATTGGCCAGTTTTCGTCTGATACTACTTGCATGATAATATCATGCATCCCTTCTAGTTGCATTACACTTAAATAGCAAACGACAATTTAAAGCATATATACTTACTATAATTAAATACTAGCGTGTATAAAAGTGAGAAATATATTACTCTTTTACTTATTATCTTAAAAAAATGCCGCATACTCCAATAAATATACTCGCAAAATCAACTTTGGATGCATCTGCAGCTATCACTCAACACACGTTGAAGAAGATGATCAAGATGTTGTCCGACTCTAATGTCATTGCTTGTGAGGAAGATCATGACACGTACAAAGATTTTGCAAGCATATGCAAATTAAAGCTACAACAGGAGAAATTGATGGTTACGAAGGTCCAAGACAAAATCAGCAAAGGACGCTATTTTTTCAAAGGGCAAAACAAGACCAAGAAACTTGTAACTCAAAAAGAAAGATTGAATTTTCTGCTTGCCTTGGATGAAAGCGGCTTCCTGGAAGAGTTTCGAATGAGCAAGAGCTCTTTTTATAAGCTGTATGATCTTGTAAAAAACCACGAGCTTTACCAACAATTGTCAGGATTTTACTCGATCGATGTTAGACTACAGATTTCCATTGTTCTTGACCGATTAGGATCAAATGGTAATTCTTCGTCAAGTGGCCGTTTGGCAAGACGTTCTGGAATAGGAAGTAAGTAACTCAGGATAATAGTCTACGACTGTTTACCCACATATACAAAAGCAAATTTATTCACCTGTTTCCTACAATAAAAACAAATAGAGGGCTCTATCGAGAATATAACAACCAGATTCTTCAAAGTAATTCTCTCTTTAGAGCACAAGTTCGTTTATTGGCCAACCGAATCTGAGAAAGCAGAGATAAAACGAGCAAATGAATATTCATTAGGATTTCCAAACCTTGTTGGATTTCTTGATGGATGCTTATTTAAGCTGGCAAAAGCACCATCGTGGAAGCCAGAGCAGTTTTTCGGTCGCAGATCCGCTTACTGTGTAAACAGTGTCGCAGTGTGTGATCATAGACGCATAATCCGATACATGTCAACCGGTTTCTTTGGAAGTTCGCATGATATGCGTACTTTGTCTGAGTGTGAGCTTGGAAAATTCCCAGAGCGATTCTTTTCTGATGACGAGTATGTGTTGGCAGACGCGGGGTACAAGGCTACGAACTATATTGTTCCAATCAAAAAGAAGCCAAGAAACAGTGAACTCTCGTTAGCAGACCAAGAGTTCAACACCAAGATCTCGAGCATGCGAGTAAAAATTGAGCATGCATTTGGAATCTTAAAAGAGAGATTCTACTCTCTCAAATCAATCCCTGTAAGGATAAAAAGAAAGGAAGACGTTGTAAAGGTTAACGCATGGATTCGGGTTTGCGTAGCCTTGAACAATTTCCTGATGTGTCAAGATGACGACAAATGGTCTCAGGAAGCCAAGCGTCGATGGGAAGATAGAGAGAAAGCTGAAGTTGAACGCCTGCGGAAGACAGGATATTCAGAGGAGTCTGGTGTAGTAGATGGATCCCAGAATATAGACGGAAATACAAGGTGGATCCAGACACAACGTGTTGTTATGTCAAAAGAGAAGAATAAATCTTCTTGAATAAAGAAAATAAACTTTGATCATTCTAAATACATTAAAAAAAACAGAAGTATTAGCTTTTATATCTATTAGATAGATCTCACTTTTCGGCATTTGACAGCTGTAATTAAATAGATATTTTGTCATTATTTATGTTCTTCTCTTTCTTTAATATTTTATTATCAAACTATTTTGAAGACGTAAGTAGAAGATCAATTTTGCCTGCTTTAATGATAGTATTTTTATATAGTCTACATGCCTTTACATTTTTTTAAATAAAATAACATTAGTTCTGAGAATTTGTATATAAATATATATATAAATTAAACGCATAGTATAAATAGAAGAAATACAATTTATTAATTAAGGTATTGATTATACACCTCTTCTAATTCATTCTTAGTCTTCTCCTCAGACCAGTCAAATGTTTTTGCCATAAGGATCACTCCTTTTACCCGCTGCTCGCATTGAAGCTCTTTTTGCAGCTTCTCCTTCTGGTTCTTGAGCTCTTCCTCGTACTTTGATTCTAAGAGCGATATCCGGGCATCATTGAACTCTTTTATACCATGCCCAATATCCTCTATGCTCTTGACTGATCTTTTTGCCGTGTTCTTCACAATCTTGCCAAAGAATTTAGGGCGTCTTTTGCCACTGTACGCACTGGCGTCAGAGTGCTCGGAGGTGCTGCTTTCACTATTGCTTTGGACAATGGCCTCTCTCTGAGAACTGATCTCATTGCTGACATCAGCTCCCTGTTCTTCTTGGTCTTTGCAGCTTTTGCTGCTCTCACTGGCTTCGTCACCTCCATCATTTTCACCGTCTTCACCGTCTTCATCCTTGCTCATGTCTTGGGCTTTGTTTAAGTCCAAGGGCGTTGTTGTATTACATACAGCAGGTGACTTTGCCTTACTTTCACCAAGTACTTTTCTCATCTGCGTGAAGTTTGGGCATATATCATTAAGATATACTTATAAAAAATAATTTAAATTGTTTAGATGTTTGTTTTAACTTATACGTAACAATATTCATACCTTCAAGCTCATCTTTTTCACGTTGAGACATTTCTTCTTCGCTAATTCTCATTGTGCTGTCTTCCCAGGCTTTGAATGCAATAGGATATTGCTTGGTTATCAAATACGTCAGCTTGCTTTTTATTTGAGAGCTGGTGCGCTTCACACCCTGCTTGTCAAAATACTGGCAGCAGTCGTTGATCACTCTGGTCTTGCTGACCTTGACCTTCTTCCCGTTCTTGAAGCCACCAAGGTACTTCCTCAGATTGTCTGCGTCGTCTTTCAGCAGAAAGTACTGCAGCCGATCAATCGATGACAACCCATCTTTACCACCATCTGGCTTCATCCAGGAATGTGACTGATTGTCATCTTCCTGATGAGAAACGAACTCAATAGCGCTGGGGGTGGACATACTTTTATTACAATAGTTTAATGTAAGGTACAGGCGATACAAGAAGATAATTTTTTTTATAAAAAAAAAGACGAAAAGGATGGAGTTAAAATGAAGGTAGATGAGTATTGATTATTATTTATAACTTTATGAGTAATATATACTGACAAGCTATTTTGGCTAAAATGTTATACCTGTAATAAATGGATTTGTAAAAAAAGTGGTGTAGATAATTAGATTATGAGATGGAGAGAGGTTTGAGCTCAAGAAGAATGATTTTTATTGATGAGAATTGTTAAGAGTTCTTGTATTGATGGGGAGGACTTTTAGAGACAGGGGATATCGTTTGCATACGTATGCTTTGACGATATGCAGATACAGATTCAAGCAGTGAAAGATTCTGAAGAGTTGTAATTGGATAATATAAACAAATTCGTCTTTATCCACAACAAAACAGACTTCTTTATGTTGATATATTTGAATATGAAGCATTGACTATGCTTACTGACAGTGACAGCATTATGAGCATAGCATTACCTAATATGTATTTTGAACTAATTTTGAACTTTTTTAAAAAAAAAGGTGTGGACAATCATAATTAAAGCTGATTGGCTAAGTTCAAGATGGACTTGTTTTACCCTTTTCTTGCCCTTTTTTTGAACTTTTAGTCTGTCCACACCAACTGTAGCAACATTTTCCTTCTTACCTTTAACTTGAAAAGTGAGAATAGGATGGCCATACTTCAAGACGCTGTTACGCGACAAGACGGCTAGCTTGAGCGTGTCCAAGCAAAGGGAATGATTGGTGGCGTTATCACCGCCAAGCTTGACTTCTCCAAAACCAAGGGATTGCCCAAATGTACGCTGGACCAAGGTGGATACAATGGCGTCCGGACGAATGCCAGCGGTCAATGTGTCCTCCTTGTTCGGCCATCGTAATACAACCTTCCTCTTGGTATCTGCCACAATGGACGACAGCAATGGATCATAATACCTGGTTTGTACGTCTATTTCTCCGAATTGGTTCTTGTCTGCGATGGGGTCAAACGGTAGTTTCACCAACCTACAATGAAAATAGATGAGGAAGGATATTAGTACTTAGACGCACTTTTCTCTTCCACATTACAATATTTACAAATCAGCAATGCCTTCGACAACATTAGACTTGAATTGTTCCATGCTAGTGGCCAGAGTCAAGAGGCGGAGCTTGGCACTTTTTGGAGACATACCCTCCTCGTCAATAGCGGATACAACATTCACCATTTCCATAAAGTCATCGTTGGTAAAATTCGGGGTTATCGTGTGGCACTTTGCGGAGTAGCGTTTGAATTTGACACTTTAACAAATTGTTGAGCATTTGTTCCCCAAAAACAGCCACTTTGTATTCGCTATGCTGTTCATTCGCCAGGAAGAGTACACCCGACAAAGCTAATATCTCCTGAATGTTTGATTCCAAAGGGACAGGCTTGGGAAGGATGTCTTCTTGATACTGGTATTTTAGGAAAAGAGAATTAATATCGCTCCCATCAATAATCCAATGCTTCTCTTCGTTGTCAATCTTTTGTCGAGTATTAGCATGCTCTTGATCCAAATCAGCTGTAATTGTTGTTGCTATAGGCTGTGATGCAGTTGCTTCCTGTGTTGGACGTGGAGTTGGTAATTCTACGGTTGAGGTTTAATTTTGAGGCTCCAAAAGGCCCTGGGAATCAGATACTAACAACTTATCGATCGCTTCGGAGCAGTTGGATGCAGCAGTTTCCAAAGCATATTTTCGTTTGCGTTCCTTCCAAAACGCTGTGCAATCAAGGGTGAGGCACCAGTTTTCAAATTCTTGGAGGAGGCGAGATTGCTCTGCTTCGGACATGTTAGTAATGATGGTCTTATATTGAGCATGGCAGCGCCTGCGTTCATAGTAATCATGCTCCAGGGCAAACGCCTTTAAGGTAAGCGTACTGACGTTACAAATGCACCATTGAGCATCAGCCGCTAACACCCGTGGCCGCTTCTCGTTTGATTTTGGAATGATGGCCGTTTTTCTTTTGCGATTCTGTGCCGTATCCGGTTCCTCTGGTGATTGTTGGTCTTTTTTTTTTTAGCTGTTTTCGTGTTCACTTTATTATTTTTGGAGCGTAACTGACGTTTGCTGACAGGAGTCTGACCACGTTTACCCGTCATTTCAATAAATGATTAAAAATGAACAAAGATAAAAACAGCAGTCGTTTACTTAAAGTCTAGGACTGTACAGGCGTTCTATATTCCGAGATCACTGGTTTATATTTTCTGGTTCGACCATTTATTTTTGCCATTCACCAGCGTGCGAGGGAATTGTCGAGGGAATTGCATCGAGGGAATTGAGCCACGTCATATACGATTCCGATTGTTATTCAGCATCTGGCTTTTAATTATTTACTAAAATACCCTGCCAATTTTTATTTTTTTGTTAATTATTTGTTTCATTTTGGCTGTATAAAATGAGCTTTTTAAAGTATGGTCGTTTAGTATATTCCTTTTTGTAACTAGAGTCCTTATTTTAGCAATTTTGTCAATTCCCTCATACGCTGGTGAATGGCAAAAGCAGTCATTTTTTCCAAAATGTAAAAAGCAAAGGTTACTACTAAACTGTCCTGTAAAAGTTACATTTTATAAATTCTACAGATATAAGATAATGCGTAAAGGCGGTTATATCATTGAAAGAATTGAAATAATTGAAATAAGGTCTTTAGTAGACTGCATCTGATGTTGAAAGTATCTCTAAAATAACGGCAAATCTTCTTTGGGACATTTGGATTTTATTTAGCAAGCCCTTTTGAGGCTGGCAAATGTTCAGAGCCAAATTACGTTTTTAGAACAAAGTGAAAATTATATCATAAAACCTACTACATAAAGTAATTTAATAGCTAAATTTGCAATTATTCACTTTTTCCATTCTTAAATAATTTGGCCCGTATGCTGGAGAAGACCATTAATCAACTCGTTACTACCATATTTAGAAATTTTGGAGTAAAAATAAAGACATTTCATTGGAGGATTCCATTTTTTATTTCCAAAAAAAATAAAATGAGTTGCGAAATTGTAACCAGCCCAAAAATAATTGTTGAATATTTTTTTCTTTTTGTATATTTTGGTTTCCCGTATTTAGATTTTGAGTACAATCATTTGCCTATCAGCCAAAGTTTTGTGACAGTCGAACGGCTGAATTTTTGCTTTTTTTTTTCACAACAAAAACAAAAACAAAACAACAACAACAAAAAAAAAATCAAAAAAAAATCAAGTAAAGGCTTGAGATCCATGGGCCGGCATTTTACTGATAAAGGGCAATACGGTTGTAGATGTATAAATGAAAGAAGGACATATAAAAAGAAAAGAAAGGAGAAGTAAAGAGGGGCTGGTTGGTTAGCTGGTTAGCTGATTAGCTGGTTGGCTGATTAAAGGATAATAAATTAAACTATCTTCTAAAGGGGAAAAATTACCCCCCCCCCCCTCCCCCCCCTCCTCTCCCTCCTCTCCCCTTCTCTTTGATTCCCTTTGCTTTCCTATTCATTTCCTCCCCTCTATCTCGTAGTAGCATTGCATAGTATAATATACAATATACAATATACAATATATAATATAAATATTTCAGATATATAAAATTAATTATTACACCAGAAATATTAAAAAGAAATATCTTTTTATTTATATATACATATTGTATTTTTTAATAAAGAGATTGGGAATACAAGTATTTTTTTTTTTTGGTAGTCAAACTACGCTTGTAAAACCTTTATGACTTCAAACAATATTGGCTTGATTTCACTAATTTTTTTATATTATACTTTTTAAAATAAGAAATAAAAACAAGCGTATATATTATATATAAAAAAATAATATATATATATATACAATTTGTGTGTGAATAGTCTGTGTGTGTATTTAGTGTAGATAGATGGCTGCTATACATAGAGAGGTAAAAGAAGAGAAAGAAAGAGAGGTTATTTTGTAGACCATGGCTAGTTTGCTTTGTGTGTGTAGCATAAAGGAATGGACATGACGTTGCTGGACTGCGCTCCTGTCGTTTTCCTTCATAAACCCCCTTTTCCTTTCCTCTTCTTTCATGGCTCAACGACAGTCACTGCCCTGTCCATTTCCTCGCATTCATCCTCCTTTTCAGTCAGTCTTTGGGCAGTTTTTAGTGCCTGAGCCTGTTCATACAGTAGACACTACAAGCCTGTTTGTAAATATACCCTCCAAAATGGTTTGTTATTTGCCAACCACGCCATACCAATCTTTTCTTTATTTAAATAAATATAGGCCTGGAGTCAGAGCGGTGGGCCCAAAGGCCGACCAACTTCAGACGAATACCATGCCAGTCCTATGGCGGATCTAGACCATCATTACCTCCCACCAATCATGGCATCTCAATCCACCCCATCCCCCTGTATGTCTGCTGTTACCCCAAAAGAATGGCCAGAAGTAAGTTCAGTCATAACTAACTACATACACACATATATTGAACTTATTATACTTATTATATTATATTTACTTTATTTATTTTATTTATTTTTTTAAAAAAAAACTTTAGACATTTGGCTGTGAAGCCATCATCCTCGAAACCCCCCTGCCGCATGCCCCGCCTAAACAGTCTTACCAGCAAATAGTGCGTGCAGATTCACCTGCCCTGACACACTTGGTACCACCAGAGGCCATTAGAGTAGCCGAACAAGAGGAGCAAGAGGAAGCCATGGGTTCTACCAACCACCAACCCTTCTTAACTTACCCCTCCTTCTTGCTCATGAAGCACATGCATTCCCAAACGCAGGTTGCCACGTCTCCTTCATTCCCAATCTCCTATAGTCCCACACTCTCGCTGAACAGCAACAGTACTCTCTATCAACCAACTCATCAGGATCAATGCAATCTTACCATGCATCCCCAACGAGGAAACGAGCAAGTAGATGCTCTTGGCTCTATCGCACAGCTATCATCTTCCCAGAAACGTCTCAAACGCCCCCCAAATGCCTATTTGCTTTTCAATCGTGCCATGCGACATCGTCTTTTGGAAGAATCTCCAAAGAGGACAGTGGCTGAAATCAGCAAAGAGATTGGAGACCGGTGGAAAGTCTTGGAACAAGTAAATAACAACCCCCCCTTCTTTTCCTTTTCCTACTTTTCTTTCTTCTTTTTCTTATTTCTTTTATACATTCATTCATTCATTATTCCTTCCCTTTCTCCTTTATCATTTGAAGGAGTATAGTAAGTCTACTCATTTATCTATCACCTCTATTTTTTGCGCGTTTTTTTCTCGTTTTATCTTTCTTTTTTATTCCTTTTTCTTTATTCTATTATTATCGTCATTATTATTATCCAATCTGATACTAGAAGTGCAACACATGTTACTAACACATGTATTCAAAAAAAAAACCCCTCTTTATATTCTCTAGTCTGAAAGAGATCGATACATTGAAGAAGCACGAATGTTAAAAGAAGATCATCAAAGAGAGCACCCTGATTTCATCTACACGCGTCGATCCAAAGCAGAGTTGGCAGACTCTAGACGATTCAAAGGAGGAAAGACTACTGATTCCAATGGTATTTGTGAAACAAATACAGCAAAAGTATCAAAGCAAAAGAAGCCTAAGCTCAAGAATGGACGGGATCCGCGCGGAAGAAAGAAGAAACAAGACTGTCATCCCAGTGGTCCCAAGCATCCCATGTCAGGATTCTTGTTTTATGCTGCAACCGTACGTGGCCATGTGGCAGCTACTCTGCCAGGGTCTACCATTGGACCCATTAGCAAGATTATTGGTGCCAATTGGCGTGCAATGACAGCTGAATGTCGTCTGCCCTTTCTGGAAAAGGCAACGGCAGACAAAGCTCGCTATGCCAAGGAAATGCAGTATTATATGGCTAGTGTACGGTCCAAAGGAACCCAACCTAATGAGGTTGATGATGAGATGGTTGCAACAGTGTCTCAGATGGTGAACCATAACCAGCAGTTACTATAACTCTTCTTTTTTTTATGTTTCCTCTTTCTATCTTTCTTTCTCTCTACTGTTGATGAATAAATAAACACACAAAACTAAGTAACAGCAAAACGGACAGCAATAATAATTATACAAAAACTCACAGCCATACATACATACATACATGCACACATGCACACACATGCCCACAAGCCCACGCACACATCCACACACACACACAAGGGAGACAGAGCGTCATCATCCGTTTCCTTTTTTTTATTATTATTACTACTACTATTATTTTTGGTTATTTTAGCTGTGATTCTCACACGCTTTTACTCGATGCTTGTATCCCCTTGTGTTCGTGTTGCCCAAACTCCGGCCATTGTCCTCCCCTCCCTTCTCTCTCTCTTTCATATTCAAGCTGTTTCCATATACCCTTCTTCGCTCTGTTCTATCTAGACCAGAGGCACCTAGCCCGCCGACAATGTCGAAATCACCAACCCTACCACAACCTCAAAGTGCAGCAGATATGCCTGCATTACTTGCAATTCCCCGTCGATCTACTTTTCCCATCCAATGGACACCTGCCCTCGTCAAATACATTAACTCTGCTTATGACGAAGATGGAAACCTCTATAGCGCTGACGCTCAAGCACTCGATAACTTGCGCCAACAAGCAATCACCTCTCCTTCTCTCGAAACCCTCTTCACGTAAGTACATATTGCATGAAACACTTGAGTTAAAGCCCTATATTTATTTATTTATTTATTTATATGCATGCATGTATCTAATATTATTATTATTATATGATTTTGTAGATATTATTCTCAACTCACCTTTGTCTGCTCACGTTTTCCACTCAACGTATGCTATATATATTAAACCAAAAAAATAAAAATAAAATACAAGTTGTTTGCTTGACACCAAAACTTATATTAAATCTATCATAGATCGGGTTGGAGTTTGCATGGTTGACCGCCTTCCAACCAACCCAGCCACCCGTCGTACACCCAAATCTCTTTTTTGAAAAGTCCTGCATTCTATTCTCGATCGGTGCTGTTTACAGCCAACTTGGCTGCACAGAGCAGCGACTTTCATCCGACAGTATCCGCAAAGCTTGTAGCTATTTCCAGGTAAATTACCACCTCTTAAGTCTAATCAAAATCAAAATCAAAATCAAGATCAACTTTCCTTTTTTCCCGTTTATTATTATTTGTTGTTGTTTTTGGCTATCCCATTTCTAGCCAAAACTTATTGTGATTTATGTTTATTAGCAAGCAGCTGGCTGTTTCAAATATATTCAGCGTGAAATTGTGCCTGACATGCGGGTAGTTCCCATGTGCGATGTGTCACCGGCAGTGCTGGGTACATTAATTCATCTGATGTTAGCCCAAGCCCAAGAGTGTGTTTGGCAAAAAGCCGTAATGGAACACCTCAAACATGGAACCATCGCACGCCTAGCCATCAAGGTTGCCGACTTTTATGAGAGCGTACTGCGCGAAATGCCCTCTTGTATTCCTGAAGACTGGCAAACATACACGCGCATAAAGGCCTCCTATTTTGTTGCGGTTGCTCAATACCACAAAGCAAATGAATGTATCTCACAAGGCAGATACGGAGAGGAAATCGGCCGCCTACGAGTAGCAGAAAAAGCCAATAGATGTGCCTTGGATCTTATTATATCAAGCTTCCAGCTTATCCAGCACGGTGTCATGCATGCTGGCTTTGTAAACGAAGTTCGCCAATTGGAGGAGGTTATCGAGCATGATCTCATCAGAGCTGAAAAAGATAACGATATTGTTTATGTTGAAACTGTTCCTGAAGAAGCACAATTGTCACCTATCCTACGCTCAGATATGGTAAAACCAATAATCCCACCTGACCTCCTAGAACCAGCATACTGGAAAAAACATCCTGAAGTAGAGATCCGTCGTCCCCTATTCCAAGCCCTCGTACCTTTTGCAGTACATCAAGCAGCCAGTATGTACAAAGACAAGAAAGACCAAGCTGTCGCTGAAATCACAGCATCTTGTGCAAAGCTCTCAGAAGAGGCAACACAATTGATGGAGGAATTCAATCTACCGTTTTCTATGGATGTCATGGATGTAACTATTCTTCCAGTCAATCTGATGTCTTGTGCAGAGGAGGTCCAGCATGAAGGCGGTATACAGTCCCTTAAGGACATGCTTGAGAAGATCCAGGAGCTTTCAAAAAAGAACGTCGACTTTATAGAAGAAGGCTTCAATGTACTCGAAGACGAAAATGAGCAAGATGAAATTTTACAACGTCAGTATGGATCACTTTGGGCTCGCCCGTCTTCAAAATCTCTCACAGGCCCCCTTTTGTCTCAGGGAGCTCGGTTCCATGATACCATTCAAGCTGCCCAAAAGGCAGACCGTATTGTACGAGCAAAGGTTACCAACTGGGGTAAAGCAATCGAGTTATTGTCAAGACCAGTTTCAGAGATCAAAGCCAACCTTCCGTTCACAAAAGACGATCCTCATTACCCCCAACTTGAGGTTCTGGTCAATCAACTAAGAGACGCAGTAGAAAAAATCCAGACTGCCAAACACGAACACAACAAAATATCTCAGGACGCTGAGACCCTTTCGGCTTCGGATGACATATCAGAGCCATTGTTGGTCAAGGCAGATGCTTTAACCGGTGGATCGCCCATTATTAAGATGGAGCCCGAACAGTTTGGAGATGTATTTGAAGCCCAACTTGCCAAATACGCTCCTTTGAATACCAAACTCCAGATGTGTGTCAAAGACCACGCTGAGAATCTTACCCATCTTCGTGATCTTTATGAGCAATTTTCGCTTGTTGCTCAAGGAAGTCATCTTGCTGTCAAACGCGAGAAGACTGTCAAGAATCTTGAGCAAGCGTTCCTTAAATTTAAAGAAATCCGAACAAATCTTGTTGAAGGCATCAAGGTAAAATGCAAATTAGTCGACTTAAAGAATAATTGCTCTAACAAGGCATTTTGTATTCCTATCCATCAAGTTTTACTCTCAATATACCGATACCCTGTCAAAATTCAGAGATAGCTGTACAGATTATGCCTTTGCCAGGCGCATGGAAGCATCCGAACTAGCAAGGTCAGGTGCCTCTCCGGCAGACAGTCTCTTTCCATTCTCACGCTGCTCTCTTTTAATCCAGGGACGCACCAAAGAGACGGTGAAAATGACGTAGTACATCATCTCTTAACACATCCACATCACAGCATAAAGCATATAAGCTTCTTCTTCTTCTTCTCTCTTGATTTCTCTTTCTCTCTCTCTACCATAAACCAAATCATATCCTTATCAGCCACCCTAAATATCCATGCGTTCTCTCAGCAATATTCTCTTGTCTCTCGCTGCATGCAGTGTACTCGTTCAAGCAGGCCCGATCGCCAACGGGGACCAGCTTAGACTGTTCTCCAGTGGTGAACAACCTGAGATGCGTCTTGTACAATACGGGTACATACATTGCTAAGCGACTTGTCTTTTTTTTTGTGTGAATGTATTTAACATTCAAGAAATATAATCTGACTTTTATGAGATGATATCTTTGTCAACAGAGATGATACTCCTGCTCGCTGGATGACAGAATCCGATAAGGAAGCGTTGCTCCGAGCAGGTGTCCGTTATATGGACATCACTGACTACCCTGAAGCCCTAGTTAGCTCCCTTGATAACTGGCAACCATGTTAGTAGCCTTTTGTTTTTAATTCGATGCTTGTACCAAAAAAAATTCATCACATCATACAAAGTATACAAAGTAGCACATATCTTATCTATTGTCCTTTTTTGCACTCAGACATTCCTGAAATCACCAGGTACTCGGACGAAGCTGCTCCGTATATTGGCAATCTGACTGTTGCACCTATGAAGGAGTTCTTGCAAAAGTTCACTAGCTTTAATACTCGTTACTATAAGTCAAAGACTGGTGCAGAGTCGTGCCGTTGGTTGCTCAGTCAACTGAAGGAAGTTTCAGCCGGCGCTAGTCATGTGACTGTGAAGGAGTTTAAGCACAAGGTAACCCACACATCTGGAGCGGGGAGAGGGAGGAGGAGGAGAGGAGATGTTGTCAGTAAAAAAGATAACTAAATACTAAATACGGCGTTTTATTCCATAGTGGGATCAATTCTCTATCATTGCTCGTTTTGAAGGCAGCAATGAAGACCTTAAGGATGAATTAGTCATTGTTGGTGCTCATCAAGACTCAGTCAACATGTGGCTCCCATCCTTTGGCCGTTCCCCCGGTGCTGATGTAAGGCAGACATCGTTTAACTAACATTCTCTGTACAAGATATACCAAGTTACAATATGCTCATGTATTTTATTTTATTACTTGTATATTTATTTTAAAAAGGACGATGGCAGTGGTAGCACTTCTATCTTTGAGGCTTTCCGCAGCTTGTCCCAGAATGGTTTCAAGCCCGAGAGACCAGTCGAGTTCCATTGGTACAGTGCTGAAGAAGCTGGCCTTTTGGGAAGTCAGGATGTATCGCGCGCTTATGAAAAAGATGGCAAGCGCGTAGTTGGTATGCTCCAGACTGATATGACTGGCTACATTGGTGCCAACGGAGAAGTTATTGGCATTGTCACTGACCATGTGGACGAGAAGGTTGGTGTTTAATAAGATGTGTGAGAATGGCCTCATATTGGCTCAAATTGATGTTATTTACTAAATATACTTTTATATATATATAGCTCACTGACTTCCTCAAGGCTACTGTGGACGAGTATGCTGATATTCCTTACGTTCTTACCGAATGCGGATATGCTTGCAGTGGTAAGCATTTATTGTACAAGATATATATATATATATAGTACAATGAAACAAAACAACAAAAAAAAAGAAGCAAAGTTCATTGTGTTTCATTTATTTTCTTCTTTAAGATCATGCTTCCTGGCGCAAGATTGGTTTCCCTTCTGCTTTCCAAATTGAAACCGCATTTGATGACTCTAACCACTATATCCACACCACTGGTGATACCATCGACAAGCTTTCCTTTGACCACATGAAGGAGTTCTCAAAGGTCGCTGTTGGATTTGCTGTTGAGTTATCTCATTCCCGTTCTGACTAAAATATCAGATCTCTCGAAAGGACCCATCTTCAGTCAATTTAAAATTTACGGATATTGTTCTTCCCTTTTCCCCTTTTCCCCTTTTTTCTTTCTTTCTTTCTTTAATAAATAATTATGATAATATAAATATATATATATATAAATGTGCGTGTGCGTGTGCGTGTACGTGTGTGTGTGTGTGTGTGTGTGTGTGCGTGTGCGTGTATAAGTATAAGTATAAGTATATACAGTTTGTTTCGTCTTGACTTGACTTGTGGTGATATAATTTATACATTTTTGTCAGACAGATAATCTGGGTTATTGGTTAATTTGCGACCAAGGTTCTCAAACCATGTCTGAAAGACCTTCAATGGAATAAAGCCTTGTTCCACCACTTGACCCACTACCATTCCACCTGGTTGAAACGGAACCTCTTGGACCGCAAATGATGTTACGTAGTTGTAGAGATTTTCTAAAATGCGCTGTGAAAGTGTACCGGCCTGGGTAAGGTTGGCCCCAGGTCTTACAAGTTGTTGTTGTCGAGGCTGGAGAGTGAGATTGGCCACCTGTTGCTGAACCACTTCTATAGGCTCGATGGAAATTCCAAGCGTAGCAGATGATGGTGGCTGGTTCAAAGAAAGATCGTTCTTTCTGATACGGAATATTGCGCTCGGTTTATCGTTTGATAACCTATATACAGGATGGAAGTGAGTATATTGTATATATTTACAAGTTGTGCTTTAGTTTATCTTGACTTACATGCCCAGTAACTGCCAGTCTGTATTTGGCCATTGAAGATGGACAGTAGCTGCATAGCCCGCTTCAAATGGTATTGAGCCAAGAAGAAATACGACGATATGATTGATTGTGTGAGCATCCGAGAGTTCGAAAACGTATTTGTTGACGTCGACTTGCTGAAGATTGGTTTGGACCTAGAGGATATAGTTAGCCTTGGCTTGATACAATTATAAGTATAAAAGAAGTGATACATACAAGGCGCCCAGCGGCAATACACCCGAACATGGTTTTATTTTATTTTTTGTTAAAATAGGGAAGAAGAGTGCGAGAATCGGGGGGAGGGGGGGGGGGGGGTATAAAAAGGGCACGAAAAAGCATGGAAGGAGCGCGAACGTTCTGGATAATACAAGTCACACAAGCCTAAAATTGGACTTTGATTGCGGAAATAAAGGAAAAATCAGAGGGAGATTTTTACGCCTTCAAACTGTCAAATGCAAGTATATCGGCCAATAACATGCTTAGCATTGTTAAAATAACGCAACTATTATTTGCAAGGAGGTTATTGTCAACTAAGATGTCTTCGATAAAACTTTATATTTCAAAATACGATTGGGATAACTTGGTTTTAGCTTTTTTTTTTATAAAAAAAAAAACAAATCCAAAGGGGTGTACAGAAAGTAAGAAAGGGAGAAGATGGGGGGTATTGCAGAAAACATGAAGAAGAAAAGAAGAAAAAACAAATGCGGGCCAGACGCTTATTGTTTTACCTGATAGATAAGGTCAAAGTCAAAGATCTAAGTTGGGGACACAGAGATAGACATATTAATCATAAAGGAAAGTGGATAATATTCTTGCAGTAAACAGTTTCACCCTCTTGGTTGGAATAATAAGAGTTTTTATCACATAATAACACGATAGCTAGAAAGACGCATATGTAGATTGTTTTGAATATAATATAATGGCTATTTTTTATTTTTTTATTTTATTTTTTTATTTTTTACTCTTTGAACTTTTTTTCTTTGGCTTCTTCTCCTCTACTTCCTCTTCCTCTTCTTCGTCATCCTCTTCTTCATCATCGTTCCATTCTCCTTCCTTAGAAACACCTGTTCTTCTCAGAAGAGAGAAATAAAGAGGTCCCCAACCATCAGATCTGTCAGGCAAAATGATCCAGCCATTCTCTGTCTTTTCTCCCATGGGCCAGCTCATATGTACTACTTCCATAGGTACCTTTCCTTTTCGCACCATACGATCAACAACCTTGTCATTCTCGGCAGAGCTGATTGAGCATGTTCCATAAACAACATATCCACCCACATTGACCGAATAAGAGGCGGCTTTGAGTAATGACAATTGTCGTTTGGCATTTTGTATGGTACGTTTAGGTGTCCACTGCTCAAACTCTTTTTCGTCATGTAAAAGATGGCGTTCGGATGAACAAGGTGCGTCAAGAAGTACCTTGTCATACTGTTCTGGATCATGGTAAAATCTGGTTCCATCTTTACCCAACACATTCACATGTTCTTGGGCAACCTTGGGTGGCACATAATTATCCATAACTTGGCGAAGACGGCGACGACGATCGGGTGAAATCTCATTTACTGTCAGGTTTCCGTAATCAGACAAGCGTTGGAGAATGGCGAGTGACTTTCCACCCGGGGCAGCACACAGATCAAGTACACGATCGTGGGGTTGAATGTCCAATGCCTCGGTGGCCAGCACTGATCCAGCATCGAGAATGTAGCAATCGGTAATATTGGCACGATCCTTGGATGGATGAGGGAATCGTGGGAGGGTAGAAGCATAACAGGGAATTGACAAGAAATCAAGACTTCTGAGATCATCTTTCAAGGGCGTAAGTTTTGCAAGTACATCCTCGGGATGTGCATACTTGTTCATCATCATGCAATGACGTACAGGTTTCTTCATTGCCTCGAGTAATACGGGCCAGCGCTCAGGTCCAAACTCATTTTCATAGAATCTGTTGAATGTCGCTGTAGCTGCCTTGAGTCGCTCGTGTTCTCTCTGCTGAGCCTTTTCTTTTTTCTTTGATACCGGCTTCTTCTTGGTGTCTGTTTTGCGCTGGCGTTGATGCTTTCCCTTTTCAGGGGTTTCCTGATCCACCACAGGCTGTTCGGTATCTGACATGGTGCAAGTATTGGAGTATCTTTCTTTGAATGTGGTTGTAAGCTGAGAGTAAACACGGCTAAGATTTCTTGTGGCTTGGATTTCCCGAGATCTGCATGACAGTACGTGCCTGTTCCATCCCTATGGTTGAAACCTGAAAACTAAGGAGCGGGAGCGGGAGCGGGGGTAGGGGACAGAGGGGGTGAAAAGGTGGCCTTATTCTTGACAGATGAGGGAAAGCTTGTATTCAGAAAAACGAATTTTAATTTCATTTTTTTTATTATTATTCTTATCATTTTTTTATATTCCATTCTATTTTAGCCTGGTATCCATGACAATAAATAAAGCACCATTTAATTCTTAAATATAATCTGTACATGAGAGGGGTTTGTTGTTTAATTACTATTTTTTTTTACTCCAGACTAGCCAACCACAAAAATACAGGCAGCTTTTGTAAATTTTGTACAAATTGTATAAAGCCATTATAAATATGAAATACAAAAACTTGTATTCCTGTCTATTGTTTCTGTCGTACGCAATGACAATACATTACATTATAGTGAAGGAATAAGATAAATTAATAAAAACTTAAAAATCTAAAAAGATGAAAAGATAAACCTCCGGACATTTAGTGGTCATTTACTAAGAAGAAGGAGAAGTAGAAGTAGAAGTAGAAAGCGGTTAGTGGGATCGTACGGAAACAGTGTGATAGAAAAGAATATGTTTCCAAACAGAACCCACAGGGCGGTTTTAGTTAGATTCCATCATTCATACTTGGCGCTACCATTGTCTTTATGCTTGTTGGAGCGGACTAAACTAGTTTCGTCACTATGATCATCGTCACAGATAACAGGTACAAAAATCCCAAAGAAGTACAACCACAAAAACGCCACACTTGACTTTGTCTCTGTAACAAAGTTTTCCAAGACCAGATCTCTTCCTTTCTTTCCCGGCGGGAAAAGCCAATTAGTCACACAACCTGCACCGCATTTCTCAACATACCAATCGTGCGTTAAGCTCGACGTCATATCAAACAAACATCCTTCCCCTTTTCTTTCTTACTCGCCTGCTTTCAACTCGTTCCTTGCTCTCTCTCTTTACTCACCGATGGCCCACTTCAACCGCAAACACAGTCTCGAAAGACTGGATTACTATTATCAGGTTATCAATGCCACTGTCTTGTCCAAACAGAGCGCTGCCAGTGGTTTGATCCCTGCGTCAGTTGCAATCACCGTAAGTATAGCAAATAATAATATTAATAAAAATAGTCAATTTCTGACAAAATAGAAAATAAACGTGTGCTGACGCGGTTTTCTTTTATGATAATAGAATCACGGTGATTACACGGATGCTTGGGTTCGGTGAGTATTATCAAGCAATTTTATATTAAAGACAGAAAAACTCACCTTTTGATTTATAAAAGTGATAATGTGTATTCTATCTACTGTGTCTATGGTCTCGCATTGGCTTATCGACGATTAGATGACAGCAGTGGAAGAACATGTAAGACATTTGATTTAAGACAATTGAAAATAAGACCCTTCTAATGCTCTGTTCTATTACTACCATTGGACACTAGTCGAGCTTGAACATAGTGTCGTCAAGCTTATGCGCGGTCTTTTATTCTCAATGATGCGTCAAGCAGACAAGGTCGAAAAATTCAAAAAGACTCAAGATAAGCTCGATTCCCTGCATGCAAAGTACAAGACAGAGACAGGTGCAACTGTTGTCAAGGATAACGAATGGGGACATCTTCAGGTAGAGTACATATTTTGAACGAGTAATAAGCAAATCCGTTAATATCTTTTTTGAAACAAACAAAAGATCGATGCTACTAGTATCTTTGTACTTGCTATGGCAGACATGACTACTGGTGGTTTGAACATTATCTTTACTCAAGATGAAGTAGACTTTGTTCAGAACCTTGTATTCTACATCGAACGTAAGTTTTTTTTTCTTACTATATATATATATATATTGGATTTAGGAATCTGTAACCCGAGTAACAATAAACCCCCTTCTAATCCTTCTTATGTTTGTTTACAAAATGCAGGTGCCTATCGAACACCTGACTTTGGTATCTGGGAGCGAGGTAACAAAAGTAACCACGGACAGCCTGAGTTAAACACCTCTTCTATCGGCATGGCCGTGGCTGCTTTGCGTGCAATCAATGGTGTGAATCTTTTCGGAGCTAGAGGCGGGCCTTCCTCGGTAAAGAATCACATTTTGTCTTTATTTATTTTTTTAAATAATATTACTCACTGTTTATTTTGTGTTAGACAATTTATGTGTTGCCGGATGAACTTACCCGAAATGCAACAACACTCCAGAGTGTTCTGCCAAGAGAGTCTAACTCCAAGGAAATCGATGGCTCCGTTTTATCGGTAATTGGTTTCCCCGCATTCGCTTGTACAGACCCAGAGCTCGTCAAGCGTACCAGAGAAGATGCAAAGATGAAGCTGGAGGGAAAGTATGGATGGAAGAGATTTTTGCGGGACGGTCATCAAACTGTGGTAGAAGACACATCCCGTCTCCACTACAACGACAACGAACTTAAGGCTTTTGAAGACATCGAGTCAGAGTGGCCACTATTCTTTACCTACATGGTTCTTGACGGTCTTTTCACTGGGGACATGGAACAGGTTGAAGAGTACCGTAAGAAGCTTGAGCCGACCATCATCGATTCCGCCCACTGGGATCCCAACAACAAAATATTCAATGAGGATAGAGAACCGTGCGCCGATGGAGACACCGGAAAGTTGCACATTCCCCTTTTGCCAGAATTGTACTATGTACCATGCGAGTTGATCGAAGCCGAAAAAGCCAATCCTCACTCCCAGAAGCGGCTCCCCAATGACAATACCCCTCTTGTGTGGGCTCTTTCGCTCTACTTGTTGGGTAGTCTTATTTATGAAAACCTTTTGTCGCCCTCTGAAATGGATCCTCTCGGTCGTCGATTCAATATCAATGCCCAGAAGCGTGAGACAATCACACAGATCGTACTATTGTCTGAGAGTCCAGAGTTGCAGAACAAGTTGGCCATGTATGGTCTCGAAACCCAGTCCGTTGACCAAATCTCGTCCAGTATCACTGTATTGCCACCAAAGGCTCTTGCCGACGTATACCACGCACTTGGACAGAACTCCAAGCTAGGATTGACTGGTAGACCCAAGCGTCCGGTTGGTGTGCTTGGTACCTCACGACTGTACCGCATTGAAGGCCACATCTATGTCTTTACCCCTCATTTTATGGACAGCGAGACTTTCTACCTCAACTCCGACCCCGACTTCTTGATTTCAGCCTTTGAGAATGAGCTTGCGTTCTGTAGCGACAATTGGTTGTATGCAGGCCGTCCCACTATTGTCGTTGTATTATCTGAGGCTATGCTCGGCAACCTGCAATCAAGTAGCATGGCTACGCCTGGAGGTAGTGGATTTGACTCTTCGCGAAAGAATCTTTTGAATTTCTTTATGAACCTACGCTCCGGTGACTGCAATGGTACGCGTGTACGTCTCTCGCGTCTTTCAGAGACAATCAACACTTCCAATATCGAGTCACTAGACTTTTTGATTGACAAGCCTGAGTTGGACTGGGAAAGTATTCTGTTGGTTAACAAGTCGGCCCATTATGGCTCATCCTCCCACCGCAAGTTGGGCTACAACGAGAGCAAGACACAGGCCAGCACACCTGGTGGCTTTACGCCCGGCAACAAAACTCCCAAGCGACGCAACACCGCCTTCCAAGGAAAGTCACTGGGCACTCCCTTGGACAAGTTACACGACGAAGGCTATTTCCAGGACATTGCCACTGCTCTTTCGAACCTCAACTCAAGCGAACCAAAGTTCAGACTCAAAGATCACGAAGACAGCCCTCTTTTGTCAGCCACGCGCAAGGGTGCAGTTGCAGATGGAGCAGTATTGTCAAAGCTTCCTGAAACCGGAGGAACTGTTCACCTCGGAGGCCAGGAGGAAATTCATGAACGTAGCCAGTCTCCACTTTCCACCGATGTGTCTCCCACGACCACAGAGATGCTTTCATTGACGCTTGGCGACCGTTCTCAGTTTGGCCAAGCCGTAGCCAGTTTGGCATCATCCGTTAATCTTTACGATCAGATCGATTTACTCCAATACATGGCTTCTTGTGATCATTTGGATAGCTACATCAGTGAATTACAGGCTAGTCTCAAGGAGCTCTTGGAAGAAGTCTACCTCAAGGCTGTCAGACTCCAGTATTGGTCTATTGCGCGTCAGGCCACTGGTCTCTTGCACAAGATTGTACCAGCTCTAACAATCAATATCACTGATTTAGTAATCAGACAAAAACAAATCAGTATTGGATCCGGACACAAAGAAATTTTGATTACTACTCCTGTGGGTCCCGAGACACTCGCAAAGATGTTTGTCGAACAATGGTATGTATGGACACAGCAAGAAAGAAGAAAAAAGGAATGTTATTAATTGGGTTTCTTTTGATTTACTTTGTATAATATAGTAGTGATGATGTACGTGAAGGTCCAGTAGTCCAGGAAATCATCATTTATCTCGGTAGTTTTGTTCGCACCACACCTTACATGTTTGATGGTATTCTTCGTCTCCGTACCCATTACATTATTATCGCTCTGCGTGAAGAGATCAGCCGAATGAATAACTGCGATGAAGAAGAAGCAATCGAACACTTGATGCAGCTCTCTCCATACGAGCTCCAGTCCCTTCTTGGCACCATCCTTTCAGGTCCCACTCTTTGTGACAGTGGTAGCAGTATAATGATTCGCGACAAGCCCGGAGGATTCTTGATGCTTTCGCGCTTCACTGATCACTGGCGCCGTTCCAGCCTTGGTAGCGAGCACCAATCCTTTATTCCTATCCTCCCTCCCCCCTCTGACGGCCACGCCGACCGTACTCAGCTCATTATCCGTGCCCAGTCTGGTGGCTATATGGCTGGCAACTTTGCTCGAGTGGAGATCAATGGCAACACCATGTTTGCAAATTCCCGTGGTATCCATGTATGGGCCATTGACAGACCACAGAAGATCATTCTTGAACATGCTTCCTTTGACACTCACATCTCGAGCGAAGAAAGTGACGCATTTGCCAAGTTTATTGGCTGGTTGAAGCCGGGCATGATTGTTGTTATTGCTTCTCGCGATGATTTCTCGGAGCACCTGACATCGGATGCAATCAAGGCACTAGAGAATCTGGGAAGCAAGCGTATCCGGGATGTAAAGTACCGCGATTCGTATGTGTTTATTGGTGAGAAGGGAGGTCCGGTTGAAAAGATCACCGAAGCCCACAAGGCTGCCCACGAAGGTCCTACTGATACTATTGAGCTCAGCGTAAAATTGGATGAAAAGCCTGAGAGAGACCAAGAAGTAACTCAAGATAACATCATTAGCTTCTTCCCTAACGCGAGTGGGCGCTGGTTGCGTCGTCGCAAAAACGACGGTGCTCTCAACCGTGTTCCAGCTCACTTCTTCCCTCAGACCTGGAAAGTACTCGACCGTTCGCGCGGTATCCAGATCTTCAGTCACTGTTTGCCCAGAGACCCCACTGTTCTAGAGATGACACCCGAAGAGTACAACTTTGCTCTGGCCGTAGAAGGATTCCTGGGTTGGTTTACCGACCCTGCTGAAAGACAGATTGCAGTCGAAGTATTGGCACTCATCTACCGCTTCCAGACATCCAACCCCAAGACACGGACTGCAGACACAGTTATGGATATTCCTGTGATAATGAAGAAGGCCAGAGAGATCTTTTGGTACAAGTGGGTGGAGAGCAATAAGGCCCAGTTTGAGAAGAGCAAACTGTTTAGTAAAGGATTCGATTATGAAGAGCACAAGGATCTTGTCCGTAGATTGTTTTATGATTTGCCTATTGAGGGCACTGAGAGCACTTCAGCTTATCTTCGCAAGGCCATTGTCAGTGTACTTCCTTTTGAAACTGACAATATCGATAACCAAAACTCAGAGAAATGTTCTTAAAGTTGTACATTAAATTACATTACTTTTCTTCCTTTTTTCCCCTTTATGCTTTCTAACAAAAAAAAGAGCATGATATCTTTCTCTCTCTCTCTTTCCATTCATCATTAAATAAAACAAACCAACATACATACAATACATATATATATAAATATAAATATACTTTGATTTCAATATAAGCTATTCATTTTTGTTACAGTTGAGATCTCTCTATTGTTTTGTTTTATTATATTCATGTGCCCGCTTTTCAAGGAGAGAAAGTCTTTCTTGAGGGGTTGGTCCCTCATTCCACTGCTCTTTTTCACCAATAGTACGATGTAAAGGCACACCCACTTGTTCAACCATATAACTAGCAGAAACTGTTCCATAGAGACTTGCTTTTACCAGATCTCCATCTGTATCGACCCACCCAACAGCATAGCCTCCGCAAAACCCATTCCCGGCTCCTGTTACATCCCGAACATGAGAAGAATCAGAGGGATTACGGTAGTCCCAGTAAGCAGGTGTCCAGGTCAAGGGATGCTTGTCCGAAAGAGAGACGGTTCCATATTTACTAGCTCTGACAACCAGTACGAGTTCTGATTGTTTTCTAGAACACCGCATAGCTTCGTACAGTTGATGAGCAATGTCTTCTACGACAGATTTGATATCATTTTTCTTTAGCATTTCATGTAGATCCAAACCGAGCATCCCAGCAGCTTCTTCATGATTCGGAGTCAGTATAGCCACTCTCTGAGCAGCATTCTTAATTCCTGGTAGATCCTGATAATTTCAAAATTAAGATTATTTTGTTGGCGCTATTATTTACAGGAGACCATTCTTTTTTACACACACATATTATATATATAAATGAATTTATGTTATAAATCTACCTTTGGAAGACACGCCCAGGGCAATGGTTCCCAGAGGAATTGGGTGGGAATAGACTTTTGTAAACTCTCCTCTCTTTTACGCCACTCATCCGTGATCTCTAGTGCCCGCTCAGTTGAAGCAATGATGTGCAAAATTCGAATAGATTTTATCCACTCTAGAGGGAAATCTCCTGGGGTTGAGCGAATGATTGGATGTATGTATTCAAAATCTCTACATATGATTTTTTTTTTTGGTTTTTTGGTTTTTATTTATTTATTTATTTATTTATTAAATGTCATTCCCACCCCCCTACTTTTATATATGTAAAACTGTGAGTATTGAAAACGTATATATCTTACCGATGATCATTTGCACCAAATGTATTTAGGCCACGCGTAGTGCACTTGTCTTTGTGAGTATATGACACAAGAGATAGATTTAATTCGTCAAGTTGCTTATCAATATTAGCAGGGTGATCGTGCCCCCTCTGAACAGCATAGGCTATCTTTTTAGAATCAGGTGGACTATGCCAACATCTCATTCCTAAAGGGAGGGAAATAAGGAGGATAGAAGGTGTTGTTAGGATTGTAATGTAATATAATGAATGCTGAATTATCGATGTTAATGTTAAGATTAAAATTTGATAGAAACCATATACAGCGAATACACCAGCTCCACCAAGAACATTTGTTTCCTTTGATCCATCTTCGTAGATTATGTCATCTATAATCAAGCTGCCAATGGATGCATAGATTGGACTAGTTGTCATGATAAGAAATAATATACATATATATTATATTATATTTATAAATATATTAAGGGACTGTACTTCCACTTTTCAATTTACCAGATGTTTGAAAACTCCACCCACTTTTTTGAAATCCTTTGAGCATTTGTGTAAGGTTAAATTGCCCAAAAAAAAATGAGACGAATTTGGTCTCGTGTTTGACTCTAAATTGCCCACTTTTTAGAAATATTTCAACCACTCAGTAAAGTAATCACAAAGGTTCTTTATTTAAGCATTTAAGGATCACATTGATCGAGTGCTAGATGAAGGTATGTATATGCTCAACAGGAAAATCTTCATTGCCTCCAATTATCCTTGAAAGTGTTCCTGTATCTTTCAATTTCTCTCTTCTAATTCGATCATTCAGGTCTTTCCAAAAAAAATTAATAGGATTGAGTTCAGGCGAATATGGAGGGAGGTGTACTGGTATATAACCCCTTTCTAAAATGAAAGGGTCAACGACATCATGGGAATGGACCAGAGCGTTATACATAGCCATATGCAATCCTTTCATGTTGGGAAATTCATCCATAATGTCTAAACTATCCTTGATGAGTTGCACAAAATTGTCAGCTGTAGTTCTTTTTGGTATAGCAGCAGCATAATCTTTGAGTGTCTTTCTCTTTCTAGTACCAACAGCTCTTTTTTTCTTGACATTTCCCAGCTCTCTCATACTTACATTCACAACACCAAAAGCTAAAACTGCACCAATATCTATACGTGATACACCATTCGCAAAATTTGTTTAATTGCTGATTTACCAAGCTATGCCCAACTTCTTGAACGACGCATATTTATATTGAATCCTGCTTCATCAAGGAAAACACAATCCTTCCTGAAATGCAAGCCTTTGCTTTTCCATTATTCAATCGAGTTTGTGCGAGCCTCAAGGGTCGTTTGATTATTTCTGTCCTTGGGATGGCGGGAGACAACTTTTTTACTTAGATTACAATCCTCTTTCATGAATTCAGTAATCCTACTCTTTTTTATTTTCAAATCTTCAAAGCCTTTGGTCAAAATTCTGACTACATCCTGGATAACCACTGAGGGATTTTCATCGAAAAAGTTGAAAAAGTACATTTTGTAGCTCTCATTTAGCTGACTTGGCGCTCTATTTGATGTACGATTTGTTTTCTTTAAAGGGTATCTTCTTCTCAGGGTCTTTTTTGCGCTCTCTCTCTTCCACTTTCTCGTAGTTTCAGGATTAACGTTGGCAAGTTTAGTTGTCTCAGTGGGGTTCATCAACTTTTCATGCAGGGAAAATAAAAATCGTAGTCGATCTTCGTTTGTGTAAATGTTATAAGTTGAGCTTCTTTCCTTCTTGACGGTTGCTTCCTGCATATCCGTGTCTTTTGGCTCTTCGTTTTCTATGATGACTTTTTATTTCATTCTTGATGAACTTGTTTAAATTCGTCAAATCAGCTAATCGAAAGGACGAATCTACAACAAAAACAGCCGCTTCGTTACCAGAATCATCTACAATCCCGCCTCTGCTACCTTCATAAAAGAAATCCACCTCAAAGCACAATGAATACAAGAATAAAATAAGACAAGTAGTCTAGTTATTTCTAAAAAGTAGGGCGATTTAGAAAAATCAGCTTACTTTTGTGGTAAGGTGAATCTACTTGTCTGAACCGCATATATCTTCTCTTTAAAATTCTATAACTGAACACTTTCCACTCCTTATATATTACACTGTCTGTTTATTATTTGTGCTCGATGGGGGGTAGCAAGTAGTGCTACCCGCCCGCTCTATATTATCTTATTTTGTCGTACATTAATAAAACTAGACCCCTCCCCCCTTCTATGCTTATTTTTGGCAATAGCTCCTATAGCATTGGAGATTAATATTATATTCAAGAAAGTAATAGGATAGTAGATTTATTTTAAGCAAAAGGTATTTAGAATCCCAGTTGGTCAATTTTGTGAGTCTATTTAGCTAGTTGCTTGGAGCCCAAATGACTACTTCATTCACTAATGATGAAGTTCTGAGAAACCCAAGATCGACAAAGTACGTTCATTTGTTACACTTTTATTTAATAACATAGGAGAAGCATTAACAAAGTGTTGTATGTTACTTTTGTTATATGCATTTAGACTTATGTACATGTCAGTTATTTTCGATACATGATCTAGATTGAGAACAGAGGTCAGTGTAAGTATTCAACGCTTATATAGCTTTACATATAATACGATTTATTACTACTATGCTTTGAAGGAAACTTGTGTAGAATGCATAGTCAATATATAGAAATAGATCAGGATTAGATTGTATAATCGATGATCAGTTGAATCTCAAGTAAGAAAAAGTCCCATGACTCATTAGCATATTGTATTGCCCGATTGTTCTTCTATGAAATAAAATACAAACATTTTGTAAAGATTAACAAGGCCATCTTTTATTCGGACATGTCAACTTTGACACAGGTTTTCTTATAAACGGATATTAAAGACCAAATATATTCTAATAGTAATATTTGGGGACATTTGAAGTAACAAGACTATTTGATGATATAGAAAAATCTGAAGATGTGCTTCGAAGATGATTTGTAAACACTTGAACGGAAAATGGATCTCAATAGCTTTTTGTATTCAATTATCAGCCTTACGCTTCTTACTTACATATTCCTCTGAAGTGGATGTGGCAGCCATGACAATATCCGTATTTTAGTATAGACAGCTCTTCAACAAATTACTACTGTTGCTTGTAATAATATGTTGCTTAACCTGCTTATCAGTACCAACAAGAGCAAGATGATACTTCAAAAAAAAGCTACATCACTAGCAATATGTCAATCTTTTAAGCGAGTAATTCTGGTACTATACGTTGATGGCCTATCAGCAGCTAAAAGAGTCAAGTATAGTATAGCATAATATATTCCAAACACAGTACGGCTGGTATAGTAGTTTTTGTTGTATATTATAAGCTCACCAAGCATGTCTTTCATGGTCTTGGGCAGCTTTAACACCTTTTATTCAAGTTTCTTGGTATTCTGATACTGAATTGCGGTTTTACTGACACAATACTCGTAAGCATGTTCATGTTGCACGTTATTTTCCCGTATAATTAAATCGTACTTGTGCCCTACGCTGAATCGAGCTATTTTGTCTTTCGCACCAATCACTCTGTTGAATTTTTTCCGCTTAATTGTTGCTGCACTAGAGATTTCCACACTTTAATATATAATGCAATTCAATACAATTTTTGTACGTAACTTTATTATTATTTTAGACTTACCTCGCAACTTGTAAATTTTCAAGATCATCGAATATATTATTAATCAATGACCACTCACACCCATTATGCCATTCTTTCTTATGAGCAGTTTTCAGATTTCCTGATTCATACAATCTTACAAAGGAATGGGTGGTGTTCTTGGCCCGATCCAAACCATGATCCTTATCAATACTACAGTTAATTTCCCAATCCTGCGCTTTCAAGAGCTCAGCTCGCAGATCTTTAACATTTGTAAGATTGGATGCATTTATATAAGTCGCAAGTTCTTTTGGTATAGGGCTGATGATTTGAATAGGGTTCTTTATCTTCATCTCCTCGATCTCTGCTTCTGTAGACACACCTTTCTTCAAATATTTTTTATCTTGCAGATCTAAAATCATGGAAAAGACTGGGTGTTTGGAAGGCACTGAATAAAATATTTTAAATTAGTGGTATTTCATGAGTATAATAAGCTTAACGTAAATGCTTGCCTAGTTCATCTAAATCTTTCTTGTAAACATTACACCAAAGACAAGCATATTGCTTAGTAAAGTCTACCTAAGAATTGGTTTAATTAATCAATTGAAGCAAAATATGTCATATGAAGATACGAATATGTTTCTCTGAGTTTTTTATATGGATTTAATACTTAAGAAATGTTAAAAGCTGATTGACATTAAAGACATTTGAATAGTACTAACTGTTTCTTGTTATATCGACGAATGTTTGGGTCAGGTATCTTGATATCTAATATATTACATTGTTTAGATCACAGTGTTGTCTTGAGTAAAGGTATTAAGGTTCTTACTCTCACATTCTATGTACACTAGTTTTAGGGGGGGGGGGGGGGCGTTTCCTGATGAAGAACGACATTTTTATTCTACCGGATCACAAATAGTGACCTTTTTGCCAGCATGAAATAACTCTATATGGTACTTAAAAGTCCATTCTTATTATAATAATTAATAACAGCCAGGGTATAAAATATTCATCAAGATTTTCATTTGTGCTTTGCAAAAAAAAAGTAGATGGAGATTACTTACAAGTTGACAATTTTAAACACTGGAAACATGGATACAATAGGTGAAAGAAAGATAAAGACATGATACGCGTAAGAAGGCTAATATATAGTAAAATATCGAGAAATATTGCGTCACACTTTAACGACAACAACTCATAATCATCTGGATAGCTGGCTATTGATATATTGTATTTGGGAATAATTATTATTTATTTATTGTCAAGTCTAAACTTAAGGCTGCTAATTGAATGTACCGTGTTTTTTTTCAGGACACACCATTTTGTCCTGAAGTATTAGAGAAAGACACCAGGACCCAGACAGGTAATCACAATTAATTAGTTCGGCTAGATAGAAACGTTGTCCCTGTAAGATTGGTGTTTGGAAAGACCTGAATGATCGAATTAGAAGAGAGAAATTGAAAGATACAGGAACACTTTCAAGGATAATTGGAGGCAGTGAAGATTTTCCTGTTGAGCATATACGTAACTTCATCTAACACTCGATCAATGTGATCCCTAAATGCTTGAATAAAGAACCTTTGGGATTGCTTTACTGAGTGGTTGAAATATTTCTAAAAAGTGGGTGGAGTTTTCAAACATCTGGTAAATTGAAAAGTGGAAGCACAGGAAAAGGATTGAGCTTCCAAATAAAGAATAAGCATAGCCAATAAGAAGATAAGTATAAACCTATAGTTATTTTTCAAAAGATTTTAAGCTTATCTTTCCCGCTTTTTATTCATTTAATAAGAAAAATCAATTACTGTGGTCAGAAATGTAAACTATACATATAAAGTTGATTCTTTGGGTTAAAGAAGTAATATATGTATCTAAAGCTAACTAATTAATTTTACTAATAAATTAATTAATTAATTATCTTATTTAATTTAATTTAATTTAATCAAAATTCATTATTTTTGAAAAATCTTCCGGGTATTCGTATTGAATAAGCTTCTCAATTTGTATACATGTTGGCGTTAGAACTAAAGAAGAATGTCAATGCACATGCCCCCCTTTTCTTTATCCCTTTTACTCTTTTTCATTCATTAATTCATTCATTCATTTGTAAAATAGATCTTGTGGAAGAAAAGGTGTACAAAAAAAGAATAAAGTACGGTTTGCAGACTTGGTGATGTTCACATTAAGTTCAAGATGACCTGTGAATAAGCATTTACATGAAGAAAGCAAAAAAAAAATAAAAAATAAAAAATAAAAACGACATACAAGGAAGAAAATAAGAAGAAGAAGAAGAAGAAGAAGAAGAAGAATATTAACAGATGCTAAAGAAATAAAGATGAAATAAATTGATTTTCAAAGAAAATAGGCAAGGGCCCAAAATAGAGAAGATCAAAGGGAAGTAAGATATGGAAATAACGGAGATCATACATGGCTGGAGATGAGGAAGAAAGGAGGGGTTACACTTGAGAGTTTTGGATAGTTGACCTAACAATTTGAAATTATGATTGTCATTAAAGAGCACCAGCAAAGTTTAGAAGAATATTTTCTTTTGTCCTTATCACTTTTTGTCGTTTATTTACCTTGATACTTTGATGGCTAAGTTGTCTTGAGTCTTGTCAATTAATGAAAAAGTTACTTTTTTTTTGCCATGCGATTAAAAGACGGTTGAGTCAAGACGACGTTCGGTGCCCTTGAACCTACAAGGTTCTTCTTGTGCGGGTTCGGTAGGGCTTGGATGATTAGATGTACGGGTGCGCTTTGGTGTTTCTTCTTCAGGACTTTTGCACACTCTCTTTCGGCCGAGTCTTTCTCTTTCAGATGCCATTCGACGTTGTTCGAGAGCTCTTTCTTTCTTGCGTTGAATTTCCAGTTTTGCCTCTACGTAATAGAAAGTAAAGAGGTTTTTGTTAATAATTATCCCATTAAACAAACCAGATAAACAGACAATTACCTTGCTGTGCTTGATCGACTGCTTTGCTATTGCTTTCCATAAGATCAGTTGCTGTGTCAAAGTTAATGAGTTGAGTACGTTGAGTACGTTGCAATCCTCGAGGGGTGCTGTTTTCTTGAGCATCTAAAATAGAGTAAAGAAGGTTAATAATAGTAAGGGAAAAAATAAAGATTAATGTCCAAACCGAGGACAAGTGATTGAACAAAAAAAAAAGGGTATCGTTGAATTTTTATGTATGTGTCTGTAGGCTTACTTTGACCAGCAGTTGGTTTCTTGGGTGCATATAATGTGTTCCCGGTATTGGGTTTAGCAGGTACAGAGGAACGACGGCTGATAAAAAGGGCTGAGCTAGCACCACCCATGGCTGGTCTGGGATGTGGTCGTGCAGGTTGATGAGGTCTGTTTGGTCCTGTAGCCAAAGCAGCAGCAGCAGCAGGTTCTGGCCGACGCCCAACAACAGGTACGCGCTGTGCAGGGTGAGGAGGGGTTGGTGGGACAAGAGACTTCTTTCTTTGGACGGAATCATTGCCCAAGCCTGCCGCACGTTTCATCTGGTCTTCGTTTCTGATTAACTTCTCAAAGCGTTGCATTCTCTGGATTGAGGAGACGATCGAAGGCGAGGAAGTATCGAGGACAAAGTGTTGTTTTGTGGTTGGTTTCATTGACTGATAGCTTTCCGACACATGAGCGCGTGTAGTTCTGGCAGAGGGTTGGAGAAGGGCAAGTTCGGTTGGATGGAAGCCAAATCCAGTGCTTTCGACTTGGTGATTTTATAAAGAGTGATATGAAGATAGTTTAGTTTAATTTCCTTATAAAAGATACTAAGAATACTATTGATAAAAAAAGAATAGGATTGACTTACTTGTTTTTCCAACAGTCTTGAGTAGAGAAAGGGTCGAGGATGGCCACTTGATGTTGGATAATTTGAATTGCTGTGTAGAGACATAGGACTGGAGCATCATGCTTGTCAGGCGAATCCATTCATCTTTATCTTCTTGTCCGAGCGAGAGAATCTATCATGGTACACAATATCATGTTTAAGTGAATTTTGTTTTTTTTGGGGGTGGTAGAAGGACGATGTCTAAGGTAAAGTAACACCCATATATACATATATATTTAAGAAAAAGAAAAGCATCATTGAAGTAACAAGTCAAAAGTAAGTGGCACAACCCTTTCTTCAATCACCTTTATTGAATGGTTATATATACATATATAACCCGTACACCACACACACCCAAACACATACGCACACGCACACGCACACGCACACGCACACGCACACGCACACACAGAGAGAGAGAGAGAGAGCGACAAACACACGTAAAAGACAGACAAATGCCGTTCTGCATTAAAATCAAAAAAATACTCAATTTTAACAGAACAGCAAAAAACTTCTTTGTGTGTAAGAGATTGTATAAGAGAAAGGAAAAATGAGGGAAGGACATGAATGTAATTCTGTGTCTAGTGTTCAAACAATTGAAGCCAATAAAATGTCTGTTGGTCGGTCTGTTGGTCGATCTGGTTATTCTTCTTCTTCTTCTTCGTGTTGTTCTTCGTTTTTTTCTTTGGTATTCTTTCTTTAAAGGGATTCGACCGACTTGATTCTGGTGGACAGAAAGAGAATGCAGAAACAAGAACAAAAAAAAAGCAAATGTACCGGACAGCATTTTGATTTTTTCCCTCTTTCTTTTACATCGACATATCCGTTGACTGCTACAACTTTATCTTCGTTGTTTCTTCTCCACTCAAGACCCATTATACATTCACAGCTCTTCCATTTACCAAAACATATAAAATATGTGACGCCATTGGTTGTAGATGCACAAAAGTCTCACCCTTATTTTCCTTTCCCTTACCCCTACCCCTTTATATCTCTCTCTCTAAATATATGTGTGTGCCTGTGCCTGTGTTTGTGCCTGTGCCTGTGCCTGTCTTACTCTCGAATTGATTTGACATTGGACAACGAAATGATAACCATTTCAAGGGTAAAATAATAAAATATATGTATATGTATATGTATATGTTTATATATATATATATATATATATATGTACAAAATACAGTAATATACAAATATAATAATGATAGTAATAATAATATTCAAATATATTATATTTGATAATAAAAATAAAAATAAAAGTAAATATGCTCACCTTTTTGATACCATGTTGGAAGGACATCATGTTTGCCTTGGGGATATGGACAAGGGACAAAAGAATACCGAGCTTGGTGGGTTTGTCGTACTCTGAGTATTGTTGACAAAATGTGGTCAACAAGTCGATGGACAGCTCACGTGCCACGGTTTCTGCGTGCCATCCTGGTTGGGCAAATTCTTCTGTCAGATAGGCAAGTGTGTCTGTTGGTGATGTTTTTTCCATGGTGATTTTTTATGTTTGCTTTTCTTATTTTTTTTTTTTTTTTACTTCTGAAAATTTATACGTAATATATGTAACTATTATAATTATAACTAAGAAGTATATAAGTAAAATATTATCTGGCGTCTTTTTGGCAGTGGTAGTGAGAATTGACCAGATAATTGGTACTTAAAGGTATGTGTATAAGTAAGTAAGAAGAAGAAGAAGAAGAAGAATAGAAAGTGAGGGAGAGAGAAAATATGGAATAAATTCTGTGAATGGATGTGGTTGATTCAATTCAGCAAGAAATCAAAATCGCCTTTTTATAGCTGTTGAAAGAAAAAAAAAAGAAAAAAAAAATGTGACATTTTAGGGTGACGCAGAAAAATAGCGGAATATAAATAAAAGCTAGTCACGTGTAAACCATATTTGTGTGTAACATTATAACACAAAGGAGAAATATCACTGGCCACAATAATGTTTGATTTTTTTTTTATGTATATATATACTTTATTTTATTATGATTATGATTAATATTTTCGTTACCTTGGCAACCAATCTTGTAGCCCTTTACTAAACACTGAATTCTAATACTGTACTTTTAATTTCTTTCTTTCTTGAAGGATAATGAGTATAAATTGATGGTAATTTCTAACAGGAGAGAATCACAAAGGTTCTTTTTTCTTTCTTTCTTTATTGGTTATATATATATAATTATTATGTCTAAAACAGTAAGATAAAGTAATGCAAAAGTATAAATTAATAAAATAAGAATTAGAATGAGTCGATGAATTTGTTTTTTATCAAAAGATACAAATTTAGGGCACAAAATAGACAAGAGAGAAAGAAGCTAATTGGAATGAATAATGCGACCAAGATGACGACTAAGCTATAGCTTATAAAGTTACTTGAATATTCTATTTACACACACACACACTTTTATATATATATATTCTTCTACTCTATAATCGTATCAAAAATCTTCTCGTTGGTTTATGTTGGCTTTATCTAGAATTCAAATAGACAAATAAAAAATAAATAAAAACTTTTCAGTTGTGGCTGCTGCTGTTGCTGCTTATTTATTTAGTTAGTTTGTACCAAGGAAGGTGGGACCAGTTTCTCTGTCTCTTGTCTGGTCATTCCAGAGGATCTGCACACAAAAAGTTACCTCGACATGCTCCTTTCGTGCAATATCAAAGTAATGTGTCGGAGACTTTTTTTTATGCATACATTAGTTGCCCTCTTCCTTAAGCGGTGTCTCAATCACCCTTTCCTTTTTATTCTTTCTTACTACAGTTTTATGGATTTCTTTCTTATTTATACATCCTAAGCCTATGCCCGGTACGAACACGCTTGGTCTTAGCCACTAAAAAGACGCCTTTTGATTTATTATTTATTTTATATATAAAATAAATAAAAGATGACGCAAGCACAAAATCAAAATAAATATATAACCAAAACACCGATTTAACTTACCGCCAACTTTTAATTGGATATAATCTTAGTTATTAATACTCAGAATACCATAAAATAAAAACTGGTTCCAAACCTGAGCTCTTTAAGAAATACAAGAAAGGTTTATACTTTTTTTTTCTACAGCTGTTAATTAGTATTTTACTATAAGAATAATAAGAATACTATTCAAAATACCACAAAAGTTGAGACACAAAAAAAAATTAAGGCAAAGACAAAAAACTAGACGCGTACGTTTTACTGTCAATTATATCGAAAATCAGGGTGCATATAAATTATCAATTGGCGCAAGTGTTATTATTTGTTGTTAAGATCCACAGGACTCTACTGCACATCGATACATATACGCATGCATGTACGTATAAGTAAAACGATTTAAAGGTCAAATAATAATAACGGGTGCTTGAGTAGATTTCATAGAATACAACAAACATAACCCTATTATCCTTTTTTATTATTATTTTCAATAGCAAAAATAACGTTGGATGATGAAATACTAATGTTTATTCTTGAAGAGAAACGCCCTCTCTTATATTTTTATTTATTTAATATCAAATATTAACCACTGGATTTCAGAATCAAGAAAGAAGTTGAAACCCCCATTGGAGAAATAAGAATAAAAATAAAAACCACACTAATTGACAAACACAGGAGATGTAAAATATAACCACAAAGAAGAATAGTGTGTCAAAAGAGAGATATCATTGTGACAAGGATGTCTCTTTTCTTTTACTATTATGCATCCAGCTTGTTCCACAGAATGACAGCTTAAATTCCGTAGACTATCGAATAAAAACAAATAAATTGTTGTGATATACAAACAATCCTAGAAGAATTCCTTTCATTCTTGCCAAGAACAGCGTCACTACCCCCCCGTCTCTCCTTATTCATCAGACTGTATGCATACACACGTACACACTAAAAAGCCTTTTTGTCATCCCAACCATCTTTTGGACTTAAGAAATTAAAACAAATCCATATTAATGTTAGTAGTAGTGCGAGTCAAATAGTCAAGACTTTCTTACATAGGTACCCAAAAAAAAACCTGCAATAATATATAAATAAAAGGTATACGAGTACAAAGAAAAAGAAAGACATGGCAATAGTGCTTAATAATTAATTATCTATAGACAACCTAATGTCTGCACGAGCCAAATTTCATACAAGGAATGAATCTATTTGTTTTACTTGGTTTAATCTTTTAAACAACCGTTTTCTCTTTCCAAAAAGTCAAGAAAAAAAGCAGAAAATATATGAGTAATGAAAATGGGCTATTTTTTGACGGTCTGTTTTCATATAAATATCCTTCTTGATCGATCCTAACCCCTTTTATAAAAATGCCTCATTGTCTCTTAGTGACTATAGTTTTCTTTAATGATATATACACTTTTGAAACAAAAAGCAAAAAGTGTAATATTAAATTATAATTTTGTGCAATTTTCCAGAAAATAATAACAATTAATAATTGGTTCAATTTTTTTAAAGAAAAAATATTCAAAAAGTTGAAGGTACATTCAACATGATGCATTTTATTATTAGCCTTTATATCCTATTATTATATTTATTATTGTTGCTGAAACCTTTGCTTCCACAGTCATTAATATAACTTTCTTTTCCACCTTCTTAAGCAAAATGTACCTTTTTTTTTGTTATAAGCTTACAATTTGTACAAAGAATATTAGTGTTTAAAGTGTCTTGTAATAGTAAACAAAAGTTAGCTTTGAAAGTCAAAATGAAAAGAGTAAGGATTCGATATGAATGTTATGTAAGTACCCCGGAAATAATAAAAAGCTATTTAAACCCGACCTTATTGCGAGCAATCAAGAAAGGGAGAGTGGAGGAGAGCAATGATAGAAACCAATAAACTCACCCATATACACTAACTCAAATATCGAGCAAAATAATCCTAGAAAATAATCTTAAGCCACAATACTACAGTCCGTATCAGCAAAAAAAAACCGCGAGCCACAAACATATCAGTGATTATATCATTCTATTAGGATTACTACTTGATGTCTCTGAATGGAGTTCCACAAGAGGGGTATTTGGGGTCATATGTCCCAGAACAAGACAAAAAAATACAAAGCATCTGGCAGAGAATGACAATTAAAGAGGGGTTCCAAATACATTTGACAAAAACTCGCTATCCGTTGACGAACCTACCTTTTAGACTGTTAAAAGACAACCAAAGGAAAGTGGGCATGATCGCTGCCAAATTTATTCAGCCTGGCATTGTCAAGAATTTACCAGAACAAAATGTCAATTATTTTCCAAACATGTTCATTATTCATGGCACAACACAACACAACACAACAAAGCACTACACAGCACTACACAGCACTACACAGCACTACACAGCACTACACAGCACTACACAGCACTACACAGCACTACACAGCACTACACAGCACTACACAGCACTACATAGCACAGCACTACATAGCACAGCACTACACAGCACTACACAGCACTACATAGCACATCACTGCACAGCACTACACAACACTACATAGCACTACATAGCACAGCACTACACAGCACTACACAGCACTACATAGCACTACATAGCACTGCACAGCACTACACAACACTACATAGCACTACATAGCATAGCACTACACAGCATAGCACTACACCGCACAGCACAGCCACACGAAATTAAAAGATGCTCACAAAAGGAATGCAACACAATGATTGGGTCGATTAGAATATCAACACAGGAAACAAATAATGAATCAAAAGGGTCTATAATACACCCTCTTTAAATATTCCCACAAGACAAGCCGCCTATATTACTTTCTGCTTGGGTTATTTAAACTACATCTTCTTGTATTTAAAGCAGATATTGACCTTCAACAATTAAAATACTGTCGAAAAATGCCTCCAACTTTATCTGTGTATATAGCGAGCTCGGGAATAAATGGTAAGCATATTAGTTAATGACGACCAAAAAAAATTGACCATGACCCCTCTAATTTTCCTATCATTGCTTTCGGTACAAGAATGAAAGGTAAAGATGCTTTCAAAATTAAAGGTCATCATTAAGGAGTTGCCTGTGTGTTCTGTACAGAAAATTAAAGAAAAGATAAAAGGGTGAAGACCTTCTTGTGGCAGATTTTGGGAATTTCAGAATCACAAGATAAACCTAGTAAACTTAACAACTTTGCAAGACTTGGCGAACAATGCCTTAGTTTTTTGTCTTAAAAATTTGCCGCCTTTGTAATCAAAACAAGCTTACAAATGTTTTGATCGCTTTCACAAGCATCTTTGCTTGCCAAAGTTGCGAGATGGTGTGTAATAGAGATGTGAATGTTATATATATATATATCAGATTGCAGAAGTGACTTTAAATAACTGTCATAGACTACCTCTGTTCTTTTGAGACTAATAGCCTATTATCTACAAGTTATGTCGCCGTATCGAACAAGGTTTTCTTTATACAGAAATTTAGATTTTTACAGGTAGAATATTCTACCAAAAAATAATCATTATTTGTCTCAATCTCAAGCAGAAGCACTGTATGATACTCCATTCCTCTCCCTTCAATCTCTCCCTCTTTCTTTCTTTTTTACCCTTTCCCTTTACCTCTTCCAACTCCTTCTTTTCCTTAATTCACCAATTTGGGTCTTCGATTCTTTTGTCTTCTTTTTAACAAATAAGAATAAGAATAATCTTTACAAGACTGTGTAACTTGGCATATTAAACCATTTAACATTAAATGTATTCCTTTTGTTGTTGTTCTGTATTACTGCCTAAAGAAAAATAAGAAGAAAAAAGATCCGGGGTCTTTTTTTTTTTAAATAGGGGCAATAGGGATGTGAAAATACCAAAATATTTTCATATATCTCTTTACATAAATATTGATCCATTTCTTTGGTTGTTGTAGTTGATGGAAAATATAATAAATAGTAATGGTTAGGGTTTCATCTCTTCATCTTCAACTTCTTTACCTTTTCTTCAAAAAATAGTAATAATAATAGTGATAATAATACATGTATACAGTGCACAATGACAAAACAAAAAGCAAAAACAAACAAACCAAAAACAGATATATATATATATATATATGTATGTATGTATGCATGTATGTATACAAACACACTACTTGTGCATATATGCATATTTATACATTTAAGCTTCTAATGCTTTGTCCAACTTTCAAAGCCTTGGACAAAACACACTCTATCTGACTCGTTGAAACAACGAAATCCCTTTGCACTCGCCTGTTCCCATGTCAAAAATGATCCACATGCATCCTGCCAAATAGGCTCTTGTTGCCATGCCTCAATATTATCTTGTGCACTAGCCACATTTCGTCGATATTCATTCAAAAGAGCTTCATCATCTGGTAAAGATGTCAGCTGCTGACTAGTGCCACTGACCCAAGCAATGTGGTGAAGCATAATGTGAGGTATCCGACACCGACTTCCATCCAAAATACTTGCAAAGAAGTCTGCGTGAAGCAGGAGCTTAGATGCAGATATGTGGATGAGGTGAAGGTTAGGCAGATTTGACGCAAAATAGGTCCAGACGTTTGCAGGTGCAAAACATGCAATCCTTTCGTAGACTACCGAGAGTGGATGGATACGGCGAAAGGCGAGTGAGAGAATGACGAGTCGATCGAGTTGGACTAAAAGAACGATGCATCGTGTGACTAAAATGGGGCTAGTTTCGTGAATGATGATTGCAAGTTTCTCTAATCGGGGAGATCCCTGTACAATCTGTTCGAGAACAGAATGAGACAATGAGTCAGACAGAGCAAGCCGGGTTAGATGAAGGAATGAAAAGAGATGGAGATAGACGGATGTGGGGATTGTTGTGACTGCGGGAGGACTTTGGGTGTGATAGTCGATCAATTCGGGTTCTAGCCGAACTCTTTGGAGCAACAGACTGTCGAGAGAATGTTTTGAGAGTTCGATAATTTTCTGTAGGGTTGTTTGTTTTATGGTACAGCTTAGTAAGGTTAGAGAGACGAGCGGCCGTGGGTATTCTAAAAGCGAGTTGAAATCGTCATATGTATCTCGACAATGTTCAAGATAAAGCTCGGATAGATGGGGGCAATGTTGTGCAAAGAACTTGATACCATAGTGCTCCAGTCGAAATTTGGAGTGAAAGTCAATCCGGAGAGCCCGTAAATTGCAGACAAGCCGAGCCATCAAGCTAGAGTTAGCCAAGTCATAATTCGCTGCATTGGTTAGATCTCGACTGAGGGACCGTACATAAGACCCGAGTTGGCGTGGCAGAAAAAGGGCAGGTTGAGATAAAATGTCGGTTGCGATCTGGACAGGAACAGAGTCGCTCTTTTCATCATCTTCTCGAGGCAATATGAATTCTTTATCTCTCCAGAGGTAAGGCGCACAGAGGATAAATAATCTTCTGCAGGCAAGGGCAACTGATTTGAGGTCACTGTATCGATACTCTGGATACTGCCAGCCCAGAAATTGGCAGCCGTCATCTCTTTCGATTTTTGCGGTTCTATGCAAGATATCTTCTAATATTTCGTTAGGCAGCTGTAATAAGCGAGACTCTTTGGTGCTGTCTTTTTTTGGCCAAGTTTGTAGCTGCATCGTCACCGTGAAAGAATTTAGGAATCAAGAAAGAGAAGTAATAAGGAGAAGGAGAAGAAGAAGGAAGAGAGGAAAGAAAGAGGAAAAGAGAGAGAAAGAGAGAGAAAGAGAGAAAGAGAGAAAAGAAAGACTCGTGATTAATATCAAATGATTAGGTTATTGATTGCTTGCCATAGATGTCGAAACAGTTGTGTTTTAAGGACAATTCCCATTTGTGTCCTTTTTCTTCATCTTCATATTCCTTTGTCCTTTTCTTGGTTTGCTTTCTTCCTTCTCCCACTTTGTACCCCCGGTTTATTTATTCCGTATCAAACCAAGGCAAACTTGTATCTTGCATAAATTGGTTTGTAATCTCAATATAAATTATCCAATACTTTTCTCAGTTTGCGGTCTTGAAAATAAATAAATGAATAAAGGGGGGAGTGAAAACCAAAATAACAAGTAGTCTCACTTTCAAGACTACCTTGAAGACTGACTGACTTGCCAGTTCTTTTCTTTTAACTAGCAAGAGCAATTGGTTCGAGTCTTCAACTTGTATCATTATTTGCCTTTTCAAAGAAAAATAAAGAAAATACGCACATATTTATACATACATGTACATGATTGTGTGTGAGTGTGTCTTTGTGCATACATATAGACCTTTTATTTTTATATTTATTTTTGTACTCATGTAATTCAATAAAAAGGGTCCGTCACAGAAATAAATATCATTCATTTGTTCCACAGTTTTATTTGAAGATTTCATTATATACATTATTTAATTTGACTACATTCTTGGAATTTTATAATTAAGAATATATAGAGATATGTCAAAATAATTTATTAGAAAGAAAAACATGTACTTAACCTTTTCTTCCTCTTCTTCTTTATTCATTTATATACATGTAGGATACGCTATACCATGATTTCGTCACATATTGGGTTTACTGCTCACAACGTATGAGCTAAATTCGTCATGTAACATTTTTTTGCAGTGGAGTTTAACTAGATCTCCCAGTAAAATTAGACACCTCTGTAATGGATTTGGCTGTTTTTCTAGTAAGCCTAGTCTTCTTTACAGTGGATCTGGGTTCCTTTAAAATATGTTTAGTCTTTTGTGCAATAGCTTTGATTTTCTTTCTAGCAGGTTCCGTATCCTGTGTAATGACTTTGACTCTCTTTCCAGTATGTTCAACCCTTCCTGAAATTGACAAAGTTTTCTCCTCAGTAGATTCAGCCTTTTCTATGGGAGATCCAGATTTCTCTACAGTTGATACTAATATATCCTTAGTGCACAAAGTTTTATCCCTAACGTATATAGCTTCTTCTCCAGTGGGGTTTCTTTCATCTACAATGCGCATATATTTATTTACGGTAGATATGTCCTTTGATAAAGTTGACGTTTTCTCTTCTAAGGTTGATTTACTTTTCTCTGTATATCTATTTTTCTTTACAACGAATATTTCCTTCTCTGTAGTGTATGCCTCTTTTTCTGTAGCAGGTATTTCGTCGGCTTCTTTGCCCTTATTATCCTTCGTAATAAGAATTTTGCTGACAAAATCAGAGGGTTGTTTTTGCAGCGTATAACGACAGCGATATCCAGGTTGAGTACAACTTCCAACATACTTGCACTTTGAGCACATGTAAGTTAGCACATATACATCAACTAGACCTTTCCCCCTCCTTTTTTTTGGTATTGCATTGCATAAATTTTGTGTGTGTGATTTGTATTATTTGGCCACCCAAAGATTATTATTTTTTTTAAAAAAAAAAAGACAAACAGACTTTACCTTTTGATCGTAAAGAGGAGGAATAGTATAGTCATGCAAATAAGGACATGCTAACCGTTTGCAACTATTACCATAATTACATTGATGCAGGTTGTTAAAGGTGTTTATGGAGGTATGTATATATTTACAGCCCAATACATTGCAATTTGACATTTTCTTGCATATACTCTTGCTGAAACAAAGTAACATTGATATATCAGAGTCTGTAGATTCTGATGGCGAAACGGGGACAGAGATCATAATGGGTACAGACTGGTACACGGGCTTTTAGTTATTAAGGCGGCATTTTTTTTGCACTGCTCCAACAGATTTTCGTCTTGTGATTCGCCACCTTTTTATTTTTACTGTACTTATATTCCATTTCATTATCGACACGGTTAACGCGCCAGTCGATTTTGTCAAATATGTCAACATTGTCATGATTACCCATGTTGTGGGGGTTAAAGTTTAGGAAGTTTTTGATTGTTTTTAGAAGAAAGATTTGAAATTGAGGAACGAAGATTCGTGAGAACTTGTGAAGGGTTTGTTAATTAAGAGAAATTGGTTGTATCAAAATTTGACCAGGTTCCCTCAGAACTACTACTGCTATTTATATTTGGATCACGAAAAATTAGACCATCTCCAAAAGTTACTTTTATCTCAAATTTAACATTTTAGTTAGAAGTGGTTACCCCCAGCAACTCAATTAATTTTATTTTACGAAAAAAGAGATGGTCCTATTTTTTTTTATCTTTTTTGTTAAAGTTGACAAGATAAAATTGATTTACCACAATCCATATTTTGCTGGCTATCCTGGTTGTCTTAGTTGTCTTGGTTGTCTTGGTTATCCTAGTTTTTCTGCTTATCCTTTTTGTCCTGTTTGCCACCCTTTTCACAATTTTTACATTTGGCATTTTTTGTAACATTTGGGTTTGACGATCTTTCCGCGCCTGTCATGCTGGTCATGTGGGGAATACTTGTGATTTTTGGCATATTTGACATTTGCCTCGCCTTTTCTGCCTGAGAAATAGTCATCATATTTTTCAAGGTTGTCAGGATTGTCTGACCTAAACCTACTAGCTTCTTTTGCCGCCTCAGCGAAGCCGACTGGAGAGTATTTTCTTGGGGGCTCCACGGAAGAAGTCTGGGAAGATATTGGTACACTTTCATTTTTTTTTAAATGATTGTTGATGAGAGATAATACAGGCCTTTGGGGAGTTGTCTGGGTACCAACGACTAGAGATTTTACAGCTTGGGAAACATCGCACTTTTGGCATGCCTTTTTAGATGTCTTTTTAGATGCCTTTTTAGATGCTTTTTTGGATGCCCTTTTGGATGCCTTTTTGGGCGCTTCTTTGGGTGGGTTTGGGTGTGTCTCTATTTGTGTCTTTGTGTGTATCTCTCGGTGTGGTTTTGGGTGTGACTTTGGGTCTTTTTCACTGCCTGGAATTTCATTTGCTTTGATTAATTCATTGTATGCCTTTTCATATTCTCGATCGAGTAGTTCCTTAGCATCCTTAGTTCTAGTCTGTTCTATAAACGCCTTTTTCTTCTCCTCCTTCAATTTCACTGCAGCAATACGAGCTTCCTTTGCAATGTCTTCTTTAATACTTTTAAACATATCAGCAAATTTGCGCTTATCAGCTGGAGCTATTTTATTCCAAATACACATACACACATACATATATATATATATGATTGGTCAATATTAATTAAAGTCTTAAGTGAGAAGGGATAGCAGGGTTTATCTCACTGAATGAAACATTAAGAGGTATTTTGGCATTTATTTATCTACTTACTGTACAATGTTGTAACATATTCTAAAAACATAATTTATTAATATCAACTGATATTGATAAGAGTAGTAGTAGTAGTAGTAGTAGTAGTAGTAGTCGTAATATCCGATCATGGTTAGGCATACAAACCAGTATTACCTTTTAGACCGGTATCCAACGCATGCGGGGAAAACGAGCTCTTGATGGCCTTGACAACACGAATTGCCTCATATTTTTCTTGTGTGAAATAAGGAGGAGTAGGAGAAGAAAGTTGATTAGATGCAAAACAAGCATCGAATTGTGATCATTAATCATTTACTATCTTTAGGTGTATATCCCTTGGACACGCAGTACTCGTGTACTTCAGTCTACAGAATCATTACTTAGACTGGAGATTCTACTCACATTAGATCCAAATTCCTTACCATTAACTTGTCCCATCCCTTTAATGGAAGTTCTTCGGAAAGGGTTTTCATTACGTTTTGATGATTTAGGATTGTGTTCGCTGATGTACAAGAAAGAAACATATGAACTGAATGTGACTTGCACTAGGAAGTGCTTACCAACAGTCGAGTAAAACAAAACCTTGTGGACAGGTAGAGAATGAATGAATGAAAGAAAAAAATCTTTAATATATATATTTTATTATGCTTCTCTAAAAGAATATCTTGTCAAATCAAACTGAAACAATTAGATAAATAGAAAAAAAGAAAGTGTTTCTAACGCGACAAGATACATACAAAACCCTTTCACAAAAATAAAAGATAAAAAATAAAGGTAAGAAAAGATTGAGAGATACACATAAAATTTACTATTTTATTCAATACATTTTGTTCACAATCAGGAAGTTCCTATAGGGCTTTCTTCAATATTTCTATCTATTAATAATTAATATAATAAGGGTTTTCAACAGTCCTTTAAGCTTTTAAAGTTAAGCTTTGAGTTTTAAAGAAGTAATCAATAATACGTAAGAGTTGGTGTTTTTGAGTACTCTAAATGCTTGTTTTTTCAGTTCTATTAGGCATAGTGGTAATAGGATATAAGCTTAAAGTAGTATTGAAAGAGACAAAAATATTTGCATCAAGGATTTATTAAATTTCCAAAAAATAAATAAATCAAATTTAAGCAAGGATCTATTAAAAGTTTAAAACTCTTGAACGATTTTGTTCGAGAGTTTTAATCTTTTTTTTTTAATTATAGGTTCATTCCAGCCAATCATTTCTCAAATTTAAACTCAAAAGCTTAAGTTTAAGAGATTGAATGACTGTTGAAATCCTCTAATGATTATAGGTTAATTTCAGCCAATTAAATTTTGAAATTTAGACTCTAAGCTTAAGTTTAAAAGCTTAAAAGACTGTTGAAACCCCCTAATATAATAGATATAGATATATGCAAGGATTTCTATTTGATTGAATGGCCTGACAGTTTTACAAAAATATATAAAAGAAAGAACAAATCAAGTGTAGTACCTAGAATTTAGGAGGGGCTCTTAACTGTTTTGAAACGTAATATACTTCTTCTTTTATATAATTATTAAATTGAAATAACACGACTTTTCTTCTTTACAAGTTGATAAAAAAAAATATGGAAAGTGACAAAAGAGGAGAGAGGGTGTGGACCTGCAGCAATAAATTTTCCCATCAAATAGCTATCGCGTTCATATAAGATAATTCGGAGATTTACATATTACCCTGACTTTCAAATTCAGGCTCAATTTAAGTGTGCTTGTAGCGATTTTAGCTAAAAAAGTTTTGGAAACGGGTTAAGCACCTATTCAATTTTGGCGTAAAGTAAATTATCTCGAGAATATTTAAATATCCGCAATGCCTTATTTGGGCGTGATAGCTATTTGATGGGAAAATTTATTGCTGCAGATCCACACCCTCTCTCTTCTCTTTTGTCATGTAGAGTAATGACTGGTACCAGGGGATAGCTAGTTTGAAATGAAAATATATAAAATAATAATAAGGATATTTAGTTTTATTGGTTTCGCTATCTCTGGCAGTGTACGGTTAGTATGGTTTGTTTTTTCATGTCTATCTATCATTATGGTCCAAATGATTCATGTTCTCGGCTTAAAATATGCCGAGTCTTAAAATAATCTTATAATAAGGTTTTATGATCATTTTCTTTCATTATGTTGTAATTCATACCTTTAGATAAAGCCTAGCTAGCCGTTGTAATCCATTCAAAAGAGAAAGGTGTGATTTACTGCGCAGAGCTAAGAGCTTCTCACACTAATAAGCACACACGTGTGTATTTGTGTATACAGAACTATAATAATTATATACGTATTATTGTCTACAAACATTCGGCGAGAGGAGCGAAATAATTTTTTATATAAACCTATATATGTTTAAAATAAAATAGTGATTTAATATTAATAGTAATAGCAGTTGACGAAAAACACAATTCAAAGACAAGGATAAGAGGGTGATATATCAGATATCTCTTATTTTTCTTTTCTTTTCTTTTCTTTTGATATTTTGAATAATGGTGATCGTTATCGCCTAGACTGGTTTTTTAGATAGACTATACATGCATTTTCTATTATGAGAATAAATTCTTTGCTTTGCTTTTTTGTTTTGCTTTAAATATAAAGCAAGATGATACGCAATTGCCTTTTATGATGATCAAATAAATGTGGAATATGTAATTGGAGAATGTGATCCACAGGATTTATTATTCCATGTGTTTGAATGTTCTGTTTGTAAAAGTGGAAGTGGAAGTGGAAGAGGAGGGAGAAAGAGAAAAAGAAAAATGATGAACTATCTGAAAGAGTGAAAATGATATGAATGATAGTAATAATAATAATAGTAGTAATTGTGAAAAGAAAGAAGGAATCTACTAGTCTTGAATTGCTGTGGAAGACCCATCGTAATGAACTGGACACCCCTTTCCTCTTGCAAGCCAGTCAGACAAACAATGTTGGTGATACGAACATAGACAAATCATGCGTGCGATCTTGTCACCTATAAACTCAGTGTCAATTTAAAGAAAGAAAAATGAAATAATGAAAGAAAAAGATAACCTGCGACCCCCTTGTTTTTTACTCTAATCTTGAATAGGAATAAAAGAAGAGGCTGAGTAATCTTGGTTTTATATCCTTTACCTGTCTTAAATTCTTCAAAACAAATTGGACACTCATCGTCGAGCTGAGTCGAACTGCTAGATAGCTGATACACTTTATATAAATAAGAAGAAGAAGAAGAAGAAGAAGAAAATGGTTTGTGAATAAACTTAAAAAAGAAAGCTAGTATCCTTTTAAACATTGAGTCGAGTCCAAAACTTACCAACGTAACGCACCAGGCGCACAGGAGGACTTCCGGTGTTGAGACACTTTTGGAGGTGGTGTTCTTGCTCGTTCTGCCTCACACCCATAAAGTTTGCTCCACAGACTGGGCACTCAGCCATAAGACTTTGCGCACTCTTTGATCGCTGCATTGGACTGGCCACGACTGGAGATTGTTCGTACCGGGAAAGAGGAGGAATGATATTTTTTGCTATCGGTCGTACACAGGCGTCACAGACTCGCTGCGGATACATTGCAATAAGAGCTTGATGAGAAGGATCAGTGACTGGATCCTGGATAATATGTTCAAAGGGTAGACGGATCCTGTGACCACTGCACCTATCACACACCACCAGCCCACACCGTCTAAAGAGGCATGGAAGCAATGTCACCTTATCTATCAGTACTTGCTGGGACGCACGTCATCATTCCTCTCTTACCGACAGTGGTGACGGCGGACAAGAAAGTTGAACCTTCGTGCACATCGTCTACATTCCAAGGCCTGTCGATCAGCCTCCCAAACATGGAGTGTTCTCGGTGCAGGTTCAGTCAACGTTCTCTCCGATCGAATAGTTTGCCTCTCCACTTCTTCCTCCGCCTCATCCTCATCCTCGTCGTCTTCCTCTTCCTCTTCTTCCATATCCCTCTTATCTTTATCTTTACTCTCCCCCTCCCCCTCCTCCTCCTCTCTTTTGTGTTCTTGCTCTCTTCTAAATTCCTCTTCATGAATTGAAATATCGGATTGGATGATTGAGTTTGAATCAGGTGTATTTGTTCCTGGTAACTCTTCATCAGTCTCTTCAAGTATGATGTGTTCTGGTTTGCCAGGAATAATATCCAGGACTTGTTCCTCTGATGTATCTAAATGAGGTGTGGCTGTAGCTGTGGAAGCTTTTACTGCTGCTGCCATGGCCGTACATGAGGCTACTGCTGTTTGACCAGGAGTAGCCTCATGGCGCATGTGTAGTTCTGCATTGGCTATTGTTGTCATGACTGTGGCACTAGCTGATCGCGATAGACACCCAACGAGATCATTAAGAGTCGGAGATTGCCGATGATAGTCAGGATCGCTGTCATCCTGAGGGTATATTGGTTTAGTGTCCATCATCAATGGTAGACTTATGCTGCTTGTTTCTGACAACTGTTCCATCGTTATAGCCTTGTTGTACTAATGATAGGCATGCGCTTGAATAACTTAGATTTATGTATATGTGTTTATATTCGTGTGCGTGCGTGTACGTGTAAAGAAAAAGAGCAGATATAACAGATTATCACAGAAAAGGAGAAAGATAAGCCAAAAAAAAAAGAAAGGAAAAGAAATAAAGCTTGAGTTTTCTTCTTGGCCTAAATAAGAACAGGCGTGGAAATAGAGAGAGAAAGAAAAAGAGAGAGACTCTGGAAATGGCTGGTGGGACAAGAAAAGAGGGTCAATAATAATAATAATAATAATAATAATAATAATAAAATACGTATAATACTAATACTAGTAGTGTTATAAGCAATAGACCAAAACCTGCTATAATGTTTTGTGAAATAAACACTGTGCAAGGTGCAAGATTGTTTTGTGTAATTCCCTCAAAGAAAGGGGGGAGGGGTTGACAAGGGGTTGAGTCAAGTATAGTAGAGTATTTTTTATATGTCTTTTCTTTGTTTGCTTTTGTTTGTTTTTTGTTTGTTGAGTTTCTTCCTTGATTGTTTGTCTATCTATATATCTCTTGATCTATCTGTATACACACTCACACTCACATACTCACATACTCTTGTGTATATGTGTATGTATGTATATGCATAGAAAAGGACGTACAGATAAATGGATCAATATTTAACAAAATTACACAATAAACCATATTAATTTGATTTTAAGAATTGAATCAATAGTTGGATGATTATTATTCTTTTCAATGATATTCCAATCAGTATGTGATTTCTATCTAATACCGTAAAGAATAGATTCTTTTATTAAAGTAAAATGGTCTATTTTGAATTTGGCTTTTGGTCTTATAAGTGTATGAAAACAAATGGCCTTGAGAGCAACTTCAAATAAAACCAACCAATTATATGTGTATGTGTAATGATCTCTCTCTCTTACATTTAATCATTATTATTCTTACTCTTATTTTTATTATAATTAGGACTATTACTATTACTATTACTATTACTATTACTATTACTAATTACTAATTACTGTCAATGTCAATGTCACTGTCACTGTCACTGTCACTGTCACTATCACTATCACTATCACTATCACCATTACCATTACCATCATTTCCCAATAATATTCGGAGTCTGTCAATTGGAAACCCACACTTAAAATGGCAACCTTATATATATATATTAATTTTAGTCTTTCCATAAATGAACTTGACGGGTCGATCTTTTTATATACCTAATATAAATAAAACTGGGTCGTCATCTTTTTATATAATTAGATATATATATATATTTTATATATTTTATATTTATTTATTTTTTTAATTTTATTTTTATTTATTTATTTTTTTATTTACTTTTACTCTTCCTCTCTGACGCACATGCTGCAGATCTCCACACATTCTAATCTAGGCGGAAGAGCAGAAAGACAACGTAACAAAGCAGCTCAACTGACGATGGACCAAGATGAAGCACTTTCAAATTTGAATGATTACAACGAAATCCTTCAATCTGAGGTCTATGTTGATCTTGAACGTCTTCGGATTCTCGCGCGCCATGGAATACCCACGCAATTACGCGGGGTAAGTTTAAGCCTCCCAGAAATTTCACCACTCCAACAACTCTATATACATTTATTTAACTATTATGATTATTGTTACGAATTGGGAGTAATGAAGGTACTTACCATGGAGCTTTTATTTATTTATTTTTCAATTGCTTTTGCAGGAGGTCTGGAAATACCTTTTGGGTGTAGAGCAAGCTGACAGATGTAAGCAAATACAAATAAATATAAAATTGTAAAAATTATAATAAAAAATAACAATAATATAGGTATATAGGTATATAGGTATATAGATATTTAGATATATTGATATTTTTCCTTACATTAGATTAGATTATGGCTTGCCTTAAATACAAATACAAATATATATATAACACAATAGTAATAACTTTATTCATTCGATAGCCAAAGAACTCAGCAACTCAAAGACTCGCACAAATGAATACCAACAAATGGATAAAATCGACCCAGAAGTATCAAAACGTATCCGGGGTGAGGTTTCACGGTACCAACGCAGAGTTCCCGAGCTAGACAATAAGCGCTACGCGGAGACATTTGAGAACATCATCATTGCCTATTTGAATACCAACCACGACATTGAATACAACCCTGCATTGGTTTCCCTCTGTGCACCCTTCATTTACGCACTTGACAAGGAGTGTGACGCTTACTTTTGTTTTGAGCGTATGATGCAAGCTATTGGTATGAATTATATATATATTTACATTTATATATATGTAAATATTTCAACATACAACAGCTGTTAAACAAAAAACTCCTATCCAATCAACCAATCAATCAACAAATCAACAAATCAGCCAACCAACCAATCAACCAACCAATCAACCAGCCGACTAATAAATGTATATATACATGTAATTATTATCATCTTCCTTTAGAGGAGTACGGTGTTAATAATCCACTCAAAGAACGAGTAGCAAGTTTCATGACCTTATTTCGCTATGTATTACCTGAGCTGTAAGTCTTGGATATCAATATTCTTTTTTCTTATATGTATTCTAATTATTTGGATAGGTGTAATTACTTTGAAGAAGAAGAGGTTGACTTGAACGAATGGATTACTTCATGGCTACAACATCTACTAGCCAAGGAGATGCAGTTTGAAAACTTAGTTCGGTTGTGGGGTAAACATTTTTGGGATTTACCGATTCAGGCAATTTAATAACAAGTCTAATATATATATATATATATTAGATTCCTATTTTGCCATGTCAGATCCTCTTGAGTTTCACCCGTTCCTCTGCCTGTGTAAGCAAATGCGCACACAAAGAGAAATCTGTAGCTAAACAATTCTTTGTTATTGATTTTCTTATAGCCATATTGAGAAATGCCAAAGAGAACCTTGAAGATCTCGAACAGTCCGAGATTAGAACTGTACTTCTCCGTCTACCGCCCATGAACATGAGCATGGTAATTATGCTTATATATATAATTTTCAAAGAGAAAAAGACACAATGAGAAATACTCGATAAAGAGACTTATTTTAATTGTATTTTTTTTTATTTTTCACAGGTTATAGCAGATGCTTTTAATTTGAGGCATGAAACCTTGGAGCGACAAATGATAGAAGACGAGGATTTGTAATGTCTATCTGCTGGTATCGTTTCTATTTTTCTTTTTTCTTCTCTCATTCCTATTCCTATTCTTATTTTTCTTTCTCTTCTCCTCTTTCTTCATATCTCTCTCACACATACTCTCTCTCTTTCTTGCTCTACCTCTTCCTTCCTTGCTCTTTCTCTCTCTCTTTCTCGCTCTCTCTCTTTCTTTCTATTGTGCTCTCTATCTCTATCGTCAATTATATCTTAGTTGAGAAGCTCGTCCTCCTTCCTTCCTCTACTATTTAAATCTTCCTCTTTCCCCTTTCCCTTTCCCTATCCCCCCACTCTCCCACCTTCAATTTCTCCCACTCACCCCTTTTTCCTTCTGCCTCCCCATTCTTTCTCAGAGCGAGTTTTTAAGTCTCATTCTGTATTTATTTCTTTACGTGTATTCACATCATCCTCATCGAAAATCTTCTCATTTAATGACAAGTGCACGCCTGGCTATTCAGTAGTTTGCGCAAATGAGCCCTGTTTTTCTTCTTTTTTCTTTTTCTTCTATCTCTTTTAGCTTGTCATGACATAGACACTTTTATCCAGGAAAAAAGAAATGCTACAATTTTTTTTAATCCTTTCGACCAAATTGGGTAAATCTGTCTACAAGCTTATTGACCAACCTATTACTTGCTCGGGGTTGGTCTTAAAAAAATAAGAAAGAAAGAAAGAAAGAAAGAAAGAGAGAGAGAGAGAGAAAAACAAGATATGAAAAAGAAAAGGTCTTTGATTACGAATACACGTTGAATTTATTAAAGGGAAGGAAGGAGGGTAGACAGAAGGAGAGATAAAGATAGATATAGAGTTATAGATAGGATAAAAGATAAAAAGAGTTAATGATTACGATATAGTGAGGCCATTTAAATACTACTACTGCTACTACTGCTACTACTAGACACAACAGGAATAAGGGTAATTTGCGTGTAAGTATTTACAAAATAACGCAACATCCTGAACCAGCACCATCTACTTTGTGTAGCTACAAACAAATTCATTAATTAGAAACGAAAATTACGAGCCTTTTTAAGGAAAGCAAAACCCAAGAGAAAGGAATGTCGGTAAGAGAAGATATTCTTCCCTGCATATCCCAACTTTTTCTTCTTCTTGTTTTTGTCCTTTCCCTTTCTTCAATTTCAATATCATATTTACCAGAGCGGCCCGGGTGGCCATATCAAAAATGGCATCCACACCTTCGCCTGTGAGTGCACTACATTCCAAATGACAGCGTGCTCCGATGTGGCTAGCTACTACTTCTGCCTAGATTATATACACATTGATATATATATAAATATAGATATATAGATATATATAAACACACACACACACACACACAGACACACACGTAAAACAAACAGACACAAACACATATACCATAGACGTTTTTTTTATAAATATTAAATGTTGAATATTGGATATTGAATAGTAATCGAATCAAATCAAGTAAAATAATTATTTTTAAAAAAAAAATCAAATAAAAAAATCAAATCAAATAAAACTCATTATATCTTTTTTTATATATATATATATTGATTCTATATTTTTGATAATGTAATATATGTTCCCTTACTTCTGTTCGACGAACAAATCGTTCGCCCACGTTTCTATTGGACTGGGCCCTCTCGACATGTTCTCGTGCAAGAGGTTGCTCTGTGCCATCCCGAAGATCTCGCTTACAGCCGACCAAAATTATGGGTGTTCTTGGGCACTCTTTATTGACCTCTTCAATCCACTACAGAACGGAAAATAAAAAGTTTAGCGAGTGAAATGAATATATAATAGATACCTTTGTGGTAACATTGTCAAGAGAGTCGGGACTGTCGATTGCATAGGCAATTAGGATAATGTTGGCCTTGACATACGAGTGCGGTCGAATACGCTAGAACCAGTGTCAATTGAACAGATAAATAAACATACAAAATGCGATGGACTTTGACTTACTTCATATTCTTCTTGTCCTCTTATCAGTACAAATAATAATAATAAGTATAAGCATAATATTTGAGTATAGGCACATATATATACAAGGGTATGTGAATTTCTCGGTAATAACGATCGTAGTAGTAATAATAATAATAATAATAATAATAATAATAATAATAATAATAATAATAATAATAACTATAGGAATTAACACGAATATAACTAAGTAACTCACGCTGTATCCCACAATGCAAGCTGGACTGCCTTGCCATCAATTACAACATCCTTGACGTGGGTTTCGAATACTGTCGGGATCTTGATCATCCTTGTTTAGAAAATAGCATCCTTTTTTTGTCGTTGTTGTTGTTTTTATTTTATTTTATTTTTACTAGAAAGTACAAGAAATCTTGCTTACATATTTCTACACAATTATACATTAACCGATGATACTCCACATCATTTTCGTAGATGCTCAGAATTACTCACTTTAGGGAAAAACCCCTGGGTGAAAACAGTCAAGAGAGATGTTTTCCCGCAATTGCCGTCACCGACAATTACTAGCTTTCGTCTGATGTATTCCTTTTGTGTAGGTCTTTCCATTAGGATGTAGATTAGGAGAAGAAGTGGGAGGAGAAAGAAGAAGAAGAAAAAGATATTCAAGAATATATATATATATATGTGTGTGTGTGTGTGTGTAGGTGTAGGTGTTTAGGTATTTAGGTGTTTAGGTGTTTAAGTGTGTAGTAAGTGTATATATATATGTATGTATGTATGTGCGATTGTCTGCTTGGCTGTCTGTGTGTATGTATATAAGCTTCTCGCTTATGGAAACAGCGAAACAAGTAAAAAAAAAAAAAAAAAAAAAAAGTCCAGCCAAACCTAGCTCAAGCCCAGCCCCACCCGGCCTGTCCTTGGTTCCTCTCTCTCTCTCTTATTCCCTCAGCCTGGCGACGCACTATATACTGTAGCTGCGCCTTGCGTGGCTGTTTCGCCAGATGCGTGCTTTGTGTGACATTTGACTTTTATAGTCGACTTGTGGTCTTTCATCTGTCACATTTTTCTCTTTTTCTCTCTCTCTCTTGTTCTCTGTTTCTCTTTATCTTTGTATGTACACAAATATGCACATGTGCTTGTGTATATGTATATATATATTCAGGCGCGTACGTGTACGCGTGTACGTATTCGAGTCTTTTGATATTTCTAATTTTATTTGAATATATGCATCTGTATATAAATAAGAGAAAGATATTTACTATAAACATACATGAAATTATAAGACTATTAGAAATAATAAACATTAGGGTATTTGAATTTGATCTTTAGGGTACTAGGCTGCCAAAACCATTGAGTCTAATGCAAATTAACCTCCTTGCTCGGAGGAGACGGTCTGTCTCTCTCTCTCTCTCTATTTTGAAACACACAATAAATAAAATAAGGAAAAGAAGGGAGGTGTTGTGCTTGACAACGGTGACAGATCCTCTTTGTCTCAGGAGAAGTGTGTGTATTGTGTGTATTTTTTTTAACACTGTACTCCTGTAGAATTCAAATGTTTTTTTTTGAGTCTCCGAAACATATATAAACAAGCAAACGTACATGAACCTTCAGAACATCACTCACTCACTCATTTGTTCATTTGTTCATTTGTAATATGTCTCACCCACTTATCAATCAACAAGCACCCAAGTCTTTTGTCCTCAAGAACGACAAGGACGAGTCTGTTGACCTGTCTCAGATAATAGGCGATGGCACTCACTCGGTTGTTCTCTTTTTCTACCCCAAAGACAACACTTATGGCTGTACTAAAGAGGTAAGTGATTGATTTGATTATGCATTTTATAAAAATCAATTCAAATAATAATGAAAAAAAAATTAATCGATTTCTTGTTTTATTTTCGCGTTTGTTTAGGCTTGCTCTTTTAGAGATAATTATGAGGTGTGTATGTGTGTAAGATTGGTTCTTTTCAAATACTCAATTGTGTGTTTTGTTTATTTTGGGTTTTTGGGGTTCACTCTTTAGAGAATATCTGAATTGGACGCAATTGTTATGGGTGTCAGTGGAGATAGTGCTCGATCACACGAGACCTTTGTAAAGCAACACAAGCTTCCGTTCCCTCTTTTGTCTGACAAGGAAGGAAAGCTCAGATCAGGGCTCCAGGTCCCTAAATGGTATTTCGGTCTTCCAGGGTAAGATAAGATTTCTATACAATTGAAATTGAATTGAATTGAATCAAATTGCATTGCATTGAATTCAACTCAATTCAATTCAATTCAACACTATTATAATGATGTTTAAACCAAAAGAAAAAAGCTTCGCTCATCTATAATATAGTATAATCTGATATATTTCTAATGGTATTTCTTCTCTCTAGACGCACTACCTACGTTATCAGCAAGGAGGGCGTTATACTCGATGTATTCGATTCACAAATTGGATTCAATCAGCATGTCACGCGTGCTATCAAGGTGCTTGAAGAGAACAAATGAAGGGGAGTCTAATTCATACATGATATCGTGTACTATCCATCTTCTCCTTACGGGTGTGGCTTGCCTTTTTCTCTCTATATCTTTATCACACCAAACCATACTACATTACACTATATTACACTATACTACACTGTTACTATACACAACTAGCTTCATTGCTAATATTCTCATTTTATTCCTCCTCTTTCTATATCCAATTCTTTTTTTTAAAAAAAAAAGAAAAGAAGAACAAAATAATAAAGAAGTTAATAAATGCAGCATATATATTCTTTCGAAATAAGCAAGGAGAAGCTAAACAAATAATGTGCTTGTAATTATTGTATTTCTGAACCTGCAACCTTTATTATTGTCTGTAAAGCTATAATATACACATAAAGCATCCGAATCATACATATCTTTTATGTTTATGCATATATGCGTGTACCCAAAAGTGCCTAAATTAACCTACCAAAATTACCCCTTCTTATGAAGAGGACCCTAAAGTAATAAGATCAAATCAGTACAATTGTAAAGTAAGTGTTCCTTAATGTTTGTTTGAGAAGTATTCCGGGGGAGGAATTAGGTTAATTTAATAATCCTAATAATAGCAGTAGGAGGAAAAGTATAGTGGATATTTTCAAAAAAGATTAGGAAAAAGGGTAGTCATATTATTGGATTGAATGTAAATAGTAAGTCAATAGTAACAGGGATAAAGAAGTAAAATTATAATGTACAGTAATAATTAAAAAATACAAAGACTTGTAAAGAACAAGCAAGGGAATATTGGCAATCTTAATGAATTCGATACTCACAGCAATCCTTCCCATCCCCTTCATTTCCTTTTCTTCTTTTCTTTTGACTGTCTTTGACGTCGATTATATTCTCCAATCTTTAATACACATCGAAAATTATATGTTAACCCAACTTTACACTGCCGCTGTCGTAAGATGCATATACAACCCTTCTTTGAGCTTGCTATCTTCCCCCTCTTTTTTTCCCTTCTTCTGCTCTCTATTTTACCTTGTAATATATTACCTTTCCCTACCCTATCCTACCATTGCCTGCCCTGTCCCTTCAATGGGTCCGTAAACCAGGGGATTACCAATAAAGTATTTTCTGTGCGCGTGACTTGTTCTTTGTTCTTTTACTAAAGTGTTTATAAAATCGAATCAGTACACTCCAATGTTTTAGCACAGTGAACAAAAATAAAAATAAAATTTGTAACAGGTTATGTATTTTTCTTTGTTTTTAGCAATTAAAATTCCCATACTGTTGTCAGCATCTTGTGGCTAGCTAAAAGAAATTATTTTATATAAAGATAACGGTCTCTAGCAAGAAAGAAATTGCTTCTCTTTCTTAAATTATTATTACTTATTGGTAGCTAATCGACTATAGCCATAATCAGCCAGAGGTCGTCTCTAAAACGACCCTAGCTAGTCTGTCCCCTGGTATTATATAGCAGCATATAATATATAGCAAAGCCTAGCTTATAGCACTATATGACGCCAAACAGGCAAATATAGAGAGAGAAAGAGAGAACGAAAGGTTAGCTATACATGCCTAAATAATCTTTGCTGTCAAAAATGAATCCTGCGATACACCACTCAAACTCTTGTTAGCTACCACACTGGATTGAAAATTTGACGGAGGTCTTCTCGAAGTCCAGGTTCCAGTGGGCCCGCCATATTGCGTGTGACATGGTTAAAACTACAAGAAATTTGTAATTACAATTGTTCGGATGGAGATGAAAGGATCCCACGATAGAGAATCTGCTGAGTATCGACCAAGTTCCGTGGGGACGCCAGTGCTCGGAAAGAAAATGAGGCTTCCACACCGACCGTTTGAGAGAGGTGCGCATGTGGGAACACAACCCCAAAGGGTTTTCTACTAAACATCACGACTATTATAAATAATTGGCTAACACCAACAGCTAAAAAGAAAATATTAAGATCTTGAAGCTTGGGTGCTTATAGATGAACAAACGAAATAAATAAAAGTAGACAATACACACCTCCTTGAACTTTTGAGGGATAAATCAATAAGACATCAACTAATATGATGAAAATAAATAAGTTGATATACAAGCAAAAACAAACAGGAGAATTGTTTTAAAGACAAATGTAGAGTCTGCCAAACTACATTATATCAGACAAATATTAGAAATTAAACGAACTTGTAGGAAAAGATTGACAACTATAGCAAGTTAGTATAATGGAAATGCTGGAATCAGGGACCAGATGTCAAAGAGGTTATCGTATATATGTATAGCCACACTACTTATTTTGGTACTAAAATAGGTTGAACAGGGTGAGCCAGAATAAAATCGGCTGTTATCATTGGACTATAAATCTTTAAGAGCAACTTCCTAATAGGATATCTGATCGATCGATTTTTTTTGTTAAAAGGGTTGTAGATCCACCGTATATCAAACCAGATGAGCTGATGCCTATAGATAGGAAATCAAGAATTGAAGAATCACACGGCTGTAATATTACGAAGTTTATTTACGATACCATTTATATGTATCACCTGTTTATTGATATCCTTAATAATGCCGAGCTATCTGACCACTTGATCTTCAAGAAGTAGGGGTAAGAAGTAGGGGTAAGAGGAAAGATATGCAAAAGTTTAAAATTTCAAGATTCAAAATGTCAAGTGGCCAGGAAAAAAAACAGCAGTAGAAAGGGATTCTTGAAAAAACGGGCGGCATCGTATCATGTTAAGTTCGATAAAAATTAAGACAGTATTGAGGCAGAAAAAGTGGGACCAGAGATAAGAGCATTACACCATGGTTTGGAAAAGAGGGTACGAGTTGATGGCAATATACTTCTCAATGTCCATGAGCTTTGTAAACAAATACATATTCAAAACCGAAGTCTTTATCACTATTTTCTTCAGGGGAAGGAGGAGAAAATGGGGGAAAGAGTAGTTATCTAACCATATATTTCTCGAATTGGAATTGGATGAAGTTTGCTTGACCTGTTCTACTGATAACATTTCAATTTGTTATGTGTGCCATTGTACAATCTCTACAAGAAATTGTGGGACTAAAGTATTCATGAAAATGTTAGATCACAGTAAGTGCAAAACTACATATGCGGCAAATTGAGTAGTGGTAATGGGCCAACGAAAAAGATTATCAAAAGTTAAATATATAGAAGAGGGTGGGAAATAATAAAGATAAAAGTTAATGTAACCCAAGAAATATTATTAGTTTGACACAAATGTTACCCAAAGTTATTATTACCCATCATAATATATATATATATACTACACACTTCTTCAATACACTCCTTGCAAAATTACATACTTCTTTAATTAAAACCAAATAAACGCAAAAAAAAATATCATTAGAGTATTTTATATTACTAGAAGAATAAGAATAAGAATAAGAATAAGAATAAGAATAAGAATAAGAATAAGAAAGAATGGATAAATAGGTAAGGTTTGCTTTTTTTTCTGCTTCTTTTATGGCGTATTTGTGTTTGTGTTTGTTTTTTGTTTTTGAGTTTGGATTTGTATTTTGTGTAGTGTGTTTGTGTAGTGTGGGTGTATTGTGTATTTGCGTGCGTGTGGGAGTCTGCTTTTGCATTTGCGTTTGGGTGTGGTGTGTGTGTATGTGTTTTTCTTTGTATGTATATCTGCGAGTTTTATCTAAACAGCCTGATAAAAGTAGAAATAAAATATGGCAGCCAAACACACGGCAATGGGCAACAATTGAGAACCATTAGGCTTGACCACTGCTCTTTGAGATTTGGTGTTAGCCACAATCCATTGTTCAATCTATGCAAAAGAGCAAATAATAGGAATAAGCAATTTGTTGGATCAGAATGAATATATTTATACATATGAAAGAAATGTTGTTGTTGTTTTTTTTACCTTTCCAAGAGCCATTGATATTTCAAGGAAGTTTGGATCTAAGGGATCGTTCTTTTGAGAAATGACCTTGAGATATTCTCTAAAGATTTCGACCACATTATCCATGTTTGTACTGGCAGAAATCAATCGGACAGCCTCTCCCTTACGGATCTTGATGTTTTTGTGGTAAATGTCGAGGTTGTTAAAAACGAGTGCCAATGTAGCGATTGCCATGACCTGAGGAATGGCACAGAAGTTGAACACTGATTGATTGTGTAAATTGGACAGATAGCTTAATACATCTGGAACCACATGAAGTACATTAAGGACCATTGCACTTGAACAATGACGTGCCTATTTTTTTTTAAAAAAAAAGAATTGGTTAATATTTGTAGTATATAGGTATATATATATTTACTTTTTCAGAGTTTGAGGGAAGAGTGAGGTCTTTGAATTCGGTAACATAGTTGGCCCAGATCTCTCTTGGCCAGAACTGACGACCATCATCAAGGTCTTCACGGTAGTCACGGATAATATTTGTCTTTTGCAAAAAGAGACCCATGTTGTTGGCCTTAACCTTGTCTTTTGCAATAGACTTGTCTTCCAGACCAGATTCCGCAAATATATCAGACAGACCGTACCCAACCAGACCAGCAACATAGTGACAGTAGAGGTCAAAGTCCTTTATGGTTGCAACTGATGTATTTTCACGATGTTCACCTGCAGCGTAATCTGCCATACCCTTGCCCATCTTTTCGGTAATATCAGAAATCACACGCTGGTAACCTGGCTTGAGACGAAGGAATTCTTCGATAACAACATCAAATTGCACTAGCAATTCACGATCCTTTTCATTTGGACCATCTTAATAATTATCACAAAATAATAAAAATAATAATAATTAGGGTTAGGATGGTGGATGAGCAGCTTTGAATAGTAGCACCACAACAATATATGTATATAGACATTATATATTACAGACTAAGCACATAAATATATCACTTACTCTCATTAAAGTTCCACCCACGCTGGTAAATAATCTTATCAAAGGAACGCAACAAGGGTAGCTTTTTTTCAAGACTAATAGTCATGTCATCTTCTACTGTATCCAGTCCTCTCAATACAAGATAGAATATGCAAATCTAAATTAATAAATAAAGTCAATGTTATTGTTCCTTTTATATGCACACGCACATTCTAGCTTAAAAAATAGCCACAAAGTTCTTACAGCATCTCTCAGTTCATCATCGAGCTCTTGAATCACAGCAGCAAAACTTCTGGAGGTCTACATTGCAGTAAAGAATGGTTAGTAATTGAGTCTACAAAGGACATTTATTGACATTCCTTTATTATGTATATATATATATATATATATGGATATGTGTAAAGGGGGGACTGTCGTTCATTTTTTCTTATTCTTTCTTTTTCTAAAAAAATAATAACTTTACCATGTCAAGGAATTGATAACATTTCTTCTTTTGTTCGTCATTGGCCATGGTCTTTTGGTGGTTTAATTTGTTCTGTGAGGCTGGAGCAAACTTGTAGGCTAAAAGAGCCTTGAGCTCGGAGGGATGACCCAAGGATTTCAAAAAGACGCTCATGTTGTGTGAAAGATGATGATGAGTTGGTTCAATTTTTTTTTCTTTTTCTTTTTCTTTTTAATTTATTTTATTTATTTTATTATTGTTATTATTATTATTAAATAAATAAATATAAAATAAAATAAATCAATATTTGGTAGGAGTAAAGTTTATGTATATCCTTGTGAGACTAATCAATTGAAAGGGCGCAATTAATAGCAAGAATAAGGAGAGAGAGAAAAGGAAGAGGAAGAGGAGGACAATAAGAAGAAGATCAAAAAGAAGAAAAAGTAGAAGAAGTAGAAGAAGTAGAAAGAAGAATTTAAAAGAAGTGCTGGAAATTATAGTTTTATATAAAATGGACAGAATTACAGAATTACAGAATTATATTATTGATATTATGATTTTTATTTATTTATTTATTTATTTATTATTCTTTCAAAAAAAATGGTTCTATATTACCCTGTACATAATTACAAGGAGTTGATTTTCTATTTGAGATGGAGAGGGGGTGATGGGGATGGAGGGGTATTCTCTTATTTACAAAAAAAATAGGCTTATTGTTTCTTACTCTGTTTTACATAAATACAATCTATTTATCTATCTGGGTATCCTCTTTGTTTGTGGTGTCACCTTGAGAATTTAAACAATGCACTCAGAAAATATAATCAGAAAAAGAATATGTGAATTATATATTTGGAAATCCCAAATCGTATTTGCGGCTGTAGTTCTGCATAAGTATCCGAAAATCATAAATGTCTAAGCACATTGGTCTAATATATTGTAATTCTCACGACTAATTTACATCATTCCTAAGATATGTGTAATTCTGTTGCAAATTTCAGTATATATGGTTTCCATAGAAACAAAAAGAAGAAGAAGAAAGAGTATTAACGATATTCTATCTTGTTGTCATTTATGTGAAATAGACTTTCTACACCAAAGAAAACAAACAAACAAATATGTGTATTAAATATAAGGTCCGTGGTTCCCCTGAATTGGTAGTAATTTTTATTAAAAATAATAATAATATTATGTATATCTACTGATAATAATAAGTACAATCACTATCTGATTCTATAGATAACATAAATCTAAATAATCTAAAAAAAGAAAGATTTACATGTCTACAGAACAAAATATCTAGCAGTAGTTTGATAGCCATAAGCTTATCAGTAAATGATGTTCATTATTCTCAGAGTAGTGATTCTTAATACCAAGCAACAAAGTTAACTTCTTGCTCTAAATTGCAGACTCTGTAAATCTACACCTTTAAGTGTGTGTGTGTGTGTGTGTCTAGTGTAGTATGGTCTACGCCTACATGCTCTATTATAACCCTAGAATCGCCATCTCCCTTAGTTTTAACTTGCATGATTTTATGTTTTATTTTTGCTTAGGAACCAAGTTAACAAAAAAGTATAACTATATTTAAAGCCTCTCCGTCGTGTAAAAGATATTTTTGTATAAATTACTACAAGGCCTATGTTGTGTATTGACTATAACCACCACTGATAAATTTAGCTAATATTTGTGGCTGATGCTTAGCACAACAGTAACACCCAAAAGAAGAAGAAGGAAACGGTTGAAATTATGCGCACCCACTCTTATATATATATATAGCAAGTCTGGGGTTTGTAACCTGACAAACTGATGAGGCTTATATATTGTGTAATTACTAAAACTATTATTATCACTATTACTACTTCCTCTTGGACTGAGGTAACAGCAACAATAGCAACATCAGTAATCCTAATAATAGCATTGAGCTTGTTAGATCTGGTGTCATTATTTTGCGGGATCTTGGCAATTAGTGTCATTATGCAACCTACAACTGACATGTATATATAGATATATCCAATTTATTTTCTTTTTCTTTAATAAAAACAGTAGCAGTTTTTATGTACATATATTGAATAATGTGCTGGGTTGATTTTGTAATTGGTCTATAAGGAGAGGAACAAATAAATAAAATATTGAGCTTGTTACTTATCTAATTACAAGTACAAACCAAACCAACAAAAAAAAACGTGTAAATTGAGGCGCCTTTAAGGTTTAATTCAATCTTGACTTTTCTTGTTGTATTGTAGGATGTAGAAACAGGCACATATAGACATATATTCACATTATATTTACCGTTTTTATTCTACAGTTGAGCATGGCAGTCAAAAGTGTTTTTATAGCCTTTTATTTTCTTGAATAAAAATAAAGTAAATGAGAAAGCTTGACAGATGTAATACTGATATTAAAAAATAATATCTATTAAACAAGTCATGCAAAAATGTGGCGCATAATTAATAAAGAAGCCCAGGTTTAAAAAAGAAAGAAAAAGAGCTCTTGGAATATAAAAAGTGATATTTTGATTATTTTGGATGACTATCAAATTAAATGCCATCCTCACAGATGTGGAACGCGAGGAGACCAATAAAAATAAGAAAAAAAATTTAATGAAATAATGTGCCCTGAACAAGGGTAGGATTGGGGACTCTCAATAAAATATATCCACCATTTGGGTTCAAATGATGGTATTAACTACCAATATCTGTCAAGGCATTTATTAATATTAATATATATATATATTCATTCTTAAAATACAACGATATCAATAATTGTTTTTTTTTTGCAAAAAGTAAAATAAATGCTGGTAACCAAGTATTCTACAGATGGCTCAAAGTATTTACTTTACAAAGAAATCAAGCAGGTAAATTATATTATCCAGGTAGTGGGAGTCCATGTTATTTTTGTTAGTATTTTGACATGTTTTGTCAACTGCACACACGTACATAATGAAAAATACCAGACATATTTTGTATGACATTTAGGGATGCTGTAAATAATAAATCTTGTTTGTTTAGGGTGTAGATACTTTGACAAGTAATTCCATCATGTTGTTTGGTAGAGCAATACATTTTGATCTACAGCCACTAGTACTAGTACTAATACTAATACTAATACTAATACTATTACTGACACTGACACTGACACTGATACTTATATTAGCATTAATATCAATCTTGACAGTAATGTTAATGATACCCCACACGTATTAATTAAGAAAGGGATAAAGCAACGTCCTGAGTTTGTCTGTGTGCATTGAATTGAACTATTATTAATAATAGCAATAAAGAAGAAGACCATGAATACACCATTCACACAATGACAATATATATAAATAAATAAATATATGCATATGCATAAGTATGTATGTATGTATACATGTGAATATGCTTTGATTATGATAATAATATTATTTATTCACTAATTCGATTCAACTTTGATTCTTTCTTTATTCACACTCACTTGATTATTAGCCACATAATCAAACAGTGTACTATCCTATCCTATCCTAACCTATCCCCTTCTTTCATTTCATTTCATTTCACTATAAAGGCTAGAATAATAAATTAAATTAAATCAAATCAGTAACCAAAAAGTAAGGGTAGAATGATGACCAATGTTCATTGTGACATTGTGTAAGAAATATATATATATACACTCAAAGAAAGAGAGAGAGAGAAAGAAAGAAAGAACCATTCTGATGATGAGGATAAGGATGAGATGAATGTCAAATTAATTGCTTGGTTCCTGGTAACTTTGTTGGACATTCAATATAATTCATTATTCAAGTTGATTTGTGTGGAATAGTTGATTAGCTTAATATCGATAGCTAGAGCTCCTCTTTTATCCTTTCTCTTTTTTGTCAAATAAATAAATCAATTAATAAATCAATTAATAAATTGATAAAAAAATCAAAAGGAAATATTTGTTTGTCAAAGGAGTTTATTTCTTTCTCTCTTTAACTGTCTTTCTTTTTGGCGCATTTTCTTTATAGTCTAGAGATCATTAGAGAATGAAGGCTTGATGTTGATCTTGACTTAAGACTAGATTAAGAATATAAATAGGTTACATATTTAGATACATCTTTTAGATATTATTTTTATTTTTATTTTATATAATTATCTCTATTATATTTTATTTTATTTTTATTCGACGTCATTTAACTTGCGGGTCCCAAAGTCACGCAATCTCTGTCACTGTCTGTCTGTCTGTCTCTATCTATCTTTCTCTCTTTTGTTCTATTTCTATTTCTATTTCCATTTTCCATTTCTTGATTTAAGTAATCAAAAATTCTTATTTTTATTAATTTTTTAGCTTCTTTCTCTTCCTCTCTATTTCTTCTTAAGCTTTTTATTTTTATAATTATTATCTTCACTTTATGGCTCGATTTGTGTCCTTGTTGATTGTCTTGATGATCTTGCCAGTCTTGGCATATGCCTCTGTGCCATCTATTACCATGGTAACTATAACTCTAATATTATATATATATATATATATTTGTAAAAAAAAAAAAAGTAAAAAAAAGGGATCTTCAAGGCATCTGATTTTGTGTGTATTTGTATTATAAAAATAAATAAATCATCTAATAAACTAGACAACCAACAATACAATCACAAAGACTCCATTCGAAAAGCCATCAGTTACGCTCTATGCCATGATAAACTACTATAATCCCGTAAAACCAAGCAGCTTATATGCAAACCATACCTTAAATCGATCTTTTCTACTCCAAACCGCCCTATCATCTCTCTACCTACACCAACCATCCAAGAACACATTTCAGCTCAGCGCGAGTGGCTACGATCGAACGAGCAATGAGCCTTCTACGTCAGGGCCAGTATTTGCACTAATGATTGTTCTGATACTCAGTGCCATTCTATTTTAAAACCAACAAAAAAATACCCTCTAATTATTTCTACTATTCCTATTTCTACTACTACTACTACATTACTACATTACTACATTACTACACTACTACACTACTATACTACTATATTACCACTTACTGCAATTACTATTACTACTACTATTGCTATTGCTATCACATTTACACACCCACACCCACACCCACATTTACACACCCACGCCTTTCTTTATGCATTTCTTTCTTTATTTCTTTATCTATTTCTTTATTTCTTTTGCATATTATTCCTTTTAAAGAAAGTCCAAAAAAGAAAGAGGGTTGACTTGAAGAAAGAGAAAGAAAGACATGCATATATTGTATATTGTATATTATAATATTTTCATTCTTACATCAATAGAACTCTTTTTTTTATAAAATAAATACATACATACATATTTATATTTATATTTATATTTTGTGTCTGACAGTCCTTGAATTGAAACAAATAAGCGATATCTCCTGTTGGGATTATAGATTGTTCAATTATCATGTAATGCCCGGTAATGCAATGTATAGGAACCAAAACCAAACAAACAAATAAATAAATAAAAAAGAATGACATTTGTTACAGGAAGCAGACATGCCAAACATAACAAATAGACCTCTTCTCTTTCTCTTGTTACCTATACCTTTCTGTGTGTATACTATGTATTACTTGTAAATTTAAAAAGAATTGTATTATGAAAGAACAAAAAAAAAGGGAATGGGCTCCATACACACATACATACATAGATACATAGATACATAATTTCTGTGCTTGCTCAGCAATATCTTACCTGTCATGGAGAGTAATACCCGCCCATTTCTCACTTGTAGTTCTTTTACTGTCTAGAATTATTTATTTATATAGTATATAGTATATATATTATATGGAAAATCCTTGTGTAATGTTCCTCAAGTCTTCATCGGTCTATAATTTTTTTAATTTTTTTTTTGAAATCGATCTTTTTTATTTTCTCAAAATAAAAATAAAAATAAAAATAATTTAGAATACACACATATAAGAATTGTACTCCGCCTCCGTAATATATGTAATGTATATATATATATATATTGCTATGGATATAGATATATTTCATTATTTTTATTATTTCATATATATATAAATTTGTACTTCTTTAATATATGGTAAATTATAATAAAGAAGTATACATATACTTCTTTTCGTTTCCATTTCTCACTCTTTCTATTTCTCAATATATATATATAGATATATAGATATACACACACATACGTATAACATATACACAAGTACATATATGTACATAACACCTATTAATGAATGCGTCATGTTCTAGTAAAAAAAAAGAAAGAAAGAGAAAGAATAACCCTAGTCTACAACTTGTATCACTTTGATGAATGGCTGTCCTTTTTTATTTATTTATTTATTTTATTTCTCGAGTCAAAAATGATTCCATGGTGATGGACTTTTAAAATACTTTTATATATATATAAATCCTTTTGAGTACAACCATCTCGTACATAAAAAAAAATGTCACCTTGCACTTGGCACCTGCTGTCCCCGGCTTGCGACTTTTTATCCTATTTTTACCATATGCCAAGCGTTGCTTAAGAATTTCTTATCAAGCCTATTTATTCAATTCTTTTTTTTAAGCTTTTGGTTAAACTGAGCCATTTAAGAAATAACATTCTCATTTCAGACAACCAGACACAGACACAGGCACAGGCACAGGCACAGGCACAGGAGCAGGAGCAGGAACAGAAGCAGGAACAGGTACACGTTACAGATACAGATATAAATACAAAGAAAAAGAAACCGGGAGTAAAGACTATAACAAATATCCATGTATCTTTCTCTCCGGTTTGGCTTTTATGGACATTGCCTTGCACACATACACAACTATATACAACAATATATTATAATATTATAATATTGAGTTTTTGAGCAAAACCATAGGGCTTTGATATTAAGGCTTATTTATCTAGACTTGAGTTATCGTGGCTTATCTATAATCATCTTGGCTTATTCTTATCATTAATTCTAATATTCCTCATTAGAATGACTATGCAACACGCCAAGTGCCAAGTGCCAAGCACTAATTTATTTTCTTTTAAAAAAATCAAATATCTATAAATTTAAGAAACTTAGACTAAGAGATATATGATATATATGATATATATATATTATATATTTCTTTAAAAAAATAGTTTATCAAGATATACATATACACAATTAAATTAATTTCTTTCTATAATAAACTATGGAAGGCTTACGTGATAATATAGTTACATATTATCCATATTTATTCTTATTCGGAAAGGCGGGATATATTATACGCTATTCCCCTGTACATTCCACCAAAATATTATAAACCATCGCACAAACACCCACACACACCCTCACACACACCCTCACACAACCCTCGCACACGCATGCACGCATGCATGCACACATGTATACAGCAGTACCAACAATAAGCAAACTTTGCAGCCAATCAAAATTAATTAAATCGCGGATAAGTCAAAACTCCTATTTCAGGCCAATCATAATCAATTTTGTATTTTCAGAAGCCAAGTCGCCTGCTCTAAGAAAAACTCAGGCAGTGTTTTAAGCAGAATCTTTATATCCAAATGTGGACATAATATATATATATATATATGTATTTACCACTCTAAATTAGGAGACTCTGCCTAGCACTTTGTTAAGCGCTTTTTGTTAAGCACTTGGGAGGAGCGGCAACGACGTCATTGTGGTGGAGATTGACGAAAGCAAGTTTGGTAAATGTAAGTCCACTGGGATCATGCTGTCGAGGGTTGCTGGGTTTGGGCTTAGGCTAAATTTGGCTGGGTCAACAAAAGTGAGTAAATTCAGTGTTTTTCTTTGTGAACCAAGGTTCTCTCTTTTTATAATATTTTTAATGGCTACAATGGCAAGTAAAACAAAACTTGTTACTATTTTACACCAGTTTTAAATTCAAAAAGACATACAGCACTCCACAATCCCTTCGACAACACATGCAAAAGCACAATAAACAATTCCCACATCGAATAACAAGAATCAGACGATATTATAATAATGAATATACCTATCTTAAGGTTACCAACTCACACTGAAATTGAGAAGCACTTTGGCTGCCCTGCATGCATCGCTCGTTTTATGAAAATCAACGAGTTGAAGACCCATTATTATGCTAACCATTCAGAAACCTTACCAGAACAATCACTGACGACATAGACGACATAGACGACATCTCAGACGACATCGCAGACAACATCGCGGAAAGAGCCAACAGCGGGGCAACGACAAAGCTACAACAACCAAGACCAGCCTAGCAAACGTCGCTTAAGAAATGTCCTTCGAAATGAGTTTTTGGATCCATTATGCCCGTCGTTTCCGCCTCTTGATCACGATGACCATTTGTTGGTACAAAACTTCGATGCAACAAGGGCGTTTCATAAGCTGCAGCTTTCATTGTGTCAACACAAACGGAAACTATCACTCAAAGATTACATCTACTGCGCCATGGCAGCCACCCATATTTTGCTCTTGTCACGAAATCAGTATCCAGAGGATTTATCATTCTATTTCAGAAATCACGACCTCAAGGCAAGCATCAATGGGATTGAAACTAAATTTGGCATTAGAAAGCTTCCAATGTCAATGGAGACGACTACTGACACATAGTGGGTTGGTTATGTGGTGCAAATGTCCAACTCGGTGACAAGAAAATGAATACGGGTAGAAAGACAATTTTATTAAGGAACAGATAAAAAGAGCTATTTAACTACTTCGGGCCATTTCTACAGCTATTTCACTACTTTGAAGTTCACTGCGATGAGCGATACAAGAAACACCGGTGGATAAGATCCACCGTGTCACTACCAGCATGCCCGGCATCGCTCAAGATCTTATTATGGGAGTAATCAGTCGAGATAAAGCGATTGCACATCTTTTGGATCTGGACCTCCCCATAAATGAAAACAAGTTCAAAAATTGCATAATCAATTTAATTCGGAAGCTTCCTCCTGTACCTACTGCAGAAGACACCAACGAATTGGAACTTAGCACTCGATATGTTGCTCCTTTTTTATCTGGTTTATTTGACGATCCGGACGAGGACATATATATACGGTGGACTAATAAACTAACTTTAGAAGCTCGATAGCATGACAATTTATCAACAAAACGTCCCGATATATGTATAAGTCGTTTACATGGGATGACACGAGCGTCGAATTATGGATATGGGAGAGCTAAGCCAGCTGCGCAAGGTGGTAACAATTATTCGATTTGTTTGGGACTACTTTGCGTTGGTATATTCTGCAAGAATGCTCTCGATGCACAAAACATGGAAGGTGTACTGGGTCTACAGGTTATTGGAAGAATGGTTACGTTATATGTCTTGGTTTTTCCATCAACAGGACTTTATGTCATGTATGAGCTGGAAAAAATCAAGATTCCTAGCTGCTTGGACAATTTGACTAAACTTATTGTGGATATACCTCGCATTTGTCGCGTACTTGAAACCTTCAATCGCATCTGCAAACCATCAGTCCATCAAGCAATGCCAAGCCGACACCGCCCAACGATCACGACGTCTGCCTTCAATGGCGTTTTTTTTCACTATACCAAGATCGCAAACGATTATATCATTTGAAACATCAACATAGTTAGTAATAAATTCAGAAATAAGAAGAAATTATTCGATCTATGTGCGCTTTGCCGTGTTTTTGTTGTATCCGTGCGTCAATATACGCTTGTAGATATCTAATACGACATTACTCTTATATTATGCTTACAATATCCAAATATATATATGTTATAACCAATGAAATATCAGGGTAAATCTAAAAATTATGTGCGTATGAATCCTGCGTATGCTCCGAGACATATGCATGTCCAAATTATTGTTAAGTACTCCACATAGATTTAATATAAATACCTCTAACTTATGAATTTTTAATAAAGAAAGTTTATCTTCGAACTTGGTTCACAATCTGGTCATCTCCACTTGTTATCAATTAGATTTTTGTTTTACACTTTTTATTTTTAAGAATACCTCCTGGATTCATCAGTTTTCTTTATTTTATTGTTAAGCATTCTGTTAAGAATTTTGCTAGGCACTTTGCTAAGCGTTTTGCCGAACATTAATTTTGTACAACTGGTAAGAGGCAATTATGTTGGAACATGCATGCGGGCAGGCTGGGTCAACAAAAGTGAACAAATACAAACTTGCTTTTGTCATGACGTCGTTACCTCTCCTCCCAAGTGCTTAACAAAAAGTGCTAGCCAGAGTCTCTTAATTTAGAGTGGTAAATACCAAAAAAAATTGTTTGGGAACAGCCTCTGTCTCGTTTCTTGAGCGTTGCTTGGCCCTGGAAGAAAAACTTTAGCCTTTTAATTTTCTCAATTAATAAAATATTTTTACCAAAATAGTATCGAATTTTTCTTAAAGACACCAGCCATATTTTCCCAAAAACGGTAGTTCAGTTTTCCCAAAAATTAGCTCACTTCTTCTCAATATCTGGTGAAAATACAGTACACTACCGGACCGGACCGCATTTGCCGTTTTTTTTTGGAAAAAATAAAATAACAAATCGCTTAATCCTAAATAGCGAATAAGCGGTAACTTTAGCCGACAGACTTAATTTGTTTAAACATGGATTTTTGTGCACTTACACTTACATTTACACACACACACACAATGATCCGGTTCGGACCGATGTTTTGTCCGATAACCATTGGTCTCACCGGCACAACACCACATCACACTATACTGCTACACCACACCTTAACTCTATTTTGTACTATTGTTGTTAAAGGTATTTACTTTGTACAAACAGATAGATACATGCCGTTACTGTTCTATTTAGAAAGACAACTTTTTTTTATAAAAAAAATTGATAATAAAAAAAGAACAACCCTAGCTGTAGATGAAACAGGCTTGCAGTTTTATTTGTCTGATTACTCATGGCGTTTATAACAAAGCTTTGATAATTTCAATCATTTGGGTTCTCGGAGTGACAATACATTACATTACAATAGAGTGCAGTACATTTTATTATATTGTACTGTACTGTACTGTACTGTACTGTGATGTACTGTACTTATGCAAAGTAACCCGCATCAAGATACAACCTTGGTGTGTACAAATAAAACCAAGTTCTGGTTTGATTGTTTGTTTCTTTTTTTTTGTTTAGGGTTTCCTTGTCAATTGGTAAGATAACGTTTTACATGGTTACAAGAGTTGATTGGCGTTTTATTACTATGGATACACTTTAGAATCCCGTAGATTGGCAAAAAAAACCCGAATCAGTTGCCTAGACAAACAGGAAAACTTGTGTACTAGGGTTCATTTCTTATTTTTATTTTAGGATTTTTTTTTAAAAAAAAAAAAGACAAAGAAAAACCAAATTTATAAATATATACACAAATATATATTGCAAGGATCATATCAATCCTGGGTATTACCTACACACATACACACACACATATATATATATATGTGTGCGTAAATGAAACTTGTCCCTTGTTGATCCAATTGTACGGATTCAAGTAAATCCGTTCAGTTCTGCTCTAGAGTACCTTGGATGTTAAGTACTTTGGTCTTGCGCATGTGTATGTACTCAATGTGAGAAAAGCAACTCCTTACAAAGGTGGCAAAGGTTGTGGAATCATACATACATATATATATATACTTGCGTTAGTTTGTATAATTGGTTAAAGACGCGCAGCTTTCAAACAATCAAGCAAAATGGATGTGAAGATATATGACAAAAATAAAGAATTAAAGAAAGATAACAAATAAGAGGGAAACATTGATGATCAAGTATTTCTTTAGTATATTCCACTATATTTTATTTAAGTAAATCGATATACACGTATGCTTATATATCTATGTTAAATATTTGGCTTAGTAAATGCAATGTATAAGGGGGAGCTTTTTTTTTTAAAAAAAATATAGTAACAAGAAGAAGAAGAAGAAACACCATACTTATCATCACACTTATCATCATAGGTATCATTATCATTATCATTATCATAAAATTAAATTAAATTAGAATATTTGACAACAACCAAAAGAAAGGAAACCGACCCTAGAGAACTATATCATCTAGTACCCTAAATACTATTTTTATCCACGCGATCCAAAATGAAAATGACACTCTATTAACAATTTGTTTCTTTTCTTTTCTTTTTTTGGTTGCTTGGTTACTTGTTGGCTTCTAATTGACAGTATAGATCTGCTGGGTGTATTTTAATAGTAAGCATTGTCAGTATAGACAAATCATATACCGATTTTTACACACGTTGCTTCTTAATATTACATAAAGCATTTCATAAGAATCGTACACACCCGATGATAATAATACTAATAAAAGAAGGACAAAAAGGGAGGAGAAGGAGAAAGGACAAAGACTATGATGAGGAGATAAATGAGGGAAAATAAAAGGAGTTAACAGGCTGAGGCGCTTTATTTCTCCTGGATAAACCGCATATTTATCTTTTGGAAACTTTTGATTGGCATTCCATATAAACTTTCTTTTTTTCTTTCTCTTTTTGGTTGCTAGGTCGGTTACTAATAGTGACGATATTGTTGTTTCTATGTTATCTGTAGTGCGATAGAAAATTAGTTTAACTTTAGTTAAATAAGCAAACAAGTAAATATTTTATTTGATTTATCAAAGAAAAAAAAAGTTCAATGCAATTACATGATCCACTTGATTTTACGCTTTCAAAAGAAGCTTTACATTCTAGTGTATCATATTATACCATAGTGTTTGTCTGTACGAACCAATAGAGCAGTTTTGTTTTTTCCCAAAAAAAGAAAGAAAGCAAAAGTAGGGGGAAAGTGTATCTATCAAATATATATATATAAACGAAGGAATATGATGTGTATATGTACCTATTTGTGTATATATGTGTACGTGTACGTGTACGTGTACGTGTACGTGTATGTGTGTGTAGTGGTATATATGCATGTATGAGTGTAGTGTATGCAGAGAGCTTAAAAGCGTATGTAAAGAGGAGTCATCCGCTGACTAAGTTTGGTGGATGTTTTTTTTTCTTTTATTTGAAAAAAAAAAGGTTGTAGATTGGTTGCAATAAACCATAAATACATATATAAAAAGAAAAAGGTTTCAAAGGAGATTAAGGATCGAATACAAGGGTTTTTTTTTGGTAGTTAAAGAAGATCATTATTTTATATAGCTGTAGGAGTATAATATGCCCTGTAGAGCTATATATTTTTACTATGTGTCTGAATGGGTATAGGCTTTACTGACTAAATCGATTGGTTTGATATGATTTACTTTGATTGTATGTATGCATATATTCTTGCCTGTCTGCACGCCTACTTGCCTACTTGGCTACTTGTTTGTCTATATGGCTACCTGTCTGTCTTCCTGTTTGTCTGCTCATTTGCTTACCTGTCTGTCTGTTTGTTTGTCTGTCTGTCTATACACCTTGAATTCCTTTTATTTCCTTTATTTTTTTCCTTTAATTCCTGTGGCTCCTGCCTTACTGCTAATCAGTATGCAGGCGTCCCTAGTAACAGCACAAGGTACTTTTCGGAATCTTTACTCTTTTATGTATATTGTATATAACTGTTGTAAAAAGAGAAAGCGAGAGAAAGAGAGAGAGAGAGAAAAAGAGCCAAGTAAGACAATAGATAAAAAAAAATCATATAAATATCAAAGGGTTATGATTTAGTCCAAGGGCATCTCCAACAGCTCGCTTCCTCTTCTCACTTGCCTTGAAAATGCAAATATACTACCTGACAGCTGCCCTGGTTATCCTTGTAGCAATCACGGCCCAAGCCGCTCCACTTTCAGAAAGAGCAGCCGGCGAAAGTCTTGATAAGCGTTCCGGTGTGACGGTCAACTCTTCTCCGAGCATCCACCAGGAATTCACTTCCACAGATGCGTCCACCAGACCTGCCAAGGATGATGAACCCAAGAACCATGCTAAGCGGTCCGGTATCACTATTAACTCTTCTCCCAAGATTGATGAAAAGTTCACCTCGATCGACTCATCGACCAGAACCGCCAAGGATGTTGGATCCAATAATCATGCCAAGCGTTCTGGTGTCATCATAAATTCTTCTCCTAGTATTCACGATGAGTTCACTTCCACTGACTCGTCTACCAGGCCCGCCAGAGATGACGGACCGAGTAATCATGCCAAGAGGTCTGGTGTCACTGTTAACTCTTCTCCCAAGATTGATGAAAAGTTCACTTCGGTTGATTCGTCCACCAGGACACCAGCACAGAATGGTAAGACAGCCAATGCAAAACCTGCTAGTGTGATCATATACGCTGGTCCTACCATCCAGCAAGAATTTACCACAACTGACGTCTCTCCTTATGAAAATGAAGCCAATGAACCCAGATCCATTGAGCGATCATCCGGTAGGGATGCTCCTATTGCCCGTAGTCTTTTTACACGGGCCGGAAACTCTCCTGCCGCCCCTGGTACCCCGGATATTCCAAAGGTTCCTGATGTACCTACCATTCCTAATGGTTCTACTACCCCCGAAGCTCCCAAGATTCCCGATATCCCCAAGATTCCCGATATCCCCAAGATTCCTACTGCCGCAAGCATTGATGTTGCAAACATCGATTAACTAACACTCGCTTATCTTCTTAATCGAAATGAAGAAGGAAACGAGGAGGAAAAAGAAGTCGAAGAAGAAGAAGAAGAAAACCCTTATAGGCCGGCTTTCTTATCTTTTCATTTTTATTTTATTCTTTCAGGATATTCTTTTCTTCCTTAATTTTCTCCTTCCTTGACTTGCTTCTTTATTCCCTTACTTTCTTCTTTTCATTATTTCCTTTAGCTAATGGTATTTCAAACAAAACAAAACAAACCCAAAAAAAACCAAAAAAAAAACCAAAAAAAAAACCAAAATCAAAAAGAAGAAAGAAAGATATTGATCCAAAAGTTTCCGTAGTGTACTACAATTAAAAAAGACAAACAAAAAAAAAGAAAAAAAGAAGAAGAACAAATTATATATATTAAATGTGTATGTGGATATACTTCTTGCTTCTTTCAAGAAGTGTACATGCATACACACACATATATATTAAATTTATTTTATTTTATTTTATTTCTTTTGTTGTTTTTGTGGAAACACTATCCTTATCTTATTCTTTCTTTTTTGTCTTGTAACATACAGTTGTCATCTTTCTCTCCTATTTTTTCCCTCCTTTGGTTCTAGCTAGTTAACTAGCCAGTCAATATGTGGGTTCAATTCAATTCTTTACCTTACCTTATTATTGAAATATATGAATAAATATATACATAAATGTTTATTAAACATTTTTTTTAAAAAAAAAAGAATTTAAACCAATCAATCAATCAATCAATCAATAAATAAATAAATAAATAAATAAATAAATATGAACAAATCAAAAAAGTATCTTTTGAATTTTGACCTTTTTATAAAATAATAAACTATTGAAAAACTAGATATTCGCCTGTTTCAATTTTTGATACTATTTCTTTTTTCTTTTGCTGTAAAACCATTGGGTATCAAGGGAAAATCATCTCATTTGACGAACACCAAATAAAGAAATATCTGTAGTCTTTGTTAAAAGAAAGAAACAAAGCAAAACAAAATGAAATGAAATGAAAATATAGATTTCTATGCCCAATTGTGTAGGGACACTATACATACATACACATACATATGCACACAAACACTTGACTCAATGATGTAAATAATATAAACTATATATACATTTTAATAACACTAGTATCAATGATAATATTAATACTAATACTAATACTAATACTATTAACGGAGAATAAACAAACTTGGAGGGGGGAGAAACAAACAGAAAGATATATATATATATGGGTGGGTTGGTTACCAGTGCCAATAAACATTTTACCATTCTTCATCTTTAACATCGGTCAGCACAATTGGTTCGCCCAATTCAGGTGAAAAGCCAGGTTTGACCAGCCGGCTTGTAAACACTATCCGCTCTACGCGTTCTTTGCGCATCAATTGAGGTGGCAGGCAAGGGATACTAAAGTAGTTTGGAGGAGATGCTGTGGGTGGAGTTGCCAAGGCCGCTGTAAGAGGACCCCAGAGTTCGCTTGGAATACCCGACTGTGCTGGTGGTTCGGTCAGAGAAGGGTCAAAGAACATGGGTGCTTCCTTGGAGTTTTCGTAGGATACTACAGCAGTGAGGTCCGGAATGCGCAAGAGATGATCATGAGGTAAGTTTGCAATGCCGATCGGTACCACCAAATCTGCGGTGTGTGTGGACTTGAGAATCGATCCTGGGTTTTCAAACTGGATCTGGAATACCAAGTCATAGTAGACCCGCAGATGTTTTGACGCAAAAGAGGGAGATACGAGACGAGTGGGGATCTGGAAATGAATTGGTACACGTACTGAACCACTGTTGCCAGGCACAACAGCCGGAGCTTGGCTGATTATACGCACCGAGGATCGATGTGCAGTTCCCTTTTGTAGCAGCAGTTTTCCTTCGTGATGTTTGCGAAGTGTGAAATTGACTCCAGTCACCACAAGATCACTCGGCAGACATTCAATGTCTACAGTTAATGAAACAGCCTCATCTGGATTGTTGTTTCGGATAAGTAATCTTGATCCAAATTCATGACTTTTGACCATAAACAAAGTATTTTCTATTTCTTACCTGGACAATAGACTTGTTTGGGGAACCATGCATTGACACGAGCAGAGGCAGATCGCTTGTCTTTGTAGATGATGTCTGAGAACGTCCATTCTTCAGGGGGAGGTGCACAGAGAATTGGACGATAGGGAAGGACATGGGGTTTGCTGCGTAAGCCTGGGTGGAAGGAAGGTGCATCAAGGTGAGCTGACCATATGTAACGAATGCTGAATCCAGGGAGGTCGTCCATTGAAGGAGGATAATTTACGTTTGGAAACTGGAAATCATTTTTTATCGCCATCATATGATACAAACCAAATCAAATCAAATCAATACAAGAGAAACTGAAACCTCTCTTTCGCTCTCTCTCTCTCTCTCTCTCTTCCCTCATCAAGAGACTAATTTAACTCATTACACTCCCATACATATCAACCAATCATGCTTTTTACTGTACCTTCATTGCAAATGGATAACGATGCTCTCCAGGTTCAATAACTTGCCATGGATTGAGTGAGAATGCTACGAAAACACACGCATATAAATATAGAGAGATGAATAAACCTAGCCTTTGAATAGTGTAGGGCTTATATCATATCAAAACTCTTTCATTTAATGCTTTACTCACCACTAGTTTCACTTCCCCATATTTTTGAGTCAATTTCAAAGTATGTGGTTGTCATTTGGTCAATGCGGTCAATCTTGGTGTCCAATCCAGACTCTCGCACCTTGACTGTTGCAGTCTCTTCAGCTCTAAACTATTATCGATTTTTCATTTTTTTTTAATTCAAACTATTTTTGTTGTTGCTGTTGGAATTTTTATCATCTTACCTTTATACGTATTTGACTGGCGTATATACGCGCCATAGTTATCAATACAACGTGGCCTTTATATAAAAAGAAGTAATAGATTCATCAATATTTATATACCATGTATGTATTTCAAACCAGATTCAAATATCTTGTACATCTTACCTCGTACAACTCTATTTGGTCGAATGATAAGCTGGTGACCTCCTTCGATTTCAATAGTCATCTCACTAGGCTTTATTTCCGAGGGGTTTGGAGTAGGAGGCATCGAATGGTTTTTGGTTCGATTGGAAGAGTTTCCGGATACGATATCGGTGATGTGCTGTGATATTCTTCGAGAGGAATTTGAACTTGAGGTAGAGTTATCTGAAGACGTCAGCATAGTGTTTGTAGAAGATATGGTATTCATTCTTTATCTATCTTTATGTGTTTGTACAAAAAGGAGTCCAAAGAAGTAAAGTAAGAAGAAGAAGAAACAAAACCAAAAAAAAGGTTATTGATTTCTTTTCTTTTCTTATTTTTTTGCTTTTACCTTAATCACCTAACTTTAAGCGGGAAAATAAAATGAAGAGTTAAAAAAGAAGGTCCTGAATAGCGAGATGATTCTTTGACAACCATGACGTCTATCAATTGCCTATTGTGGATATACCTAGCGTCATCAGATGTACCTTTATTACTTTTTTTTTATTGTCACCTCAATAATTTGCATTTCTCTAGCACGAATATTTTACATACATATATTCTTATATAAAGGCTATTTGGAATGACTTGGTTCGGTGGCAACTCACATAATATTATAAGCCAAGCTAAGCCAAGCTAAGCCAACCCAAGATATAGAAGAACAAATTGGTAAATATAAAGAGGTATAAATTGAGTCTAAATAACGGCCTTTTTCTTTTTTTTTTCTCTCTCTAAAAAAATTATATATATTTACACTTTATTGACACTTTGATGATCCTTTCTCTGTTTGTTTTCAACAAAAAGTACCAGTGATGTATGGACAGATGATTCAAATGAAGAATAATCGACTCTGATTGGTCTAAAATATTTTACTCTATTAGTTCAACACCCATCTCATTCGACCAATGAAAAAACAAAATAAAAATTACAATTAAATGACCAGATGAATCTTGTTAATAAATATTATTAAGAGAAAAGGAGATAAAGAAGGGGAAGATATGAAACACATTAATAAAGTAAATAAGCAATGCAGAACGAGAGCTTATTTCTATTTTACCAAACCTTGCCAGCAAAACATTTCTTGATAGAGACATACAAAAGTTCAAGTCTTACGCACCTTCTTTGGATAGATATTAAAATATATGCTTGTAAATAAAGTCAATGGTCCTATACTTTTGTCTTGTCTTTTCCTTTATTGGGCCCAACTTATGAGAGTAGGCTTACAAGAAGTACATTCTCAATCGTAAACACACACACAAATATTTAGACTCATGGTAAAAGACGTATTGTCTTTTCTTATCATTACTGTCCTTATTAATATTATTTAACAGCAAGAAAATAAAAATAGCCGTGTATTCATGAGAATCTTTGAAAAGAAGATTTTTCTCTCAAATTGCCTTTTAATCCATCTATTTCCGTTCAATTGAAAATGTATAGGAATAAAATACGAATAAATAAAAAGATGCTTATTCTATTTTAGCAAATTCAACAAAAATGTGCTACAATTATTATTTTATTTTATTTTTTAAACAAAAAATCGCAGTAATAAACAGAAACGTCGTGTCCCACAAGAAAAAAGTAGGCCCCGTGGAATCACTGATAGCTTCAAGAGTTAAATAAAAGGGCAATCAAAACAATCGAATTTTTTTTTTAAAAAAAAAACACAACGACCAATTAACCTTTCCAGAGGGTATTTTATTCGTTCTCTTAAGCCATCGTCGGCTTACAGTAAAAGCGGTGACATTTGCTGGAGTAAGAGACTTTATGTTTTAATTATTATAAATTACAGGTTAATCAGACGTTGCTTTTAAATCTTTTTAGAAAGTGGGACAAAATGGACTATATCTGATTTATAGACTTTAATTGCCGAGACTGGTACAGTCTTTAGTTATAGTACTGTATACAGCATTGATTATATTGACGCGCTCCAGTATTAGCTATCAAATTTGCCTTTTGTAAATTCTTTTGAATTATTTCAATTTAATAATATATATATTTATATATAATTGTACCTAACCTGTCAATGTAATCCTCGGGTTTCTTTTGTTGTTGTTGTTAACTTTATTTTATCCGCAAAAGATACACAATATGCAAATTACTACGGGAATTGGAACATTGGAAACATCCTGGACACATTCATTCTCTCTATTTCAAGACAGCTTAAACGAAGAGTTTATTTGATTACGGGTCTTGCACGACATGACAGACTTATGATTCTCTGACAATTCCCCTGCCTTGATTGTATGAGCGATACTTGTGTTTGAAGAGAAATTCAGCCAAATCAAATTATTTTGTTACCTTTGGGATTCAGTAAATTGATCACAGGCGATAACTTTACTTAGAACGTCGACGAGTGTGAATGATAGGCCAGTTAAAGGCCGTCATATTTACAAGACCAAGGTCAATGCATCATGGAGCATCAAACATTAATAAAACAACACTGGCCTTTTTGGCAATAGATGAATAATATGGACGCAACTTGGGTCTCGATTGGATATGTGGGAAAGTCAATTACCAAATAATCGGATATAAATACGACAGGATTATTGCAACTTGATGAGGAACAAATTGCAAAATCACTATTTTCGTTCCCCAAACTACGCTTTTTTCACAGCAATTAACCACTCACGACTATCATGGAAAGAGACCTTAATTTGCTCGAAAGAAACACCAACTCTGCCTTGAATTATACTTTATTTTACAAAATGGGCAAAGATATTTATCTAATTATATTCGAGTGTCAAAAAATCATGGTGACACTACATCATTTCAAGCAAATGTGACACGATACAGGTTTTTCGGACTCAAATGAGCTTCTTTTTTGTAAACTTTCGTGTTTTGGTGAAAATTAAATGGGAACAGTTCAAGTATCGAAATTGTGATATTTGGATACTTGGACATGAAAATAAGAATTATGAAATATGATTGTGTATCATATTTGTTTTATTTAAAATCAGCAAAAATTTGATAGCAATAAATTAAATCTATGTACTCCAATGTATATAGTCGATCTCTACGAGCAAGGTCAGCTAAGGGAAGGGAAGGTGGCAGGGGAAATCATATTTCATACATTTTTATTTTCATGTCCAAGTATTCAAATATCACAATTTCGATACTTGAACTGTTCCCATTTAATTTTCACCAAAACACGAAAGTTTACAAAAAAGAAGCTCATTTGAGTCCGAAAAACCTGTATCTAAAAATATGACTTCCATTTCTGAAAATGTGAAATTGATTTTTTATTGGCTAGCGATATTGATTCTGACTTCCCCAGCGATACCGGTTATGATTGGCTGGAACTTTACTTGTTAGAAGCACTATAAAGTGTTTCCACATCTACTAGTCGCATTTTTCGAAATCTGTGTTGCACTTTATTAAATTAACTGTCGCATCTTCGGGGGTTTTTTTGTAGGCAACATCTATGCTACCAACAAATCTAAATCGAAAATGCGACACCCAAATTTGATAGCCCGACAACTTATTTTCAAAAGTGCGACAAGTAAATGTGGAAACACTGTACTAGAAATAAAAAGCAAAAAAAAAAAAAAAAAAAAAAATTAATTTGACAAACCAGGTTGTGATTACATTTGTGATATTGTCATATTTACGTCTCCGAGACACCCACTAAACCACCACTGACGCCCCTCTCCCTCCCTTCTCTCTCTCTCTCTCTCTTATTTATATTCCTTTTTCTTCCTTTCTCTCTCTTTCTCTTTCTTCCTTTTTTGCCTTTATATTTTTCTATTCTTACTGTAATGCCATTTTCATCAAACACAGACAATCAACCAAAATCACCAACATCGCCACCAGCAGTAAGACGATCAAACTCTACAATGCCTCGCAAACAAAGACGAAGATCCTGGTTTCAGAATTCTGTCTTCTTTTCATTATTTGCATCTGCGCCTCCTTCGCCGGTACATGAAGTTACCTGTCAAAAACAAAGATCCCATTCACTCGATCCAGACGTAGGAACACACCACAAACCAACCCGATCGCCAACCTTGAATCTGAATCTCGGAAAGTCGACCATTCAGTCCTTTCTCTCAAAGGCTAAACGGTCAAATACCAAACGCTCTCCGACCCAGATCAACGACCCTTCACCAATCGTCTTGGATGAACCGGCGGATTATTTTTCAATCAATACATCGGACCCCACACAAACAGCGGGAACCATAGGAGGTGATGGGGCCAGAAGATACAACCCACAGTTGATATTAACAGATAATGTTCTGGCGTCTGTTCATCCTCTCCAACCTCAGCCACCACCAGCCCATAAATACCATCACCATAAACATGCCTCTGAACCAAACCATTTTCTCAAATCCGATGACGATGAAGTCGACCGAATTCAACTCAAGAACGACCTAGTAAAACTTGCCTTTGAAGGGTAAGATAATAGTAACAGTAACAGTAATAGTAATGGTATTTGATAATGATAATACCTGCGTAAAAATGACGTCTAGATTGTAATCATTATTTTAAACTAAAAAAAATAATATATATATTTATTAATTTATTAATTTATTAATTAATTAATAATGTAATATAAATATAAATATATGTAGAGAGTTCAAATTTCCATTTCGATTCCAGGATCTAAAGAATGGTAGGATACTTGACGTTGGGTGTGGACCTGGATCATGGTGCATTGATATTGCTCGCAAGTACCCATCCGTTCAGGTCATTGGGGTGGATAGCGAAGATATGTTCCCAGATCCAGTAACAGTACCAACAAACTGTCAACTGGTGAGATACAATGTACTCGATGGCCTGAGTGCCTTTGAAGACAATACCCTTGATTTTATCCACATCCGGTTTATGGCCCTGTCATTCACAGTTGACCAATACACCAAAGTAATCAAAGATTGTTGGCGTATCTTACGGCCAGGAGGATACCTTGAGATGATGGAAGCAGACATTACAATATATTCCCCTGGGCCTGTTACAGCCAAGTTTAACAAAGAAGGTAATTTAAAATTCATAAATATATACATATATATATATATATATATATAAGCATCACTCACTCACTCACTTACTCACTTGTATATTTTAGTTGCAACAGTGGCCAATGATCGCGGGTTCAAACCATGGTTAGCACGACAGCTAGCAAACCTGGTTCCAGAAGATGCTCTTAACAGACAAGAAAGATACAGATCCTTGCCATTGGGACTGTGGGGTGGTCGCCTCGGAGTCATGTTCAGGGACGACATGCTTCACATACTAACAAAATGCAAATCTTCCATTCGCGACTTTTACAATCAACCGGCTGAGCCTGAGCAACAAAAAGCCTTTGAACTCGAGCTGGCAGATATATCTCGAGAAATGGAACAATACCACAGCTACAGCAATTTCCACTTTATTACTGTACAGAAACCAGAAAATATTACACAACAACAACAATATCAGCAGCAGCAGCAGCAGCATAATAATAACAATAATCTTAATCTTAATTCTAATAATTCTAATAATAATCTTAATCACAATCTTAATAATACTATAGCCAATAATAATATTAATACTAATACTAATAACAATAATCCTACTACTACTACTACTACCACTACCACTACCACTACCACTACCAATACTAATACTAATACTAATACTAATACTAACTCTACTACTACCATTGCTACTACTACTACCAATAATAATCACTATAACAATTATTATAATAATAGTATTAATAATAACAATATTAATAATCCTTCAATAAAGCAAACCAATATGCGGTGAAGTTTCTTGTTTGCCCAAAAAGAGAAAAAAGCAGTCATATCGAGATCCATCATTTTGTATATAAAAAAAAAAGAACAAGTGTGGTGAAGCATAAAAGGAAAATTCCAAGTTTCTTATATCTCTCTCTCTCTCTCTTCTTTCCTACTGCTATTACTACTACTGCCACTACCACTACTTCTTCTTATTTCTTCATTTATTACCTTTCTCTTTTTTCTTTTTTACTATTTTTATTAATATTTGATGGCAACTGAGGCCAACCAAAGAACACCTTTGCTGGCCGATGGTTCGGGGTCCAAGTCAGCCAAACCACCCGTCAGTCGTCCTCGCGTTAGACGCCGACGGTCTTCGTTTGAAGCCTCTACATACAACTCTACCGGACAACTATTCCAATCTCCTGCAAAAGAAGAACTGAGGACAGAACCTGGTTTGAGTCTTTTACAGATTCTTGCCCTCACACTCTGTATGGCCGGTGTTCAATTTACATGTAAGAAAGCAAAAGGTTACAAAAAGAATACGAGCGATCAATATTCCTGACATCATCTTGCCTTTTATTGATGTTCTTTATTTTATTTGAACTTATTATATATATATATTTGTATGTTTGTGTGTGTGTGATCCAATGACATTCAATACTACTACTACTACTACTACTACTACTATATTATAATTAATATTCTGCAGGGACCGTTGAGCTCTCGTAAGTTATATATCTATATATGTATATTGTGTAAATTTCCAGATCGAGAAGAAAAAAATATATATAGAAATTTCTGACGATGATAATTTTGGCTTATAGATACGGAACCCCTTATTTGCTTTCACTGAACCTCTCCAAGGATCTCACTGCTCTTGTATGGTTAGCAGGTCCATTGTCCGGACTCATCGTCCAACCGGTAAGATATTTTGTGAACCCAAAAATAATAAAGAAAAAAAAATATTCAAAAACATCTATAAAAATCACACTAGGTGATCGGTGCTTTCAGTGACAAGTGTAATTCCAGGTTTGGTAAACGACGCCCATTTATTGTATTGGGTGGCATCTTGACTTGTTTATCAATGATCGGTGTGGCATACGCCAAGGAAATCGGTACCTCTGTGGCTATTCACCTTTACCCCGATGCCAACAACGAGAAATTGTTGAGAGAGGTAAGAATATCAAACATTCTGGGGGAAAAGAGGAGGCATTTGAAAAATAAGAAGGCGAAGAAGAGAAAAAGGGCAAGGGCAAGGGCAAGGGCAAGGGCAAGGGGAAAGGCGAGACAACGAGAGGGAAATAATCACATGACGATATTAATCTTTTCATCTTTTTTTTTCAAACTCGATATAGGTTCAGCGTTACTCCATTGTAGTGGCAGTGACCTCATTTTATTTTCTGGATTTTACCTTGAATGCTGTACAGGCCATTTGTAGAGCTCTTATTCTTGATATTCCACCATTGTGGCAACAAGACTATGCAAACGCATGGAGTGCACGCATGAGCAATTTAGCAATGGTTATTGGCTACTTTGTCGGGTTTTTGGATCTAGTAAAGTACTGTCCCTGGCTGGGTGACTCCCAGATTAAGGCTTTCTGTGTGGTGGCAATCGTTGTATTCCTCTCTACACTTGCTGTAACATGTGTCACTACTGACGAAAAGAAGCTTACCCGAGAAGAACCCGAGGATTTGTAAGTAATTAAATGAAAGAAAAAAGATTGGAACTCATAAGAAGGTGATACTAAAAAATAAAATAAAAAAATGACGGATATGTTAGGCCATGGTACAATACCTTTCTTTACATCTGGCGCGCCTTCCGCTTCTTGCCACGACCTATCCAGACACTCTGCAACACACAATTCTTTGCCTGGATGGGATGGTTTCCATTTCTGTTTTACAGGTATATACATACATATTTACACGGACTTACATATAATAAACATAATGCGTTATTATTCACAGCACCCAGTGGGTCTCGGATCTCTACTTTATTGCTAACCCACCACAAGAAGGTGACGATTGGGCAGAGGGTACTCGGGCAGGGTCATTTGCTCTTTTGTGTTATTCGCTCGTGTCTGTCGTTGCCGGTATTGTGGTCCCTGATCTGTCAGCAAGATTCGAAAAGGTCAAGATCTTCTCACTCCTAAATATCTACACCATCTCTCACCTCATTGTTGCCGGTGCCCTTCTTTCAGCATGGTTTGTAAGATCTGTCACGGCTGCCACCGTCGTCCTGGCCATAATGGGTATCCCTTGGGCAATCGTTCTCTGGGTTCCGTTTTCCTTGGTGGGTGAGTATGTGAGTTTTGAAGACGAGCGCCGCCAAATTGCAGCAGCCGCCGCAGACCAAACCCAAAACCTCACAAATCATCCTTCACCATCATCATCGACTGTCGTACGACTTGAAGAGCAGAAAGAGGAGTTTGATGCTGGCATGATTCTGGGCGTACACAACATGTACATCGTCTTTCCTCAATTCGCAGTCGCCATCATCTCCTCGGCAATTTTTGCTGCAGCGGACACAATTCATGACGGAGACAATGAATCTTCTAGTATTGCTCCTGTCCTGGCATTTGGTGGTTTGATGGCACTTGTTGCAGCTGGTTTCAGTAGATATGTAATCCGTGTAGGATAAATTATTATTAATATTATATATATATATGTTTGTTCTTTTGCTTAATATCCCTTCTTTTATATATATATATATATACCATCCTTGTATTCTTTATCCAATATATAAAAGCCCTCACTTGCAATATTCCCGGATTTTACACATCAAATTTGATAAAAATAACGAAAATAATAATAATATTATCAAATTACTATAAAGTTAGTTCTGTATATAAAATGTGTTTGTAAAGAAATATATATCCAATTAATATATTATAAGAGGAATTATACAGAAATACAGTGCCTTCGTTACTCTTGTCTTAATCTGCAGCCATTAGAGCATCTTCAGCAGTAACTTTTATCCCGACTTTTATATCGCATTTGGACTTTTATCTAAAGTTAATTTCCCAGCAGTTCCTTTTATTTTATTTTATGAAAAGTTTATGGTCCTAAATTTTATCTAGCTGCTATATTTGACAGGGATTTAAAAGTTCTAGCTGAAAGCACTCTCAAAATTTATTTAAAAGTTAGAGAAAAAATTAACTGCTGGGCGGGGTGGCTTTTTTTATGTAAAAGTGACAATTTTTGATCCCAGATAAAATAAAAGTTAGCCGACTGCTGAAGATGCTCTAAAATTGAGTATTGGAGATGCTCTAACGATTCATAATAGGGTGTTTCAGCAGTTTTAGATGTTTAGATTTTACTTTTGCGGTAACTCAATACGTGAGCCAATGATAATTGATATGAAAATAAAGCTGTAGAAAGCTTTCGTATTTCTTTTTGCTCTTAATTTTATTTTCTTATGAAATATTCATAGGCAAAATTGGAGAATCTAAATTTGCATTCTATAAACAACTAAGGGTAGTCCTTAGTTGTTTATAGATTGAAAATATCTCAAATTTAGATTAGTAAGAGCCAATCATTTAACAAATTAAACCACCGCAAAAGTAAAATATAAACATCTAAAACTGCTGAAACACCCTAATATATCTTTTTATTTTTATTTTTTGGTAAGGTGATAAGACAATAATATACTCTCCATTATATAAGCAAAATAGAGACTCTTGCTAGTTTCACCCATATTTTCTAATTTATTCTGTACACCTTTGAATCGTACAATACGAAGAATATTTGAAACTAATCTCCCGCCCAACACAGGGTATCCCTAAATTTTAATATTTATACATATCGTGTCCCTAGAACAAGTAAAATTTAAAAGCGTCGTGTCCAACCCAAACCTTGTGTTCTTCGAATTAATAAAAATAAAGCGTTGTGCCCATCACCAAAAGTAGTGTCCGTAGAATTAGTAAAAATAAAACGTCGTGTTCAGGATCTACAATTTTACCTGGTCCCTAAGAATTTGTAATAATTCGCTTTTATGTATACTTATCATACGAATTAGCCCTAACATGTTTTATAAAAACGTGAATATCCTATTTACTAGCTTTTTTAACAGTTTGCTGATTTTTTTTTTTACCTTATAGTTTGAAGACTACGGTCCTGGTCTTTTTTTTTTGAGGGGGAGCTTAGGAAATACAGGCACGCATTTTTATCCTTTATTTCATAGAGATAACCTAATATTCAGGATTACTCATTTTCATTCTTTGCGAAATTGAAGTGAATGCTTTTATTTGTATTCATAAATATTTGCAAAGAGCAATCATAGCATAATACTCAAGTTAAAAGAAAAAATAATGATAGAGAAATCCATAAAATGTGTGTATGGGTGTATGGACATATGTTTTTTTTTTAAAAAAAAAATTCCATTTCCATTTCATTCATTTTGTTACCTTGGAAATCTTGCATGCACCAAATTCAGTCCCAGTCCCCAAAGTGGTCCAGTCACATCAGGAGGGGGGCGTGCTCACTAAGACGGTGAGCAATATGCGAAAACCGGAATACGTAAATCACCCATGAATGGGAGATACCTTTTTTTGATGGATTTCTGTTCACAGCGCATTAATGGCAGATATTAAACGATTTGTCTTTGTTGAACGAAAACGGGTTCTCACCATAGCTGCCACATGCGGTCTAGGAATTGTCTCAGAAAAAGAAGAATTGCAAGGATACCAGATCTACATTGTAGAACAATGGTAAAATATGAATAAGAGGAGAAAGAAGAATGTATAGCAGCAACGAAAACAGTAGTGATTTTAATAATAAAGTACCAAAAAGTTTAAGAGAAAAATGCTTATAATATCAATCGGTAATAAATAATTGGTAATGAACACAAAATATGCTTCATTAGGATGTGCGATCGTACCATGCCTTCGAATACAGTCAAGGTATTCACTGGAGACCCAACCCACAAGGTATATATATATATATATATGCTAGAGAATTAGAAAAAAAAGTGTTTGATAAAAGCTTCTTTCTCTTTTTTTTTCCAAATCTCATATATGCAATATTTTGTAGATTGATGTATGCGTTATTGCCATGACCTCCGCCGACTTGCAACATCCTAGACCAGAAATTAAACCATTCTTTGATACTGGCATGCCTTTAAAATTCAAATCTGTATGGTTTAATTTTTGTTATATATAAAAGAAAAAGAGATTTTTTTGATATTATATATATATATATATGTATATATAATCGATGTGCTAACCATGTATTTCTATCTATGTGGGCGTATATTAGACACCTCAAGGAGACATTACGTTAACAGATCCAAGTGAACTTCCTTATGATATGGATATGGTACTAGTACCAAATGGAGATTTCGATGGCTGGGTCAAGCAAGCATATGTTAATATCAATCTTCGGCGATCGAATTGCACTGGTCGAAGTGCACTTAACTTACGGAAGCCAAAGTAAACATCTTTTCTTCTTTTTCTTCTTTTTTTTTATGAACAAGCACACTTAATACTTGGTTAAATATACATGTCATGTTTAAATTTGCGACACAAATAATAATTTTGCGTTGTTTTGCATACGCATAGTCCAGCATCGGAAGAGAAGTTTAGGTCAATCTACAAAATCTCTGACGCTGTTCACTTTGAAGACGCTGTAATCAATCTAGTAATTCTTGCTCAAATTGCACTTTATCTCTTCAAGTTGCTTCCGAGAGATTACATTGATGGGTTGGTATGCAACGACACCATTAATGCCTTTCGAGAGTTTTACTTGAACTACCATCCTCACAAGTCATCAGAGGTATATAAAACACACATAATATTCAGTAATGCTGGATAAAATATCGAGAAACTAAAAAACTAAAAACAAAAACAAAAATTCCAAGTATCAAATCAAGGAATTCTGGATGGAACCTCATCTCTTAACAGCTCTTATCACAAAAATTATTGTATGCAGAAATAAACTCCAAACTTATGGATTTACGGTAAAAGAAAGAAATATATATATTCTATCTGATTGTTTTACTTATATTTACACTTATATTTCTCAGGCAGTTAAAGATCCATTCACTGAATTCGAGACATTTCGATACGATATTGAAGAATTCCAGGTAAGCTAAAGCAAAAATGTACCTGTGTTCATACGCTTTATTTTACTATATTCAGATATTGATTTCTCACACTACAATTTTAGCGAGTCAAAAATCTAAAAAGAACGAGACTGATAGATCTAGAGACACTCGAGAAATTGAATGAATATTCTCTTAGTCAACTGAAAGTGCGAAAAGTCCTAAAATCTAAATTAGAAGACATATCAGGTGCAAATAACTTGCCTCTATTCGTCGAATCGTCAGACCCAGAAGTATTTCGTCGACACGCCACTCTTGACTCACTAAGACTTGTATGGAGACCTCGCATGAAAAATGGATTTGGAAGTGATAACGAGCGACAAACAAACGAGTTTATGCACATGATAAAAGGCGTATCTGCAAGAACGGTAATTGATTTCTTAATTTTTATGAGTTTAAAACAGAAACAAAAAATATATATATATTAACATTAAATAGAGCAGAACCACTGGAGCAGCAGCAGAGATCCTATCAAAAGTAGCAAAGTAAAGAAGGAGAATACATGACTCATACAATATAACATGGTATAATGATATTAATCTAATGCTTATAGTTCGTTGCCTTGGACTACAGGCGCAGAACAAAAGCAGCCGAAAGAGCACCGAAGTCGCCTATCACATAAAAAACCAACTGTAAAGATACCAGCTATTGCTCAGCAAGTAATTACTTTAGCCAAGCCTGCTCCCAGCAATCAACAACATGTACCGCAATTACACCCAATGAAAACAACAAGTTCTCTCGGTCAGATAGTTGAAGAAGATTCTGAAGTACCAAAGTCAGTGCCTGGAAGAAAGGCGTCACCTTTATCCATGGAAACCTACCCATCTTCTGATGAGGATATGTACACATACAGGTAATTCGTAATTTGATTTGAAAGCTGGGTTATTTACATTAATACGGATATTTTCTGTAGCCAACAATCAACTGCAGATAACACCTCTTCAAAGGGTATTTCAGAACACACTGCACAAGGTATATAATAAACTGATAGTTTATTATAAATGCTCACACAAGCCGATTGTTTTGTTTCTACATACTGTAAATAACCTAGACCTTCCTTCCTTTGTCCGTGCTCATCCTCCACACTTCCTCACCCAAGCAGATTCATATTCCCAGAATCTTTCATTCCAACATGTACACTCTAATTCTGCTGATATTCTCCACAAAAAAACCATATCTAATGATACAACTCATGAAGCACCTAAACGCCTGCGCTCTGTTTCTGATAGTGCCATCAGAAGTAGTGCGTACACCCATCATGGCTCTCAATCTTCGACTTCCATTCAATCTTCGCCAATATCTCCTCAATTTTCCTCTCCTGTCTTCTTGCACCAGCCCAACCACCCACTTTCCCGTAATCGAGCTTATTCACTCATCATCCCATCACAAAATAACAATAATATTACAGAAACCATGCTATCTAATCGGCCGTCAATTTATATGGATGTCAAAACATATTTGTCTTATGAGCGGCTGAAGAAACAACACACGGCTCTTGAAAAAACCTACCATCAATTACAAAATATGGCACGCGAATATGAAAAGACTGCACACCAGTTGCGTGCTACTCATCAGCGACGATTTAAAGAGTTTGACAAAATTCAGTCTAATGCGCGCAAGGTGATGGACGATCAGCAGGAGACAGAGAGACGACTAAAATCCGTAGAAGAAGACAGTGCTAAACTTCATTATGAGCTCAATGTCTTGAATGACTATTTGAAAGACATGGAAGACAATGTGTCTATGTTTTACGGGAAGATCGGAATGTTAGAGCGTAAGATGGATGACTCCCAGCAGTCAATCACAACCATGTTGATTATTGGAAACTACTTTCGATATTATTGGCGAAAGGCCCGGAATTTTCTTGGATTATAGTGACCGATAATATTTTGGATTCCAAACAATACCCCCCCTCTTTTAAAGAATACTATTCTATTCTGTTAAATATCATTTCTTAAAAATATAGATACGCAAACGAAAATACTCAAACTTACACACTTACATACTTACATACCTATACACATACATATTCATATTCATATACACTTCTAAATAATACTCTTTTATTAATATTAATATTTTTTTTGTTTCAATTTTTTTTAAAGAAAATCCACTCGTAATATATAATTATATAATTATATAATATTATACTTTCTTTTGTTTTGTTGGTCTTTCTGAATCACACTTTTCACTAGGTCGTTTCTTGACCTTTGCTTTTCGCCATCGATCAACAACGTTCTGGATACGTTTGCTTTTGTGAAGACGAGTTTTGTGTGGCGTCTGATACTCGTCTTTTTCTAATGGGCTAATAAACCTATTGATAGTAGACTGTGTGCCCAATGTCTACTCATATCACATATGCGTATAACATGGATAAACATTACAGTTTTCAAAGTTAATATCATTATATCAATCTATCCATAGACATTGTTTCTTACCGCTCGTTGATTCATTTGGCGTATAACGGGAAGTAAAAATTCGTCTGTTTTACTGTCAGGCCACCCGAATGCTTCCATAAGAAACAAGCGTAGGGTATCTAATTCGGGCATCTTCCATTCGGGAATACTTGGATGACGATCAACTTTGGGATTATAATACGCGTCTTTCACCGATGAATCAGGAAAATTATCTGGTATCTCTAGCTCTCCGTGCTTCTTTCTCTACACAAACAATCAAGTAAATAAACATTAGTATCGTTTGTGAGCTATATGTCTATATAAACATACAAATCTGCGTTGAAATGCTGTCGTGTCATTGCCCTGCCGATACCAATCTCGGAACCTTTCAAGAGGAGCTTCGAGTGGTTCATTTTCATCAATTGCATAATCTGCATCAATAGGGGCCGAGAACTCGGCCAAGAGCTCCAGTGCTGTAACAGGCCCGATTCCTGGAATACCGGTAGTGTAATCACTTCCAAGAAAGAAAGAGATTTGGATCAACTTGCGCCTATCGAGCTGCATTTCCCGTTTAATGTCTTGCATATTATAAATTTCGGCATATTTTTGTTGACTAAAGAGGTTCTTGTAAACACATGTTCCTCCAAAAAGAAATACATCAGAATCGTCTGTAATGATTCCTTCGATCGCAGATGATTCGAGAAGAGCAGCGCATTGAGCCTCTGCTTCCATCGGAGACACTATAAACGGAATTCCAAACAATCGTAGCAGTTCCTGATAATTATTATGATTATTATGCTTGTTATTGGATAGAACATACTGCTGTACGGGTGGGTTATATTTGATACTGTTATAACCCAAGTTTATGCAAGTGTAAGGACACTCTAATTTACCTGTATATCCTGAATCATGTTTTGTGTGATTTCATCAGATAAACCTTTCTTTTTGCTTAATTGAAGATTGAGTTTCTCCATATCATCATCAAGCTCTTTACGCACACTCTCAATATCTTTGGTCTTTATGTCAGAAATAAAACGTGCATATTCATTTTGCTCTTCATCCATATCAATAATCTGTTCTTCATCCGGATCATCTTCATCACTTTCGTCTAGAGCATCAATATTCTCTTTGGGTTTCTCCTCGGATTTAGATTTTATGATCTGCTCAAAATCTGTCTCGACATTTTCTTTAGGTTCAAGATACTCTAACTTTACATCCGAGATTGGCTTGTGTTTTATGTCCTCGGAAATAAAATTCTCGGTCAGACTAGATTCAATATCAAAATCTGGACCATCTTGAGCTTTTGGTTGGACTTCGTTAGTGCCCCCAGGCTCTTTCCTGGACTGAGGATCTTCTTCTGCAAAGTCTTCAGTAGTAGGGACTTTATCGCCAAGTATAGAAGAGACCAGGTCAACCGATCCTTTGTATAAAGTATCCGATTGAGCACCGACAGTGGGAGGAATGGGCAAAGACGTTGCTTCTTCAAATCTCATTTCGCCTTCTTCGTCTTCATCTTCGTCCAACACCATTGCGTCTTTGTCAATTATCAAAGAGTCCTGTGGTAATGATTCTGCATATTCGAGAAATGATATGTTTTCTTCCATGTGTGATTTCCATGCAATGACAGATTCCAACATACGAATATGAAAAGTATGAGCTTCAATAGACAGTTCATTACTATCTCTTGTCTTTCCAAGAGACTTTTGAACCGAGTCTCGTTGAGATTTTATAGTATTGACTGGGTCAGTAAATACAGCATTGTGAATCAGTTGCTTGTGTTCATCGTTGAATGAATGCATATATATAAAAGAATCCGGAACTCGTGATAGCCACAGATTGTAGAGTTCTCTTGCACTTAAATTTTCTTCGTCAATTTCTTCTGATTTGGTTTCTTTTGGCTTGGTTTCTTCTTCAAAAGAAATTATATTATTTCCATAGATTTTTTCCAGGACGTGTTGCATTGTCTCATCATCTTGGGCATATGCATCCATATCATCGAGAAGAGAGATTTGTTGCTGTGGTTGTGGTTGTGGTTGTGTTCGTGCATCGGATATAGGTTTTGAAGGAATGTCAAACAAGGGCTCATCATCTGTATCGTTTGCATCCATCGATTGAAAATTTGCGGGAATATCATTAGATAAGGCGTCTTCATTTTCATTCTCGTCTTCTTCCTTCTCTTCATCTTCATCATTAAAGAATCCTGTCATCATGGCAGCAAGTTCTGGGTTTGCCATTATGGCGTCTTTTACTTTGTCTGATGTGCTATATCAGACACATCATACCGTTATTGGCTTTATTTGCCGGTATTCTATCGTATATATATATGTATGTATGTATGTATATATGCATAATATGATATAGATTATGCTTACCTAGGAACCACCACTTCCATCTCTTCGTCCACTTCATCCTCTTCATTGATTTCATTGCTTTTACTGTCATCATCATTTTCATCGCTTTTGTTGCTTTTGTCATCTTTTACAACAGTAGATTCTGGAGTCAATAGACCAGGTAATCGCCACCCTAGCCCTTCATCAGGATTCTCGTTTTTGTACAGAATATAGGCGCGTCCTCGTTCACTTGCGATACGTAAAGGGGTTGCCTCGTCATTTTTTAGTGCTGGAGAATTCATGGTCAGTAACCGCTGTGTCATTTCATTTCTGTGAGCCAATTGTTTGATTTGTTGCTTTGAAAAATCTAATGGATCTTTAGAATTCTTTAGCATTTGATCCAGGCGATCCCACGAAGTCTGGCGTGATCTTATCATGATATCTTGGATGATTTCGTATTGTATTTCATGCGGAAGCGATTGGAATACATCTGAATCAAAGTCAATTTCTGAGGGTTTGAATTCCTTGACAAACGATGCAATCTCTTCGTGGGTTGCCAATCGCTGATCAAAGTCGGCTGGTTTTTTGGTAGCTTTTGGAAGATCATAGGGATCATTGAGATGCCGTTGTTGGAGACTTTTTACAACAGTTGATGTTACCGATGAATTCAATTCTTTAGGTTGGTTGGTTTTTTCTGCATTTTCGTTACGTCTACCAGAAATAAGAAAAGGTATAGAGTTAGAAGGGACATTAAGACGTTATAATATTTCTTTATATAATAAAGTAACAGAGAAAATCAAAAACAACAAGGCAAGGCAAAGCAAAGCGCCTACCTCTTTTCTTCTTCTAACAAGATTCTGGATTTCATCTGGGCGCTCAAAATTTTTCCTGCCACCTGCTTCATACTCGTTAATGCGCCCTCTCGTCTTAACCGTCTTTCTCTCTATTAACAAAATATAAATTATTATTATTATTATTTTTTAAAGAAAAAAAAAAGGTAGCCCATATATTGTACTCAATTATACATATACAAATATATAATTATATAATTATATTATAGAAGAGGCCTACAATGACATGCTTTTTGAGATCAGGTACACCTCCATCAAACACAAAAATAGGCTTTATATTGAAAAATAAGAGTTTGCAGATTCGTCGAAAGAATCCAAGGAGATGGGCATTGTGCATTGGATTCCCTTGTTTGTCGCGCATCGATCGTACGAATTGATACATCCAAATGCTTGCATCGACTGCTAATTTACGATTGCGCAGTGATTCGAGTTGACATGGACGTGCTGCGGGAGCAGTAAGTGTCCAAAGATTCTGAACACCCATTTACTTTATCTTAATATTTTTCTCGTTATTATTATTCTTATTCTTTTAGATATATACAAAAAAAAATCTTTTCTATGTCAAGTGTGATATATTCATAAAAGACAAAGGCAAGGTAGGAATATCTTGTAAATTATAATTTTTTTTTAAAAAAATTATATTATATTATATTTTAAAGAATAACTACTATACATATATAGAGATTAGTTTAATAATAAAATGGAAAATTATCTCATAGATATTACACCAATTGAGGTACTCGAAAGTACATTGTCTATCAAATCCCTACAAACTATCTATATATACTAGAAGAAGAAGAAGCTTTCTTTTTTCATATTCATATATGTATATTATAAAATTGGTGTATTTGTCTACCAAAGATGTCTATTGAAATGTTGCTCAAATAAACTTGGTTTGGATATCTTGTGCTAATAAGCACTATTACTATTACCATTTTATTCAATTGTTTCAATATATATATATTTGATTTCGATCCAGTAAGGACTGTAACTACATCACTGATTACTCTGGTCAATAATTGTTTTGTATGTACCTATGTTATATTGATATCTTTTGGTATTTTGGGCTGATAAGATCGCGGGAATTTTATCCAAGATATTTCCTTTTCTGTCAAGTTTGCGTAATTTGACCTTTTTTTTAAAAAAAAACTGCCTTTTGGATGTACTACTTTACTTCCCCCCCCCCCCCCCCCCCCCCCCC